GGACCATTCTTTGAATGAAAATGGTAGTTGATGGAGATATCTATACCTACTACAGCTATATATGTCTGTTCATGATACCGGGGCCATGCCTCGATCCCAGCCATGGATGTGGACAGTGTTACTACTAGTGACAACAAGTTTTATTGAATTTCGATCATGACATTATCTAGTATTCTCACATGGCGTAATAACTAGTTGATAACTCGCGGTTACAGTTACAGTTAACAGCGACTAACTTGTTTCTACTACCAGCTGCCGCTGTGCCCTATTCATGGCTCGTAACCTAACAAACTCCAACAAACCCACCACTCTTCTGGCCCTTCTCAAAGAGCTCCAGCTCAGCTAGCAAGGCGCACATCGCCACCACTTTGAAGCTCTGGAGTTCCTTGCCAGTGCGCGACGTCGCGGGCTGGACCCGCTCGCAGCCGACGTGCACGCAGGCGAGGCACAGTTCCAGGGCGTCGAGCTCGGTTTCGTAGCCCGTGAGAGGGACGATGTTGTTGCCGTGGCGGCGCAAGAGGCCCATTATCCACGAGGCGATCCGGCCGAATTCGTCTTTCAGCTTGATGGAGCGCTCGCGCTGGCGGTGGGTCTGCACTCCTGTTTTGTTGAAGATGTGGCCTGTGAAGACCTCAATTTCGCTGAGGGGGTGGATGGGATGCTCGGAGAAGTTGTTCATTGCGGAGAATAGTGCGTCTTCGTATCTATGTCATTTCGATGTTTGGTATTGGTTAGCTAGGTTAATTGGAAAATCATTGGTTTCATGGGGGAAGGAGGGATCTGCCTACGCTGATCGAATGTGGCTTGCTTCGTCGGAGCGTTGTATCCACTTGACAGGTCCAAATGCGAGACATTGCTCGTCCGAAAAATGGAGAAGCTGTTCCCAAAATGCTTCACTCTGCGGGCTTCTATTGGCGCGGACGTTGTCATTCCAGATCTTCTCTTCGTCGATGGCCCTATACAGCTTTCCCAGAATCTTGTGTGATTTGTAGTATTTGTATACTGGGACCGAATCTTCGTCTTCGTCGTAGTGTTGTCGAGAGTTTGAAGACTCAAGCTCTATAATCGATTTATCAACGATGCATGCCATTGGCCCGGGTGCCATGCTATCAACAGGAACCGTTAATATAGCCCTAGCCTATAAGGGTGATCCAGAGTATGAACGAACTGAACTCACAAATCTGGCCTGTAGCGGATTATTCTGGGCAGTTGACGCATCTCCACCGGGATTCCTGTTTTCGAGAAATCAACTGCAGTCGAGTGCAACTCCGCCAGTACCTTACAGTCCGGATGGCGGGTTCCCTCGCTCATCTGGTCTGCCAAGATCATATGCCGTGTTGCTATGACGCCCAGGCGATCAGAATTCATGAAATCGACAAAGAAATTGGCCATATCTTTTCTTTCCACTTGGCGCCCGATGTCAAAAGGCCCTATCCGTGGATAATCAGCAGGCTTAAAGACACGCCGTGGGATGGCCGCTTCGTCCCATATGACATGATAGAGGTCACCATCCAAATCACCCCCACTAAGCTGACTGGGTAGGTCTCGCCTGCCTCGTTGACTGAAGACAATGCAGTTTGCGTGTTCTCTCAATGGGTGATCATCGGGCGGGACAACGTTGTCGACGAATTGTACGTCACCATCGAACAAAGCCGGACACCGAGTAACAAGGAGGCGACATGGTCCTGGTGGTGCGGCATACCGATCTCTCATGGTTTCGTAGGTAACGAAGACCTGGTTTTCTTGCAAGTAGCCAGTCTCATCCATAACACCAAATAGTGCCATTCCCTTCTTCACCGGGATGCGAGCCTTGTGTTTCAGCAAGCGCAGCTCTCGGAGGACGACCGCCTCCACGACCGATCGGAGAAACAAATCGTCCTTGTAGTCAAGCCCCAGGGAGCACAATCGGCGAAACAGTTTACTGAGTCGGATGGAGTCGCCGACATTCTGCCTTTTGATGAAGCCGGCGGTTTTTCGAGGGGTGGAAGTGATGGTCCGCAGATAGTTGACTTGAATTTCCTGCAGCGCACTGAACCAGCTCTCTGGCACTCCCATATCTTCCATTATTTTGATCACTTGCCGGTTCAGAACGAGTGGCATTGGCTTTGATGCCATGTTGCAGATCTCCAGGTTCTTCATATCGTCGGTGGGAAACTTTACCATCGACGGACGAATTTGTATGACCGTGCCAGACAGTCGACTGTCTAGGGCTAGCATTCCTTTAGCACCGCCGAGGCGAATTTGGAAACTAGTAGGGGATCCTTTCGAAGAGGAGATGTTAGACCAAATAGCTTCTACCGCATCCCATGAAATAGTTCCGACCCCATCACTAAATGTGCGTTTGCCGTCAGACGATATCACGTCGGGTGTTTCAGTGATACGAATTTTGTTTTGGCGGATGTCGACCGCAAAAGGTGTATCAGAGAAGGCCTGTCCGATTCTGGCGGCACATCTCGCTGGTGAGGTGAAATTGGAGAATCGACCAACAGCCGTGATTATGGTGAAGTAAGTCTGCAGATGGCCATCGTCATCGAAGAATGGAGCCGAGAACTAGCAGACGATTTGGTTTGATCAGTAGCTTTCTTTGCAGGTGAAGGCTTTCATTATCAAGCCAAGATTATATGACCTAACGTACCCAAGCTGAATGAGACCTCAGTGAGGAGTGAGAGAAACCTAGAAACGTATAGGTACGCCCAGCAATCTCTATTCCGTTGGCCAAAATATATTTGAACCGGGAAGAGACATCATCATTATTGACGCGGGGGTTGAAATGCACATCTTGTCCATTCTCGTCACAGAATTGCACTCGAATGAAGTAGTCATGGTGTTTAGGGAACTTTCGCAGAATACGATTATTGGGCTCCAACTCCGGCCCATGCAATGTGATTCTTGAAGGCGTAACCATGACTCGGAAGATTCGCGCCATATTCCCGCTGGCATCGAAGAGACCACGTCTCAGGGAGAAACCATCTTGGATCTCCTGTTCATTCTGCTTTAGCAGCTCAACAAGTCCTTTGACTTCAAACTCGGCTGGGTCTCCAAATGGACGTGGCCAGTCAATCATGTCGAACATCTTTTGGATGGAGTGGGAAGACAAGGGCCTTTTGCCAGTTGCTCTGCTTTTCTTGAACATGAGCTGTAGCTCTGCTGCAAGGCCCAGAACTGTGGCAGGATGGAGGTATGCATTATATGCAAGAGCCTGCAATTGGAACAAGATTTCGAATGGTAGGGAACCTTCCCTGGTGAATTCCGCAAGCATTTTTCTGAGGCAGACGAGTTGCAAGTGAAATACTCCAGTCTTCACCGAGATTGCCTTGTTCATAGAGAGATCATACCTGACAACGGTAATTTCCAAGCTCTTGATCTCGGCGATCCACTTTGGGAGATCCTTTGGAGGAACAATCAACTGGTAAACAAGGCATTGTCCAACAACCTCGGCGTGTCTCTTTCCTAGCGAGCATAATCGGTTTTTGTCTGCTGGAGAAAAGCTACCTTTGGCACCGATGCTGAGAGCTCCCAAGACAGTAGCGAGCGGGTCATTCGTCGAGAAAAAATGCGGCACGGTCGAGAGTGTGAAAGTCAAAGACCCGTTGCTAAACCAGACCAGCTCGATGACCGTGCTGATGGGTATGCTGATGATGAATTCGCCATTTAGTTTGGCGATAATGCTTCTCTTTGTGAACTTCAGGGTTCCTGCTCCGGGCCACCGGACCTCAGGAACATACACCAAGTGGTCGTCAGCAAAGGTGCAGTATCCACAGCTAGAGTCCAGTAGGTACAGCAGGGCTACAGGGCCCTGATTATCAATGGTCGGAAGTGAACGGTCCTCACGCTGCTCAGCCTCCAAGGCCAGAGACTTGAGGGCGAAGGGGTGTGGGTCGCGATTGCTAAGCTTGCAGAAGACACCTACTCCCATCAATGTCAGATTAGGCATGAAGCAATGGCGTGTATGTTTATGTTGTCCCGTGCATATCTTTTCCTCTCCATAGGTCTTGAGGAACTTCTCCCCGTCCGGTCGATTCAAGAAAGTGAGATTTCCAATCTGTTTCCTTTTCGGTTTCTCGCACAGGTAGTCTGCAATGTGAAGGCGCTTCAAGAACGGGTCCAATAGATCTTTAACTTTATCCTCGCTTAGGTGAACAGGAAGATTCTGCAGGAAGACCTCCATGTTGGTAGAATCTATGCATTAGAGTCAAATTAGAAGAGCAGAGTAAGGAAGTAACCTGGCAGGTATTGATTGATTTCTAGGCCGATGGATATTAGGGAGAGAAATGATGGATTCCATGTGAAGATAGGTCTTTGTCAATGCCCATCTAGTGTGTCTTTATTTCAAAAGATAAAGAACCATGGCTTGACTCTTTGTTGTTGTTGTCCAGAAGGAACCAACCGTCGTGGGAGGAGAGAGAGAGAGGGGAAAGAGAGCGAGGGACTTGCGGGGGTGAGAGATTCGAGGTACTATGAGCGAGTGACCCGTGACCCATGACTCTACTTCCTAGACAAGCAAGTAGAGTGAATGGGCCTTATGTATACCATCGAGGTCTTAGGTACCCAGCCTACAATGATAGCCTGTAGATACCATGGATATGTGCTGTGATAGATCAAGTCAGTGACTACTGTGCTCTTTTCTCATGAGTAAGTCTGTCTGTCCTTGCAGTAGATACCATCGAGAAGAGATAGCTGTGAGTTTGATTCTTACCTGAGTTGTTTGCTATTTAATTTATAAAATATGAGACTAGCAAACCCTCTAATCTAGTCATATGCAGCCAAGAGCCAGAGGCCTGAGCCAGAAGCAAATGTCAGGCTGTTGCGGGGATGTGTTGGATATCAAGACCCTACCACTCGTCAATTGGTACTTTTGGTGGAACGGTCAAGATGGTAGAAATGCCAACAGGATATTCTGTTTGTAACTCTATTGGTTACTGGTAGATATATTACCAGCCAAATGCTATATCTTACTACATTAACACATGGTAAATTGATATATTGATGTGAGGAGGATTAACCAATGTAACTATCTCTAGATACATGGAGCTAGAATATGCATTTGTCTGGCAGGAGGAACAGGGTGATTTAATAATGCTCCCCACGCTCCCCACAGCTAAGGATTGTGGGCTGAGAACCGTAAAAATCCGATATGCACACATGCATGCGTACTGATCAGCACGACAGGAACAACCCTATGTGACCCGATACTATACCTAGATGAAGTTGAAGTTACGACTCAACCACCGGGACCTCAACATAGCTGGCCCGCTCACCCCCATGGTATATTACATGCGACCTCTTATTACACACCGGGAATGTACCCTGCAACGCCTCAAACTCCACAGGGGCCATAAAATGCTCAGACACCTTCACAACAAGCCTCTCTCCAGTCTCAAACACCATCCCCGTGGGCCAGATCTCAATTTCCAGCCTCATTACCTCGCCCACGGGTACAGGAAGGCGTTTTTGAATGCGATAACGTCTTCCAATGCAGCTTCAACAAGCCCCCATCGACATTTATATGAGGCGCGCATGATACCGTGCGGACCGTAGTGCTTCATGGGGTTGGTGAGCGGGATTTCGTCCGCCGAGCACATGCCCAGGTCTACTACTAGGTTATTGGCTTGTTTGAGGAGGTTTCCTGCTGCGTCGGCCTTGCCTAGGTGCACGTACACAACTATATCATCGTCTTGCTCGGCTCAAATGTGGAGAACAGCACGTGGTGGCCTCAAAATAGTTTGTTTCCTCCACATGTTGGTAAGTTGAACTGGATCTCGCCGCGGTCGTTCCCACGTTGCATGATCCGCGCTGCGTCTGCTTGGTACGTTATTTCCCCTTCCTCTTCTCTGCTAGACGGCCCTCGGGACCTAGGAACAGCCGCTTCTGCGTAGTTTGCTGGGACGGTGACCAGCCAGGGGATTCGAACGGGATGAATACTGCGCAAGGCTGAATGAAGCATTCCGACTCACTCGGCTGCAGTTTTCCAGCCTGGGTGCCGAGATGAACCAGTCCTACCAGAGCAGCAGCGTCTACTTCCAAGATGAGGCGCTGGAAGCCCGAACGCCCGAAGACACCCGCGACAAGGAGTCATACTATACTGCCGGCACGCTACCGGGCATGCGGCTCCCCCACGCGTGGATCACCACGCAGAAGCTGTAAGATACACTGTCGACCCACGACCTGGCTGGAAAGGGATGGTTCACCATTCTCACGGGGCTAGGCGGAAAGGATATCTGGTCTCATGCGGCGTCCTAGGTTTCCACGAAGAAGCCAGGGCTCGAGATCGCTGTTTTCGGAATTGGCTGGGGCAGGACTACCTGGACACGGGGAATATGTGGCACAATGTACGGGGCGTGGAGTCAGACGGTGCGGTGCTCGTGCGACCTGATCGGATCGCTTTTTGGAGGAGTAAGACAAGACTGGAACATGAGCACGCCGCCATGAAACTGGAACGTAACCTATGTTTCTCCAATGCATATTGGGTTATCACCCCGGAGGGTAATGGCTAGCAAAACAAAAAGGCATGGACAGAGATGGTTGATATAAGACTGTTGGATTAGACTACCACTATTCTCTATGAGAATCTAGCACTCGCTAGCCTAGCCACCTATGCCAAAGAATCTATGAATATAATTGTTTGTTCAGGATCAAGAGACATGCTACTAACTATAAGCTTTTATAGAACTTATCTGGCAGGAGCGACAGGGCGACGCAACATATTCCATTGTTGGCTAAACTAAGTTGAGCTTGATCTGACAGTAAGGTTATTGCTAAAGAGAAACAATCTATCCCATACTGCTTCAATTCAAGCAAACAGGACATCTATCACCAAGATCATATGAAACTCGAGCTGATGCAATTCCAAGTTATCCTCCACTGTATAGATACGGTAGGAGTAGATAACAGGCTAATCTAGATCCGGTTAGTGCGTATGGGTCGTACCGTAAATTACCCCAGGATAGACCGCCCTGACCGCCCTGGGCAGAAACGGGGAAATGAACTCAATCAACGCTTCAACTCATCGGGATTCATCTTTCATCCGGATTTCACGAATCCTGAATTCATTCATTGTCTGAATAGTCCTTGATAGGTCTGATCTATTCCCTTCCCTTTCTTCCGGACTGCAGTTTCAAAGGAAATCACCCCCGAGGTTGGTATCCATCGGTATCACTGCAGGTTGCCATTAGCCCATTTGCCAATCATACCTCAACCCTGGTAACATTGAACAGCCTCATATCCGACATCCCATCAGAGAGGCCGGTTGGGTGAGTTTCTCCCTGTTTGCTCTTTGTCCACCTCCCTTGTTTTTCATCTTGATACATGACATGACGGTGCAACTTCCCCCTCCACTGGTTTCCTGTCATGGTTCTGTTCCATCTCCTGGGATCTATCAATCCATCCCCCCAACTAGATTGATCCCTGTTCATGCTAGTCACTCGGGGAGTCGCGGGGAAAAGAAAATGCCACCGACATCCAGAATGGAGCCTTCCGATCACTGGGGTCATTTTTTTCTAGTATCTGAGATCGGAAATTTCCCATTGGCTCCGTTGCCAACGTTGGCTGTGGAAGTCCCTAGTGGCGTCAGGACGATGTGATAGGGATGGTTGGCCTGTGCCTGTGCTTGTGCCTTTCCGGGTCTGCATCCTCAGAACACACTGGCCCACGTAGTCCGTCGGTCATCATCACCGTTGGTCGAGGATTGTCTTCATGCCCCCCTCCTTCCTACGTTTTCCTTCCCCCATTCCCCTCCTTTTGCCTCTCTCTCCTCCCCTCTCACCAACCACTCTTTCCCCTCAATCTCAGGGGCTCTCAGACCGTCGGACAATCTTCGTGGCTTTTCTGAATAACTTCCTTTCGCACACACTGCCCCTCGCCACCTGGCCTTTGTACTGAGCGGGTTGTCTTTGTTTGCTTTTTCCCCCACCGCAATCTCCTGGATTGTTTTGCTTCAGACTCGTTTAATAATTCCCTCTTACCCCCCGTTTATTAATGGTCTGCGGTATCTGCTGAGCGACCTGCCCTGTCTCATTTGGAACTCCCCGCCATGTCTTTACGTCGTTCGCTGCGTGCCCGCAATGGGCGAGACGATCCACTAGAACCCGATTCTAATGCACCTGTTAGGTCGACAAGACGGAGCCGTGCGGTTTCATCTACGTCAGTAACTATATCGCGGTCTTCTGCAGAACAGACGGGAGACTCGCCCAAATCGATTCGCCTGACGGTGAAGATGCCTTCAAATAAGCTACGCGAGGCCACGGGTGGAAGCTCCCGAGGGGGCGCATCCACAAAACGCTCCGTGAATGTCTTTACAGAAAACCCCATCGTCAGTGGGCCACGGACCAGTCGTCCCAACAAGAGACTCGTTGAAGTCAATACGAGCGACGAAGAGGACCTGAGTGACCAGGAAGAAGATGAAATCGATGAAGATGCCCCGGGCGACGAAGACGAAGACGTAGATGCCGACGGCGATCTCGACATGGACGATGCCCCGCCGCAGCCACCAGTATCAAAACGACATGCAAAGGCTTCGGCTCCGGCCGGAAAGTCGGTCAAGGGCGTGGAAGCGAAAGAGATGGAGTTGAACGACGACGAAGATGAAGATGACGACGAGGAGCTTTCCGAACCGGACTCGGACGCCGAGGGCGAAGCCGATGAGCAGGACGAGAGCGCGGTGAAAGCAGGGGACGAGGAGCTGGGCGATGAAGAAGACGAAGAGGATCTAGAACTTGATAGCGACGACGCCGCGACCGGTGACCCGAACAAGATGACGAAACGCCAACGAGGCTCCTTGGGGAACGATTTCCTTCAACTTCCAATGGGTGAGCGCTGATGGCAACCTGCGTTTGTAATTGATCCTAACCGTGAACAGAACCGCAGGTGAAAAAGCATCTGACTGCCGAAGAGCGTGCCATGCGCCGTACGGAGATGGCTCGCCGGAGGAAGAACCTGAGCGAAAAGCGTAACGAGGAAGAGAAGGTAGGCCATATCCTTCCATTCGACGTAACAGAGAGGACGCTGACAACCAGGAATAGATGGACACTATCAACCGGCTTCTCCGCAAGCAGGCTCCGAAACGGCGAGGTCGAATTCCCGCCGCGGAGGCGGCAGAGGCGGCGTCGGGAGACCAGGAGACGCAAGAGGTCGAGAAAGTCGATCCTATCTTCGCCAGATGGGTCAGCGGCCGCGACGGCAGCAGACTCGGCGTGCCAAACGAATGGCTTGACACACCGGCAGGTCGTCCTTTCGGAAACCATGGACCCCGAAAGTTAGTGGAAGAGGTGTAATTGCACGGACACTGATGGGCGTACCGGGCTAGGCGTGATTGCGGGTTTGAATTTGGAACGACAGTTCGGCGGTTTGTACTATATGCATTTGGTCGGGCTTATGCGACTTGTATTTTCGAAAACGTCTGGTGTTATGGCTGGTTCATGTTGGTAGAATAGGACTATCAACTCGTTTTCTTTTCACTGTTGTACATTGAGGTCTAGATATATATTCATCGCCCGTCGGAATCTATAGAATATGTACGCGAAACAAGCTGTATACAACACCATACCAATGATATGGTTCCAGCACCTGGCAACTGCGGAAATGCACCAATTTCTAGACCAAATGAAGACGGAACGACCGCTGTCAAAACCTTCATACCCACCGACAGCCATCCACAAGTGACCAGATCAATAATGCACCAGACCAAAGCATTCAATAAGCCTGCTTGAATCCCATGGAGCACCCAGGAGCCCAAAGCATCGCGCAATCTCCCCGTCATCAGACTCCTACCCATTCATTCCATTTCATGCACCAGTATAAGAGACCCTGTCCCGCATGGACGCGTGGAGGCCGAATCCGAATAATCCATTCGACTCGTCTGAAAGAGCGGGGTGACACGGCACAACCCGTGCTTCATTCATTCTGCGGGCCAGCTCATTTCTCCCAACTCTCGTGCCCTGTTGTAGCCTTGCTTTCAGTAGATATTGGCTATTTCAATTGTTGGTTCCGGCATTTGCGTCTTCTTTGGTGGGAGCTGGGGGGGAGGGAGCTGCGGCGGTCTTTTGGTCCGGCGATTGTCCTGCGGTTGTGTTGGGGCTTTTTTTCATGTTAGTATCCAGGGGAGGGGCTGAGGAAAGGGCAGGTAAGAGTGTCAGGCGAAGCGACATACCGTTGGGTGTTTTCACGTTCACTTTGCAGCTCTTGGAACGAGGGCTGGAAGGTATAGTATCCTAGAATGATCCTGGTTGTTAGCTGATGGCGCTGAACCAAGAATTTGCTCGGACTGTGGAGATGAGGACTAACCAGAGACTATACCCATGCCGATGGCAAAAACAGCAGGGAAAAAGTTGCGACCCATGGTGAGCGACAGAAACGACCAACAGCGGTGCTGTTGTTGTTGTTGGAGGAGGAGGAGGAGGAGGAGGAAAAGAAGAAAGCCGGCGTTGCGGAGGTCGGCCGACCCGCCAATCTAATCGCCAAAGTTCCGCCCAGGCTTAAAGTGCTTCCCTTCCGTCGCGTGCCTTGCTCCCCACATTTTCAACGCGTTTAGGTGCCTGCCCCCTCCCGTTCACAGCATTACTCACTTTGAACTTCTCTGCGACGCCCACCCTTTTTTTAAATAAGCTTGCGCTACATTTCACGATTCAACCACCTGTGGTTCCTTTCAATCAGTCGATATCGAACGCCGATTCTTATCGTTGCGACTTACGGCTTCGGCTTCGGCTTCGCTTTGAACGCGGTTATGCATGGTTAGGGAAATGGGCCTTCAACGCCCAGTACACAAATGGAATCATGGCGGGAACGAGGATATGTACCGGACTCGGACTCGGAGGATGGGTTCGATAGTCAGGGTACGGAGAGGGTGAATCGGGATGTGAAGGATGGGGGTGAATCTACTGGGCATGATGTTGACTCGGACGTCGACCTTCACGCTGCGACGGCTTCGGGATCTTTTCATGGTGATGAGGTGGAGGATGTATGTCGACCGACTGGGCACAATGTCGACTCAGGCGCCGACCTTCACGCCGCAACGGCTCCAAAGTCCTCTCACGGCGATAAGACGGAGGAAGGCCCCAACACCTCGCATGACACCACCGGGTTTGGTTTCGAGATCGTCATACCCGGCAGAAACGCTGTTGGGAATACCACGCTCGACCAGACAGAAGATCATGGAGACGACGTGGCTCCCCCCGCTTCGGACCCGATGGAACTCGACGAGCCCGAAGACGAAGAGACTACTCCTAGGAGGCTAGGACCTGCCCAGCCGTCCCCTACGCTGTCGGCCGCTCCAGACGACGCTGAATCGCCATCAACCCCCAAGGCGCAACCGCAGAAGGATATCTGGGATATCCCCAGCTCGTCCCCCGATGAACTGCAGCTTGTCTTCCAACCTCCGCGTAGGCAGGCTACGCCTACTGCGCCTGCTCACGAAGAGAGCCAATTGCACCAATTCGATGACAGCAATGACATTTCACCTCTTTCTTCTCCGCCGTCATCTCTTCATTCAATACGTTTCGACGAGGATGAGCCGAACGACCGTCACCGACCAGATCAATTACCAAGAGGCATGTTAGAAGAGTTAGAAGAGCTGCTGCCACTGCCACCTGAAATTCCAGAAGACATTTTACACGATTCTTCACGCACCGCGGGAAGAAGGTCCTTGCGCCAGCGGAATCCAATCCAGCTACACCCATATATGCTGGAAGACGCGAAATATCGGAATCTCATGATGCAACGAGGTGTTAAACCGGTACGCATCGCTCAATATCGAGAGGCATTGCGTGCTGCAGCGGCGGCTGGTGAAAGCCAAGTGCAAGAATCCGCTCCTAATCCCGAGTCTCCATCGAGTAGCTCAGCAATGGAACTTGGAGTCATGCCCTCCTCTCCTTTAGAGCTTGACCATCATTCTGAGCAAACTCGACACAGACCCTCTACTCATGCAGGCCCCAATCCTCCGCAGCCTGTGGATAGCTCTCCGGTCCGTGATGCTCGGGCATCTAAAAGACGCAGGATATCAAAGCATTACGGAGGACACGGAGATCACTCACAAAGACCAGTAGTGGTGGTCGATAATTCTTTCCCTGTTCGCCGGCCTGACATTCCCCCCAGTCCGCCGCGATCGGGAAGCGCCTCGTCGCCTCATATTGCCCAACGACCTAATGAATTCATTTGGCCCCGCGGGTTCAGTCCACCCCCGATCCACACGCCCGACACAGAACCACAGTCTAGGGATAGTTACGCAAACGAGGACGCTATGGACGTGCCCGGTCCTGTCGATCACAACTCGAGTGATGACCGGTCGATGGCATCCCATAGCCCTTCTAGCTCGGACGTGGAGCAGAATGGCCAGGACACGAATGCTGTCCAACAATTCCAACGCAAAATCAAAGGTGTACTCCCCGCGTCATGGCTCCGACTCGACCAGCAGAAGCAGAAGGGTGGGCTGCCAAGCTCCACGCAACGAAACTTGGAGAGAGCGGCTCGGCAGGAGAATGCCAAAGGAGTTGCCAAGAAGATAACGAAAAGAAATGATACCACGACACAAGCAGGCTCACGGGGCCAATTGGACGCCTTGAGACAACTTGCAGATGATGACAGTGATGAGGAACGAGAAAGTAACGCCCCTGATGTCGATACCCGCGAGATACTGGCCAGATTTGTTGGTTCGCAGGATCCTTTTTTCGAGCGAGATGGCGGAGACGACATTCCCGAGGACAATCGGATAGACTACATGTTTGAGTCTGCCACTCGTTCTTCGGGTCCACGGAAGCAGAAGCTGAACAAAAACCGACAAAACACGGGAGGGGGCGGGATTGACTCCAGCGATCATCTAAGAAGATCGCGTTTGAAAAGACAGTCAAGGCTCACTGACTCCGTCTACGGAGGACAAAGAACACACAAAGAGAGACCTCCGTCCCGACGAAGTCCTCCAAGGCTTGGTGTTTTGGACGCCCCGGACGTCGCTGCTCGATCTCGAACCGAGCAGCCGCAGTTCCTTCGAGTTGCTGCGCGCAACGCACGCTTCCGTCAAGACAGGGGCCGACAGAGTCCCACACGTAAAGTGTTCAAGCTGAGCTCGAGATCAGACAGCGAAGACGTCAATCACTCCTTGCGCCAGTGGCGTTCAGGTGGTCTTCGACAGAAGAAGCTGCCACAGCCACGGACACGGCCCCAAAAACGTCCACCTTTGGCGGATCTCTCTACTAATCAGCAGGGTACGTCGGGCAATCGCCAGAACAGAAAAGCAAGAACCCCAGCAGTCGATGTCGATCCGACATTGGAAGTTAGGGACACGAGCGTCCTTCGTGAACAGACTCCCACCCCCGATGCTCCAGCCCCTGTTCAAACCTTAAACGCTACTCAGGATGCTACCGAGTCCACGCGGCCCCAAAAACAAGGCCCCAGGTGGTTCGTCCGTCGAAATATTGGGGTTTCTTCTCTGAGTCGAGAGGCCCCAAGGCCAGCAGGACTGGAGGCAGTAAGCTCTGGCCAAGCAGGTATATCGGCCACGACCTTTCGGAGATCCCTAGCGTCGCTTAACCGGAGCCGCCTCCGAAGACCGTTACCCAAGTCAAGACCACGGAATGAGATTATGGATCGATTCCTCTCGGATGGCCCATTGACGCCGAGTACTCCTGGCACGAATCGGGTAGATGCACCTGAGAATGGGGGACCATCCCATGACAAACATCCTACGGGCCAGTTGCATAATCGGCGCCGTCAGCTTAGAAAACGCACTCCGACGCGACGAGAAGTTGATGCATCAGACAGTCAAGAAGCACCTCCGCTACCATCGCCAGAGCCAGAAACTACTGGGACGAATGGCTCTTTACAACAAGATTCCGAACTGTTGAAAGGCCTTCAGCGTTCATACAGTGTTGATTTCAACATAACCCCTCTGGCTACGGGGACCTTTTTCCATGAGTCCACGTTCATCGGGAGTGGTGAACTTTCTGTCTCTCTTGCGGCTGGCAAGCGTAACTTTGATGAGGCTGCCAGTTCCTTCCATATAAATCTGGGCGAAAAGAGTTGTCGCTGGGGACCGTGGAATGATACGGTTTCTTCTGAGATCGGGATCGCTTTCAACTGCATGCTGGGTCAGAAAGAAAGCGAGGAGCATGCAGAAGTCGATGCAAGGCCAGCCGGCAATGGCCACATCATTTATCGGCAACTAATCAGATATGTTACAGAAAGCCTGACATTTATCGATCCTATCGATCGCAAGGGTTTCGTGCAAAGGATACATGGCTTGATCTGCAAGATCAATGATCATTTGATGACATTGATCCCAACGAATGCGCAGGAGGCAGATCATCTCGCAAAGCTTGCGTCATGTAATCTGGTGTTCGCAAACTTGACGAGCCAAATAGCTTGCCATGATCTTGTGGAGAATGCCATTGCTAATGAGACGTTTGAGCTAGTCAAGTCGTCCTCCAGACAGGTCATTGCACTCATCATCTCAAACCCAGCAGGGCAGTCTAGTATCCACAAGTTTCTTGACAACAACAGGTCTCGCGCATGGCGTGAGGCGGGGATTCGGGACGATCAGCCATTTGTCGAAGCTTATGTCATTGTGAACCACGTATTGCATAGTAGAGACAATCTCAAAACCTGCTTTGAAGAGCTTGTGACCGATGCCCATTCCCTAGCCGAAGCTGTGGATTTGGGCAGATTGAAGGATGTCGGCTGCTTAGAGAATGGGTGGCAGCGGGTATATGCAACTTTGCCTCTGAATGAGATCGATCCATTGGGGATAGCTCGAACTGGTTTACGCTTCAAGCAGCCTCACGAAAATTGGACAGTCGTCAAGAAGCTCCTGGCTCCGGTTCTAGGCAGCTATGATACACACTCCGACGCGCAACCGTTATCCTATAATAGTTACTGCCGGGCCTTATTCCACCGATGCTTTCACCTGATAAACGGCTGGGGCTGGCGCAACTGCAAGCCTATCCTCGACACTCTTTATGACTTCTTCGCCAAAAACACCCTATACAACCTGAAACACGAGGAAAGCTACAGGTCTCCTGCCTTCTTGGATGAGCTGGACCGCAACCCTTCGCTTGAGGTCTTACCCGGTGACCCATGCTTCCATATCTTGCTGAAGATCGTCGCAAGTGGTTTGCGCTTCTTGTCCCAAATCTACGATAAGAAGAAGGTCCGGAACTTCGCCTGGCGCCTGTTGCCGAATCACGGTCGAGTTTATCCCAAGGAGAAGCCTATCCATCAGACCGACTTGGACGCTCTACGGAACCACCATGATCTTCTCTGCACCTTGTACTACGCGGTGCCTGATGGATGCCGTCCACGCATCGAAGCAATCAAGAACCTCGTGCACCCTGGCAGCTCGCATCGCGAGACCTGTATTATCAGCCTTCGGTCATGGACGAGGCTTGCTCGGTTCAAAATGTCGACGGAGGAGGATTCGTCGGGACTGGAGCCATTTGCCGATTGGCACTGTTATTTTGTTGCGGAGCTGTTAAAGCAGCACGGTCTTGCGCGCAAAGAGGTCGAATCGCAGAGTACTGCGGATAACCAGTTCTCGCACCAGCTGATTGAACGGACGATAGCGCAGAATCAGCAACAGATCGAATCGTTGCTGAAGACCGCCTTGAACAGCTTACAAGGTATCGTGCAATCGGCCTCTACATTGGACCGCGCGTATAAGATAGTCTCGAAGACGCCCATAAACTGGGTCCTGGGCCTTTTCAACTCGAAGGCTGCACGCCTTAACACTACAGTGTCGGAGGCCCTCCAGGTGATCGTGGCTTACATCGAAAAATGCCGTCCTGCCCCTGCAGATACCAGAGCCGGTGTGGCAAACGGGCCAGCCGCAACGGACGAAGACAGTCAAGAGTACGGGGATTGGAGGGATCTAGACTTCGATGCGATCTGCGGAGATGAAACTTCCGACGAGCGCCCTGAGGGAATAGTGCACGTGGAACAAGTCTTCCGTCCTGCTGTGTCACGTCTTGTATCCAACTGCTTTGGCGAAGACCACAGTCCCGAAGATGCTATATTACTGGCTGTCGTTGACTGCTGGACTTCGATCGCGCAGATCCTGGTCCAATATCGGATACGGCATTGGGATAGTTACATGAGCCCGTATGATGGCGACTCTTGGGCAACGCTTCGGGGCACTATTCAGACGAGAAAGTTCACGCCCAGATTCCTTGCAAGTTGCATTGAGAAGGACGCTCAGTTTGTATCTGACTGTCGGACCCAGATCTTTGGGATGTGGATGACGAGTCTGGTGGAACGTGTATCGATGCTCAAGTTCCAGCACTGCCTTACCGGGGCGTTGCTAGATCGAGATGCGCAGAATCCCATCCTGCACAATCTGCCGTTTTCTAAGGACGTCAGAGATAACAAATACTCGATTACACTAGAAGATCTTAGCCAACGGCGGTTGTCCCTACTGTCGAGTCTTCTGTCTAACATGCGCGCCCACATCCAGAACCTGGAGGACACGGAAAGCATGGAGCTCTCGAGCACGAAGCACGAGTACCGCGAGCTCATCCAGATGATGATGTCGTCCATGAAAGAGAACTACAAGGAGCTCGGCAACGGGGGAACAAGCGCACAAGGGGCATACGTTGATTTCGTCCACCGTGTCGTTGGGTTCCTGCAGCAGCACACCAGAGACATCTGTCCTATCGACCCATTCTTCACCGATCCTGCGACTTTCCCCCTCCCTTCGACAGACCCTACGTACATCGTTGCCAGGCTGAAGAGCTACGAACCGAAGCTCGCGTCCGAGAAGGTCGCAAAGACGCTGATCATATTCGTCCAGGGGGTCTCAGAGCGAGCAGCGATCGACGGGCAACAGATGTACCTTGTCCAACAGCTGCATGCCTCAATGACAGACACGTACGAAGCCGGAGACCCGAGCAAGCCGACCCTGCGCGCAATCCTCCTGCAGTCTGTCTTCCCAGCCTACCTCGAGACAACGTTCACGAACCCCGCCGCATGGATGCTCAGCCGTCCCGTCACGCAGAGCATCACCCAGACTTTCCAGGAACTGCTCTTCCACATGGACACCACGGACCCTAACTGCGTCGCATCCGTCGTCACTCTCATCACCGCAGTCTTCCGCTCATCATACGCCACCCTCTACTCCCTCATCGAGAAGCCCAACAACACACTCCAAGACCCGCCCGCCACAGTCACAGCCGCCTCCTTCATCGACATGCTCACCTCCTCCCTCAAAGTAACAGACTACATAAACCGCGCCACAAACACAGCCACGCACCTCATCTCGCAAATCCACGCCTTCGAAACCCTCATCCTATTCCTCGCATGCACCCTCCACAACAACCCCCCGCAACAGAACACCTCCCCCCCTCGCCCTCCTCCCCAATCTTCACACCATCCTCTCCCACTACCACCCCCACCACCAATACCAACCCACCATTCTTTCACGAAATCTACCACTCCGCCACCCGCGAACTCCAATCCTACCTCAACGAGAGCTGGTCCCGCCACAACGCGAAATACTACTTCACGCGCCGCGGCGGCCACCACCCGCAGGAGGTAGCGCTGGAGCCGGCCGTCACTGCGCAGCTGGAGCGTTCAAGCGAGATGTTCGATGCTGCTTGTATGCGGTTTTTGGAGGTGGTGGGGGCGTTGGGCTTGGTTGGGTCTGACTCGTCGGCAGATGCTGGTCGTTTTTGAATGCTGGGGTGGTTTCAGTTCTCTACTATAGGCTTGGAGTAACCTGACCAGTCCTGCATGTGTGTATATGCATGTCTTATATAATATAATCTCATATCATATCTGCTATGTCATGTACCTTATCTAATGAACTTCAAAAGCGAAGCTAGAGATGGACTATAAGAGAAAGAGATAAGCATGAGCGCGGATTATAACAGATAGATTATGAGATACCTAGTACCAAGTAATATAAACTACGATTAAATAAAATAAATAGCATCTCATGCGAGAATAAATCATCCAATACCAAGTTAAAAACGTTGGATCTAGAAGGGAGCGGAGAGTAGGGCTACGATATATATATATATCCACATCTATAACCATGATGTAATCCATGAATAGAACACGAACCACAAATATAAAGCACATATTTGTTTCTACTGTTAACTCAAGGATATAGTGATATAATCATAACTTAATGCACACACCTAGAGATAGACCATAAACACAACCAAGGAAAGCAACGATCCTAGAGAAAGGAAATGGAGAAGGAAACATAAGATTGTAGTCGTGCTTTCCAGACTGCTTCTCCGTGATTATACCAGGTAGCTAGATTGCTAGATACCTACCTGGTAGGTGGTAGGTGGGAGGTGGAATGAATGTCATGCTAGCTACACTAATCCATCCATACCAACACCACAAAAAAGAGACCAAACCTGACAAAAACACGCCACCTACCTACCTATCTCCTAGGTAGGTAGCAATAATAAATAAACCAAGACACAAAGAGACACCAGAGACGCGCAAGGATACATAGACATAAGGTGGATGATGGGATGTGATATGATATGATACCCCGTACACATGCAATGACAGCACAATACATGGATGACATGATAGAGTAGTATGGAATAGAAAGACCATGATAGGGTGAATTATAACCGTTGAGGTATAGATGCTTTGATCGGGAGATCAAAAAAAGAAGAAAAGAAGGAATAAAGAATAAGATAAGCATAGAACAGTTGGTGCAAGTGATGATGCAAGAAAAACCAGACACAGACAGACTGACAGACAAGAAGACTCAGATCAAAATCATGACACAAAGAAATAGGGAAAAAAAGAAACGAGAAATGGAGTTGTTTCCCAAAACCGGCCCAATGCAACATGTCATCATCATTTACCAGACTGATTTACTTTCCTCGTCTCGGTGCATTGCGTTGCGTTGCATACACAAACAGAAAAGAGGAAAGAAGAGGAAAGAGAAGAGGAAGAGGGAGGAAAAGAAGATGAAGAAAAGAAGAACAATCTATGCGTTCTCCCCCGCATGCTCACCGGCATGCGCGGCGGCAGCCTCCTCAGACGGCTGACTGGACCCGCGTCGATGGAACGGATGTGACGGGTGGAAGCCCGAAAAGTGCAATACCTTGCGCACGGCGCTGGCGACTCCAGAGCGCCGTTTCGACTCCGGAGACGGCGGTTGTTTGTCGGCGGCGGCTGCCGATGTAGGTGCTGTCGAGATGTCGTCCCTAGCGCGGGGCACCGTGGCGTCGTCTTGGAGGACGATGTTCGTCGGTTTCGGCGGCCACTGGCCGTCAGATTTCCAGCCCTGTACCATGGATTTGGTGACATCGGCGAGGTTGATCGGCACCGTGGGTGTTAGGCCCTGCACGACAACTTTGGAGTAGATGCTTGGGTACATGGCTGGGGTGATGGAGGCGCGGATGGGGTTCGTGGTGGAGATTAGGGAGGGCACGACGGGGATGACGGGGTCGATGGCTTCTTCGGGCCGCTGCTGGTGCGCGACGGTGGACGCGACTGCTTTCGAGGCGGCGGTCGCCGGCGCCGGCGCTGGGGTGGTCGCCGTGGCGCCCTGCGTGTCGGGCTCGGTGATCGCCGTCTCGGTCGACCCTTGGTGTGCGTCTGCCGCCGTCGTGGAGTGGTCCTCGCCGTCGCGATCCTGCTGCAAGGGGGTAGCGTCCTTGTCCGATATGGTGAGCGAGGCGCCGGTCCTAGTCGCCAGATTGGACGAGTCTCCGGACGAGGAGTTCAACGTCCTTGCGGCGGCTTCATCGGAGGACACATCCGCATGGTGAGGTTCACCCAAGACCTCCGGTTTCGCGCGAGCCCCAGACCACGCATCGCGCCTCTCGACCCACGTCCTGAGGCCCTCGTTCCAGCGCATTTCCTCCTCCTCGTCCCTCCGGCGCTTGCGGCGTCGTTCCACGCGACCGCCGACAGGCGACATCATCGGGCTCCCCGGCTCCGACGAGTCATCGTCATAGCCCGTGGGCGACATCTGGGGCTCTAGCTCCGAGCCGGAGCTGTCGTATTCGCGGAGTCGCCATGCGGCGACCTCGTTCTGGGGCGGAGGCGGGAATGAGGTTGCGGGAGCTCCGTCGTCGGTGGAGGGCTGGAAGGTCCAGTCGTTCCGCACGACATCGCGAATGTAGCGCTTCGCGTCTCGGATGGCCGAGTCGCGGGCGTCGACGGCCATGGTTGTGGTCTGTCAGATCGAGGGTGGCTGAGGTGGGAGATGTAAGAGGAGGGGCAAGTGGCTGGCAAATCGCGTGAGGAGAAAAGCCCGGACAATGGATAGGTAGTTTTCGACCGGTTGTGGCTGGTGGATACCCCTCTTGGACTCGGACTCCTAATCTTCGGTTCGGCGAAGTATACAGAGAAATCCAGAGAGAAGAGCTCGAACAAGTGTATAGACAGCAATGGAGAAGAGGGAGTGAGAGAAGTGAGCAGATGAAGTCAAGGGATTTCGGGCGGATTCATTCGTCGATGTCATTGTATTTTTCCTCAGCTCTGGTATTCGTATTACGGGACCAGGCTAACCCGATGCGGCTGGGGCATGGCCAACTACCGGCTGAGTCATCAGCCCTATCCACGCTGTCTCTTTCTTGTAAAGTAAAGAAGTCAAAATGAATGCATATCATATTCTATCTACACAAATAACACCTATCGGTACAGTTTCTATATGGGCCCATATCGCTAATAGTACAAATCCATCCCATCCGATTCAAATTCCAACTGTATTGAGTGTATGCTTTCCCGTCATGTTCGCACCCGCGCGGCATCCGTGCCCTTCTCCTCGACGCTGGCCGGCATGAATCCCCAGCCGGGACTCTTCTTGCGTCGGCCCTTGCGGTCGCCGTACTGCTCGTCGAACTTGCGGATCGCCGACAGTGATGTCATGTCCTCGCTGATCGACGCGCTGATCTCTTCCATGCCGCGCTGGAAATGGGTTTGGGTCAGGGTGCGTCGTTCGGGGTATTGATAGGGCTCGTCGCCTTGGTGTTTCGCCGCTAGGTCGTTCTCTTCCCGTACGCATGCCAATGCGGCTGCCACAGACAGGTTCTTCAGGTCGGATCCCGAGTAGAGGTCGGTACGGCGGGCGAGTTCGGCCAGGTTGACGGTGGTATCGAGGGTTTCGTCCTTGAGGTGGATCTTCAGGATGGCCAGACGGTCTTGCTCCTTGGGAAGGTCCACGAGGAGTCGTCGCGGCAGACGACGGAGGACGGCGTCGTCTAGGTCAAACGGCCGGTTGGTCGCAACCATGATGAAGGCGGACAGGTCGTTCATTCCGTCCCACTCGCGCAAGAACTGGTTGATGAGTTCCCGGTGCGACGTGCGGCTGCTGGCTCCCGTCCGGGAGCAGAAGATGGCATCGGCCTCGTCGATGAACACAACACACGGGCTGAGTTTCTTGGCCAGGGTGAAGATGGCCTTGACGTTCTTCTCCCCTTCGCCCACGTACATGTCGTAGACCTCCGATCCACTGACCTCGAGAACTGTAGCACCACTCTCCCGGGCCACTGCCTTGGCCAGGAGCGTCTTTCCGGTTCCCGGGGGCCCGTAGAGGAGCAGTCCGGGGATCTTGTCCGTGGCGAGGACACCGTACGTGAACGCCTCGGGGCGGATGAGCGACAAGGACGTGAGAGTCTTCAGCGCATCGATCGTCTCCGGGGGGACCTGAACGTCGGAGAATGTGGTGCGGATGCTCTTCGCATCGACGACACCGTTCAGAAGCTTCTTCTCATGGGTGTTGCATGTCTTTCGCAGCGAGCTCAAGAGCTTCTCGCGGTCGTTGTCGTTCTCGGCAGTTCCGGTAGACTTCGCCGTCTTGTCCTGCAGCCAGCTGTTCTTGACCTGATCGGTCCTCTGCATCATCTCAATTCCACGCTGGATATGTTCAAAACCAAAGGGTTCGTCGGTTTTGAGACCGCCGAGCGCGAGCGTCGTCGCCCAGTGGATTTGACTGTACGACCAGTAACGCTCGTTGAGGCCCGAATCTTTCAGGGCCGCAATGTCCAGCGGCCAGTCACGGCCCGCAAATATATCGTCCTTGAGCGCAGACGGACTGTCGTGCAACCGGGTACGAAGCATGTCCTGCATGTGGCGAATGTTGATGTCCAATGTGCGCTTCGTTCGATCCTCCGTGAGTGCCTTCTCTACCGCCTCGGAGCGCATGGCCGGCGTGACGACCAGCATCTGGGAGAACTGATCATCGAAGGCGTTCTGCATTAATCGCGAGGCGTCCGACTCGGGGGTGGCCTCTTGGGCGGCCGTCCCAACGAACAAGACACGGGATCCGTCGCCCCGTTGGTCTTGAATCGCCTTCTGTAGCAAGTAGATGAATCGGCCGCCTTCGCGGGTATTCTGAATCTCGCCGTAATCCTGGACCTGGACGATGACGTCGCGGGTCTTCTTGGGCTTGGAGTTGCCCGATTCCGTAGTAGCTTCCGAGGGTTGTGCTTCCTGTTCTTTTGTCGTTGGTGTCCGTTGTTGTCCAGGGGATGAAATTAGTTCATGAAGGAGTTGAAGTCGCCGGTCCTCAGCTCTGTCTGTCGGATACTGTGATGCGGACCCCGCCGAGCCCTCGTTGCCGTTGAACGAGGCCACCAACGACTTCAATCCGAAAAGGTTCGGAAGTGGAATGTCGCCCGTATCCCGGGACCCATCGATGGTAATAAACTTTGGGCCCTTCACTGTCGGACGGAAGTTGCGCGACGGCATGGGAGTATCAAGGGCCTCGTCATCAGCTTCCGCTTCGTCACCGGCTTCGGGGAAACTCTCAGACACGGACGGACGATAGACCTCATAGCCTAGGGAACGAATGGCCGTCGTGGCACCCGTATCAGCGAGGTCCTGTTGACTGCATAGCTCGGCAATATCCTGGGCATTGAGCGTCACCAGATCCGCACCGAGCTCCTGCGATAGCCTCTTAACCACCGCATCCAAGAACAGCACACCGTCATTCCCCGGGTACTGGAGGACGAGATGTGACTTCCGCGCGGCAGGCTCCTTCGCATACTTCGCGGGGGGCAGTCGGATACCCGCCCTAGCAGAGGCGCACAGTTCCTCCCACAGCGCTTCGGCCACGACATAGCGGTGTTCGCCGCTAGAGGACCCGCCGGACACAGAGGGTTCTTCGCCGCCCTCACCACCCTGGGCCTCACGGCCCGTCGTGCTATGGTCGGCTTTGACTTCCGGCGCGCTGATCTTCACATGTTGCGTTGTATCCGCCGTCGTCCTTCCCTCGCCATCGTGGAGTACCGTGTTCCGTTCCCGGAACCACTTCGGCACGGTGACTTTCGGGGCGGCCTGTTCCGCGGCGGCCTTCTTGTTCCTCAGCGATCTCCGAATGGCTGATCCGTACGGTTTCGATTCGTTCTTTTCCGGACGTTCTACCGATGGTGCGGTGATGGGCGAGGCGCCCGGCTGGGGTGATACATTGGGCTCGGCACTGAAAGAGGGGATATCGTTGGCGACATTACTAGGCGTCGAGCCTGGAACTCCGTCCGATGGAGCTGACGACAGCCATCGGGTTGAAATATGGAAGCGACGCGAACAAACGGCGGCGGGATAGCGGCGATGGGCGACAAAGCGGCAGGGTCGTGCAAGAGACCTGAGCAACCGACCTTGTTGCATTGATGGGAACATCCAGGGCAAAGACTGCCACCGGGATCAAGAAATGAAGAATCTGCCGATGCTACCAGTTGTGAGGATGCGCATCAGCTGAAGAGGGAAGAGCGTGGTGAGAGTTGGGCAGGCTTGACTTTCTTGGCTTCATTGCCATCGTGATCCAGTATGCGGGCGAGTTTGCCGGCACGTGATGTGGCAGGTCTTGGCAGATGGATTGATACCTCATACCTCAGGCGGTGAACGCATCCATCTATGGATGTATTTTTTCGTCTGGAGATGATCCTGTGATTGATGATCTTGCTATCCTTTGTCAAATCTTACTGAATGTCCAATACTTTGTAGATTTCATGACTAGCCAGCCATGTGTGCTTTCGAATTGACATCGGTCGTAGTCCGGCCCGTCGAAGTATATATTTGCTATATCTGAAGCTTCGTCAAGCCACAATCTTATTTACTATATATAGGCTTCCTATCGACTCTAGTTTCTCGTACTTCATGCCACACTTGAACAGCTTCTATGGCCTTTCCTCGTATCCGGTCATCCACCATTGATTTTAATCGGTGAGGTGGAAACCCAGCTAGGTAGTCGACGCAGGCGGAGGCTCTTTTCAGCATGCCAGTTGTATAACTAACCAGGGGTCCGAGAAGATAGAATGGTGTATACATATTAGGACCAGGATACCAGGCCCTGGGTGCCACTACGTATACGAGCGAATGGATGATTCGTGATTGAGAAATTCTGATTGGATCTCATTTGCAATTATAACTGATCTATAGCACCCCACCTCCATTGATCCCATGCAGCACTCGCAATCCAGGATGTACCTGATGTCAAGTGGGTTGACGCTCGAGGCGATACTGCGGCAAGACACTAGATGCACTGTTAGCTGTCATCCAAGAGAATATAGTGGCAGCGAAAGAGCATAGATCAAAGTTCTCAGACAAAAGATACTGGCAAGTACAGACCGACCGGGAAAGGAAGGACCGACAAGTCTCCTCATGGTCGATTCGGAGGATTAAGAAGTAAAAAGTGTTTTATCATCTTCGAACAGGGGCAAGTGGGCAGGGGATGTAGGAAATGAAGGGAACTAACCATGGATGAATGGGGAGCACATTGACATGAGCTGATGTTGGTCAGTGTGGCGTGATCATCTGATGTCAGTGTTCGCGAAGGAAAACCAAGCCATTGATGGTCTTCCTGTAGAACAGAGCAAGAATCAGCTGCTGTCATGCCACAGGGTGCAATCAAGCCTTCTGTGTTCAACAGCAGAATTGTAGAGGTTGAAGAGAGAAAGAAAGAAGAAGCAGAAGAAAATCGAGTAAATGAAGGAAAAAAAAAAAAAAAGATCGGCGGGAGCGCAAGAACGATGATCCGAGCCGGCTAAATATTCACGTGATTACATACCCGATTAGGACTAGCGGGACGGGTGAATGACCGCGACAGCCAATGAGAGCGGAGCACGCTAATCCCTTTCGGGCGAGGAGAAGAAAAGCCTCACGAGAAACAAGAGAAGAGAAGAGAAGAGAAGACGATGAGAAGCGAACAGGGAAATCAGGAGAGATTCAATCAATCTTGATTTTGGATGAAGTTTTCCTGGATATTTTCATTTTCTGTTTTTCCTACTTGATATATATAAATTTCTTTTTTGATTTTACTCTTCTATTCTTCTCTATCTTCTCTCTGATACACCATACACAACCTCCCTGACCACTATCTCTTCATCTGGATCCTATCTGGAGTCCAACTGATTTGATCGATCTCTGGGTTGACCAACACATTAAAAGAAGGATTGACTTTGTTGGCGATCATTCTATTTTCTCTTTACCTTTTTTCCCCATAGTTGTGGGCTCCCGATCTCCTAACCTAGTATACCACCACTACTACTGCTACATCTGACTGCGACCGCTGCCAACCCAACCTAACCTAACCCGATCTTCCTCTCTCTCTCTCTCTCGCTCTCTTCCTCCCACTCTATTACTCCCTCTCTCCCGTTCATTCCTCCCGTTCATTCTCTCTCCTCCTCTTCCTCCTCCTAATCAACAGAGTCCCGCCTTATTATTACGGATTACAGTCTGGGATTCATCACCGACTCCCGTTCTTCCCTTTTCTCCTCCCCCCATCATCCTCTCTCTCTCTCTCCCTCTCTCTCTCTCCCTCTCCCTCTCCCTCTCTCTTTCTTTCTTATCTCTCCTCTCTTTCGCGCGCTCTCATCTTTACCGACTCCCTCTGGTTTCCTCCCGTTCCCACCCATCGCGAAATCCCCACTCCCTCACCACCGCCTCTTCCCTCCCTCTCTTCTCTCTCCTCCCTCCCCTCCTCCTACTTTAAATCCCTCAGTGAGGGTTTCAGACTGTTCAACGCCTGACAGGCCGCGGTGATTTGGTCGGCTTCAATCCATGCTGTTCATCCCGTGTCGTTTTGGTGGATGATACCGGCGCAGGCTCAATAAGGATCGCTCTCGTTTCTTCTCCCCCCCCCCCCGTCAGCTGCGTCTTGGCCTCCGCTCCGACAACACCACAAAAAAGCGACTTGGTGTTGTGCACCACGTCAAGCCCTCTCAGTCGAGTCCCTCGCCCGCCTCTCATTCCACCTGTCTTCGTTTCACCGTTTCACCGTTTCACCGATCTTTTTGCTTTTCTCTTCTCTGTCTCCCCTTCCGTCGCTCCCCTCGATTCTTCCGTTCGTTCGCTCCGTGTTTTCCGACCGCGTCCGACATCCTCGCGTTTTCCCACGTAGGAGTCCCGTTATCGGCGACTTCCCACCACAATGATGATGGCGCAGCAATATCCCGGCCACCAAGGCATCCCTCAGCACCCTGGGTTACCGCCTGGTCATCATCCAATGGCCCCAGGTCAACATCCAAACGCCCATCCCGGCGCCGGCATGGTCCCCCCGGGCCATCCGGGGGTGTCCGCGCCCGGAGCGCCTCAGGTCACCCAAGGCGCTCCGATGATGGGCGGAATGCCACCAGGCGCGGGCACCACCGCTCCTGGCGCTCCCGTTCAAGCCCACGCCCTCTCCCATTTGGGCCCCCAGGCTCACTTGTTTCAGCAGCCTCATTTCGCTCAGAACTGTAAGTCAATCTCCTACAACCCAGAAACCCGACCGTGTACAGCATCCATCCATTTGAATTTTTTTTTTCTCTTCTCTTTTTCTTGCGTTTATGAACTTTTTCCTTGGTTCCTTTCATTGGTTTTTACTCTTTGGATACCCCCTTGTCTTACTGCGCGCGACCGTGGGACGTTTCATCAGAATCACGCGTCATTTTCTCACCTCATTGGTCTCGGATGCTAACATGCCCTGTCTCGACCCTCTAGTTGCAAATAACCCGCATCTTCTTCAGCCCCATCAACAGCAATTGATGCGGCAACGCATGTTTCTCCAACAACAGCAACAACAGCAACAGCAACAACAACAACAACAACAGCAGCAGCAACAGCAACAGCAACAGCAGCAGCAGCAGCAGCAGCAGCAGCAGCAGCAGCAGCATGGGGGTCTCCCCGTGTCACTGCCAAATGGCACCCCGGGGCTGACCGGCGCGCAGATTGCCAGCATGCAGGCCAACCAAGGGATGCGACCGATGAACATGCAGATGCAACTCCAGCAAATGCCACATGGACAGCCGCAGAGCATCCAACAGCAACATCTGTTCGCCTTGCAGCAGCAGGCGCAACAGGCACAACAGGCCCAGGCCCAGGCACACGCCCATCAAGCCCAGCAGGCTCAACAGGCGACTCCCACCAGCCAACCGGGGCACCACACCCCCCAGCAACGCGCCGCTCCCCAACCCCAGAATCTCCATGACGCCCAGAGTGTGACGCCCCAACCCCAGCCCCCTCCGCCGCACCAGGGAAGCAGTACCCCGCAGTCGAATCCTCCGTCGGTGCCCACCTCGCAACCCCCGCAACAGCAGCCCGCGCCGCCCCCGCCGCACCAGACCCCGAACCCGCCCCCCCAACAGTTGCAGCAGCCCCAGCAGCCGGGTCAGCAGCCGGGTCAGCCACCCCAGCAGCCCCCGCAGCAACATCCGCAGGGTCAGTCGCAGCCGCAAGGGCAGCCGGGTCACCCCGGTCCACAGCCACAACAACCACCTATGACGGCGCAGGAGGCCCAGATGAAGGCGCAACAGCAGCAACAACAACAGCAGCAGAACAATGCGGCCCTAATGATGCAGTCGCGCATGAGCACCAAGGGTGCGACGCTTTTGATCTTAAGCTCCTTCGCGGAGCAATTAGGAGCCTTCCAGAGTCGCGGCGAGTCACCGGACCTGGGCTACTGGCAGAATTTCGTGGATCGATTCTACTCCCCGGGAGGAGTGTTGCGCCAGGGCGTCTACAATCCGCAGGCGGGATCGAAGCAATTTGAGATCGCGACGCCCGCCCTGGCGCGGTATTACATGACCCAATTCACCAGCGGGATCCGACGCATCCAGATGGTCGTCGAGGCCGCGCGGGAGCGGGAAGTGCCGAACGGCGGTCATATCGTGGACAGTCCTAAGACCTCGTTCCTCTACTGGTTCGCGAACGACACCCAGGTTAGTTTACTCCGAGGGTAGACGTGTGAAGGGATCGCTAACCTCCGGTACAGCTCCACACGGACGGGACTATGCGGGCGCACTTCGACGCGCAGAATAAGATCGAAATGCTCGATATTGTCGTCATGAACCATACCGAGTATCTGCCGCGGGGTCAGCTGCAAGCGCTGGAGCTGGCCGACCAGAAGCAGAGCCCCAAACTCACCAAAGGTGCGGGGAAGCGACAGCAGAAACAACCCCCGCAGCCGTCCTTCACGCTCCCGGAATCTATGGTGACTGCCAACGGGGTACCCACCGCGGTCATGAGCTTTCTCGAGGTGAGTGCGAATCTCCAGGCGATGCTTCCACATGTTCTCGTGCTAATGAAGGACGGGGATGTAGGTCGCGGAAACGATCTCTCAAATGCAGATGCTCTTCCAGTTCTCCCAGCATAATCCCCAATTGTCCGCTCCCGAAGCCCTCCGGAGCCTGGTCAATACTCTGCAGACCCAACACCCGAACCCTGGAATGATGCAAGGGCCCATGAATCCCGCGATGAACCCGGCGATGAACCCGGCAATGAACCCTGCAATGAACCCGGCGATGAACCCGGCGATGAACCAGGCGATGAATCCCGCCATGAACCCGGCGATGAATCCGGCAATGAATTCGGCGATGAATCCTGCGATGAACCCGGCAATGAACCCGGCCATGAACCCAGGCATGAACCCAGGCATGAATCCGGCCATGAACCCGGCTATGAACCCCGCCATGAACCCTGCCATGATGAACCCCGCTATGAATCCCGCTATGAATCCGGGGATGAATGCAGCGATGAACCAGATGAACCCCGGCATGCAGCCGGGTCAGCATCCTCGCGGACCCAGCTACAGCGGCCCGAACCAGTTCGCCTCGCCCGCGGCGGGGCATCTGAACCTGCCGGGGGCACAAGGGTCGCCTCACCTGGGCGGATCGGCGCATGCCAGTCCCGCGGGGAGTAATATGACGGGGACTCCGCACATGATGCCGGGACAAGTTCCGAACGCGGCACCGGCCACCAGCGCCAGCGCCAGTCCCAACGTCAGCAACAAACGCCGACGGGCCAGCACGGTGAAAATGGAGAACGACGGCGGAGACATGAACGGTACTGGCGCTCCTGGTCCCAAGGTCAAGCCCAGCCCCCGGATGGGCAAGCGACAGAAGGGCGCCGGATAGTTCCTGGCTGAGCGGGATGCATCTCGGATCTGTCTTTCCTTGACGTCTCTCTTCCATTTCATTCCATTTTCTCTTTTCATTTATCTTGCGATTACACTCTCAAGAGGCGGGGAATCGGCGTTTTGAGGATTACCTGTTGTGAGGCTCTGCTGGTCGTTGCGTTCTTATCGGGTCTCTTGTCTCATCTCTGCTTTTCGTTTTCTGAACATATCGGGTGGTGTCATATTTTTTTGTTTTTCTACCCTAATCTTTCTGCTCTGTGTTTGCCATTTGCGGATGAAGCTTTGGTCGATAGCGACTGTTTCTTGCATTCCTACGTGCCATGAATCGGGCTTTGGTGTGGTCGACAGGGGTCTCTTCTCCTACCCCGAGTTTGCCTCGTATCTCATCGCGGCCCCATGTACTCTTATGCGATTCTTTATTGTGGCCGACATGGTCTAACTGTCCACTCGGCATGTTGGCTGTGTCCTTTGTCCCATGTTCCTTCGGTTGTTGCGCTTGCACTACGACGCGTGACTGATTGACAGCGCGATGTTCGCACGATGCTAGTCTATTTTTCATTTCTTCATATCTTGATATCCATGTTCGACCATTGGCGACTGCTGCGTGGCGTTGGGTTTCTGCTTTTTTGGGATGTTCTTTCGTCCGGGACCGATCTGCGTTATACGTTTGTTAATGGAAAGATTTGGTCATTTGCTGGCTTTATATTGCGTAGTGGAAGTATTGTAGCTGGTCGTTCGCCGAAAGCGCCCACTAGGACGATCATCGGGGATCGTCACGGTTTATCTTATCAGTATGAGATCACAAATGGATTCATGTCAGCAACAGAGTAACAAAATAACCTTATTGGTCGTGCTAGATCAAACCCGACAGTATCGCGATCCACCGACAAAAACGGCCATGAACTAGGCACTGTAATGAGTACCCAGTTTCGGCAACCTCCGCGGGGGACTCGGCGGACGATGGCCGATACGACATACCGTAGCTTGGCTGGTTAAGTACTTCTTTAGCTAGTAGTTACCCCTCCATACCTCATATTCCCCTCCTTCAACCTTGCTTCTCCCCATTCTACCTCCACAGGTACATTGATTCTGTATCAAAATGTCGCATTCCCACTCCCACGACGGTGACCTCGGCCACTCCCACGCTGCTGAGCACGGCCACTCCCACGAGATCCTCGATGGACCGGGCTCGTACATCAACCGCGAGCTGCCCCTCGTTGAGGGCCGCGACTGGAAGGAGCGGACTTTTACGATTGGGATTGGAGGGTGCATCTCACTCTCACTCTCTCTCTCTTTCACTCTGTGTGATCTTGAACTGACTAACTCGTGATGATTGTATGTAGGCCTGTGGGATCCGGAAAGACGGCTCTGATGTTAGCGCTGTCGAGGGCTCTCAGAGATGAGTATAGTATTGCTGCTGTGACGAATGATATCTTTACGAAGTGCGTCTTCCCACCTTCCATACCATATCTAAGTATTTCAAAACATCCAGCTAAACAGCTCAAATAACAGAGAAGACGCCGAGTTCCTCACCCGCAACCGCGCCCTCGCCCCCAGCCGCATCCGCGCCATCGAAACAGGTGGGTGTCCCCACGCCGCCGTCCGCGAAGACATCAGCGCAAACCTCCTCGCGCTCCAAACCCTGCAAAAGCAATTCTCGCCCGACCTCCTCCTCATCGAATCCGGCGGCGACAACCTCGCCGCGAACTACTCGCGCGAGCTAGCAGACTTCATCATCTACGTGATTGACGTCGCGGGCGGAGACAAGGTGCCGCGCAAGGGCGGACCGGGCATCACGGGGTCTGATCTGCTGGTTGTGAATAAGATTGATTTGGCGGAGATTGTGGGTGCGGATTTGAGTGTTATGGAGCGCGATGCGAGGAAGATGAGGGAGGGGGGACCGACGGTCTTTGCGGAGGTGAAGAATGGGAAGAAGGGGCTGGAGCATATTGTGGGGTTGATTTTGAGTGCGTGGAGGAGTACGGGTGCTTATGATGTTGCTTTGGAGAGGTGGAAGGCTGGGGGAGTGAGGGGGTCCGGGTCGTTGGATGAGTAGTTCTTTCTCTCTCTTTTTCTCTTTTTCTTTGGGTCCGTCTTGACCTTGATCTGGATCTGTTCGTTTGATGATGGTTTATATGTGGGTGACGGCATTAGTATATCAGGGTGATTGATAGCTTTAATTCACTAGATTTACAACTTTTGATCTCGTAGAAAACGCCACAAATGCACACATATCATGAGTCGATGAGAGGTCTTGGGTATCTGACAGCGCACCCCTTCTCGAAAAAACAGACAAGTGAAAACGACAGAAAACAAGAGGAAGAAGAAAAGATCAAACCTCCCTCTTGGCAAACCTCCCCAGCGCAGGTCCCAGATCCTCCCGCTCCGTCTGCAACCGATCGCGCGCCCGCGACTGGTGCTCCTTGCGCAGCATTTCGGCCTTGATGCGCTTGTCGTCGATGACGTTGCGACGGCCCTTCTTGCGCAGGTACTTGCGCAGCGCGCTGTTGCGGCCCCGACCGCGGTTCTTGAGCTTCTCCATCGGATCTTCGGGTCGGCGGTCGAGGTCCTTCTCGTCGCGGTTCTTCTTGTCGCGGATTGTGTCCAGCTTGCCGACGAAGTGCGGGTCCAGGGAGATCATGTCTGGTTGCAGCTTGTGCAGCAGGCCTCGCACTTCCGCTTCCTGGCGCTGCTTGGTGTTCTCGTAGGGGTTGGCTTCCAGGGCGTCGAAGTTGGGCTCGCCGGCGCCGGGGACCAGGATGCTTGCGAAGCCTTTGTCGTGTGTCACGCCGAGGACGTCTTCGAAGGGGCACCACTGGACGGTTTCCATGCGGTGGCCGTCGCCGCCCCAGTTGAGGTAGGGGCTCTGCACTTTGCCTTGGTCGGCGAGTGCGGCGTCGAAGAGGCCCCGCCAGACGCTGACTTGCGTGCCCCAGCCGACGGCTGTTAGGTTGCGGTCGCTGATCGAGACGGACGCGCCCGGCTGGTAGCACGAGTAGGAGTGCACTTCGCGGAACATGCGGATGTCCCAGACGTTCATCTTCATGTCTTGTCCTGTTGACACCATGTATCGGCCTTGACGGTCTATGGCCATTGACCGCACGGGGCCGCGGTGGACCAGGGCTTTGACGAGTGCCGTTTGCGAATTCGGCGACCACAGGGTCACCGTTCCGTTCTGGTGACCGACGTGCATGATTGCGTTCCAGGGGTTTTGGCAGAGGGAGGTGGGTGCGCCCTGTCGGGTGGGCAGCTCTGCCACCATTTGGCCCGTCGAGGTGTCGGTGTACTTGAGGTGGCCGCTCATTTGCTACACATCGTATCAAGTTAGCGTCTGTCGGGGTTATTTTGAAGGGATTGGATAAGGACGTACAGCGCCCACGAGAAGAAAGTGGTAGGGCAGGAAATCGAGGAAGAGCGGCTCCAGATGCCGGTTGAGACAGTGCACCTCCGCTCCCGAATGGTCGTAGATGTAGATGTATTTCTTCTGTGCCACCGCAAAGTACTGGTTATTATGCAACCACTTGGCATCCCGCACCGTCTCTCCCAGCTGGAGCTCGCATCCCAGCTTGCCAGCCCGCCAGTCCATCGTCGCGACATGTCCCTTGCGGCCCGCCAGCAGCAGATCCTTTCCGTTCCTCGTGTAATCAAGCCGGTAAGGGCCCAGGTCGTTCAGCTTCAGCTCGAAGCCCTTCTTCGCCGTCTCGATGCCCACGTTCTCGCGGATCTCGTCCTGGCGGACTTTGTACGTGCGTTCGAGCTCGCCTTCCGTCTCGATGAATCCCGCATCGTGTTCCAGCAGTATCTCCGCGTCTTTGGCCTTCAGTGCCGCATCCTGGTACTTTTCCTCCACGCCCTTCAGCGTCCGACGGAGCTTTTTGTCTCGCACACCCTGCGTGTGGATGGCCTTGCCGCGGCCATACTTCTCTTGCGCCTCGGCCAGCCGCTTGTTCTCTTTGCGCTGGGCGGGCGCCACGGCCGTGGTGGGCGCGGAGTCGGGCATGGATGGGAATGTGAATCGGTAGGATGGACTGGACTAGTAATTTAAATACCGACGAAAGAAAAAGAAAAGGGAAATCCGAAGTCGAGCGTTTTGTCTGGAACGAACGGGCGATGCGAAGAGCAGCAACTTTTTTTTGCGGGTCAAAAAACCCGCCAAGACTTCGCTTGATCGTCCACCGCCCGATTTTTTTTCCTCCGTTAAGCTTGTCTCTGGTCTGGGACTGTTGGTTCTCCACGAGATCTTGCTATTCTGCCTTTTTTCTTGATTCGAGTTTAATATCGCTTTTATATCCACTGGACAGGGTTTGAACTCTGTACATATCCACCCTGGCCTCCCTTCCATTCCGTTTTAAAGGGTCCGGCGGTGCCAATATGGCGCCTATCACCCAGCACCACCATCGCTCCACCACCAAGAGCGCCAACAAATCCTACAAACCCCGCCATGCCTCCAAGGGAACCCTGAAGGACAGGGAGAAGGGTATGTGATTGTCACGAGCCCCTCATCTCTTCCGATAAACTTCCTCAGCAACTGACACTCCATAGGCAAAGTCGAGAGATCCGAGCGGGGCACGCGCAAAACCCCCCACCAACAGCTCATGTCGAAACTCGATCGTCGCAACCAGGCCCGCCAGAGACAGCAGGTGAAGCATCAGGAGAAGGCCCAGACGGTCAGCGTCTTTGCCGGTCAACATGGAGCCCCCCGCCATGTCGCCATCGTTCCCCTCACCTCCGATATCGATATCCCCGCCGTCGTGCGGTCGTTGAACGAGAGCGTCGACGCCTCGAGCGATATGTCCGATGACTCCGTCTCCCGCGTGCACATTGCTCGCTTTCGCCAGAGTCTGCAGTACATCCCCGCCAAGTATGACCTCATGAATGCGCTGGATGTGTGCCGCATGGCCGACTTCGTGGTGTTTGTGCTGTCGGCCGACGTCGAGGTTGACGAGGAGGGTGAGATGCTGCTGAGGTCAGTTGAGGGTCAGGGTATCTCCAATGTGGTTGCGCTTGTGCAGGTCAGTACATACGGCATCCAAGTTTTCCAGTGGGTGAGCATGTCGCGCTGACTGAGCTGTTCATAGGGTCTTGATCAGATCAACCCCGCCAAGAAACGCCCACAGGTGGCCGGGTCTCTGAAGTCATTCATGAACCACTTCTTCCCCGCCGTCGACAAGGTCCTTTCCACCGACTCCCGACAGGAGTGCTCCAACGCCATCCGGTCTCTCTGCACTGCGACGCCGAAAGGAATTCACTGGCGCGAAGACCGCAGCTGGATGCTGATCGAGAATGTTCAGTGGCCCGAGGCTACTTCCGAAGTGGTGGACGACGTTGTAGTGACGGGTGTGGTCCGTGGAAAGGGTTTGAAGGCGGACCGCCTGGTGCATATTCCCGGCTGGGGCGATTTCCAGGTCGACTCTATCACATCCGCGCCCTTGCCCTCTGCGCGGGCCAAGCGCGGCGACACCATGAATGTCGACGAGACCGAGACGACGCAGGTCCTTGACGTGCCCACCGACGACCGTGACGACTTGGCCACTGTGGCGCCGGAGGAGATCGAGATGGAAGATGACACCATGGAAGTCCCCGAGGCGGAGCGGAAAGGTGTGCTCCTGGACGACCACCACTACTTCTCCGACGATGACGCCCACATCCCCGAGAAGCCCAAGAAGTTGCCTCGGGGCACATCCGACTACCAAGCCGCCTGGTACCTCGAAGACGTATCTGACTCGGGCTCCGACGTCTCCGACATGGATGAGGATCAGGAGATGGAGATGGACACCGCCGGCGCCCCCGAGGATGGCGTGTTCCCCGATGCCGCCGACGCCATGACCGAGGCTGGTAACACCGAATACCCCCAGTCCGAGATGTTCCAGGACCGGTCCCCGGAGGACGAAGCCGACCAGCTGGAGGAGTACCGAGCGAGCCGCCGCCAAGAGGCCGACGAGGACCGCGAGTTCCCCGATGAAATCGAACTGCACCCGAACGTGCTCGCACGCGAGCGACTGGCCCGCTTCCGCGGCCTGAAGAGCCTCAAGACCAGCGTCTGGGAGACGTCAGAAGACCGCCCCTACGAGCCCGAAGACTGGCGCCGACTCCTCCAAGTCGGCGACTACAAGGGCATCAGGAACCGCACTCTCCGCGAAGCCCTCATCGGCGGCGTCAACCCCGGCAACCGCGTCGACGTCCACCTGCGCGCCGTCCCCGCTACCCTGCGCAGCCGGCCGCAGCCCCTCTCCCTCTTCTCGCTGCTCCGCCACGAGCACAAGCACACCGCCGTCAACGTGAACATGCACCTGAGCGCGAGCTACGAGGAGCCCCTCAAATCCAAGGAGGAGCTCATCGTGCAAGTCGGCCCCCGCCGCCTCGTCGTGAGACCCGTCTTCTCCTCCGCCGACAACACCCCCAACAACGTGCACAAGTTCGACCGCTTCCTGCACCCAGGCCGCAGCGCCCTCGCCACGTGGATCGGCCCCGTAACATGGGGCGCCGTCCCCGTTCTCGTCTTCAAGAACCAGCGCGTCCAAGACCCCGAGGTCCTCGACGACGCCGCCGCCGACGACAACGGCCCCTCGCGCCTCGAGCTCATCGCCACCGGCACGGTCGTCGCGCCGGACCCGTCCCGCGTCGTCGCCAAGCGCTCCATCCTCACGGGCCACCCCTTCAAGATCCACAAGCGCGTCGTCACCGTCCGCTACATGTTCTTCAACGCCGAGGACATCGCCTGGTTCAAGGCCCTGCAGCTGTGGACCAAGCGCGGTCGCAGCGGCTACATCAAGGAGAGTCTGGGTACCCACGGTTACTTCAAGGCTACCTTTGATAGCAAGATCAACCCGCACGACTCTGTCGGCATCAGTCTTTACAAGCGCGTGTTTCCGCGTAAGGCGCTGGCTTTGGAAGATGTTGCTGCTGGTGCGGAGGCTTAAGTTGAGAGGATTCCTTCGATATCGGATGTGAACGAATGGATGGATGATGGATGATGGAAGGGTTGGACGGATATGATACCACCAAATAAAACCGCTGCATGAATTGATGAGTCTAACGTCTGAAAGAGACGATGTCTGTCTGGGAATGGAACGGACGTCGCTTAAAGGAAAGCGAGAAAAAAAAAGCATGAGCATTTGCCATTTCTTATAGATATATGTTAATGGAGTTTCTTTTTTACTTTTTTTGAAACTCTTATTTTGTTTCCTCTTGTGGGTTTCGTAGGTGGATTTGGGTCAAAATGAAGTATGTCAATTAGTTGGCTGGACTACCTGTGTAGGTACCTATCCATCCGTTGCATCCTAGGTTGAGTTGAACCAACTCATTCGTTGAAGCCAAGTAATCAATCATTCATGACCGCATATAAGTGACACTGGCGAGAGCCAGCAAGTAGAGACAGACACTCGGAGCGACCGTACGGCCCAGTTTATAGATGATATGAATGTGAGACAGACACCCTTGTGGAAAAACAAAACACACGCCAAAGGGAATAGATTGGAGACAAAACAAATAGAGACAAGAAAAGAAAGAGAAAGAAAGGAGTAAAAAAGTCTAAGAGAAGTCCTCGCCCGCCTCTTCGATGTTGTTCTTGACTCGCAAGAGCAGCGTGGTCTTCCACTTATCCAGCTTGCTGAGCTGGTCGAATTGGAACAGCTTGTCCGCAAAGGCCTCCTGGTCGCCGTTCTCGATGGCCTGGGCCAGGTCGACAAGCAGCTGGTGTTCCCGCGTCGACGCGAACGTCGTGTCGATCTCCCGGTAGCTTTCGAGGGCACGCCCGGTGGCGACCAAGTCCTATCTCGGAGGTTAGATTTGCGGCGTAGGTGGAATTGCAGAATGGTATAGAACCAACCTTGGTGGCCATGTGGCAGATACCGGCCTTGAGGAAGTAATCCTTGACCGACCACTTCATCAAGCTGTTGGAGATGGAGGAGCGGCCGATGCGCTCGTAGTGCTCGATGGCCTTGTAGTAGTCTTCTTCCAGGGCGGCCAGGTCCGCCGCTTTGAGGTAGTGCTTGTTTGCGAGACTGTAGATGATATCAGTTTGCAGTCCTGACAGGTACACGATATCAGACGTGGAATACGTACGCCTCGGCGTTGTCGCTGTCGAACCATTCGGCGGCCTGTTCGTACGCCTCCAGGGCCTTCTTCTGATCTCCCATCTCCATTTCATACAGCTCAGCCAGGTGCTGCTGTTGCGTGGCAGCCCGACGAAGGTTGCCCTTTAATACGTAGTGTTGGATGGCGCTGGCGAGCACACGGGCAGCATCCTCGGGGTCCGATTTGCGGTAGACCTTGAAGGCCTCCTGAAGGGTGTTGGCGGCGTCATCGGGCTCATTTAGGTTCTGAGACTGAATCGAAGCGGCCTTTTCAAAGGCGAGACCAGATTCCTTGTCTAGACGAGTAAAGAACAGGTGGTTAGCATCTCATGTCTATCTGACAGTGGGGGAGGCTCTGGACGGCCGTGGGTAGGCGGGGGGCGCTGGGGGGTGCCTACTCAGCTTCTGTACCCGGAAGGCATTTGCCGCTTGGGTATACAAATCGGCTGCATTCTCATACTTCTCTGTTCGGCCTCCGAAGAAGCTGAATCCACTGGTGGCGCCGCTCAAAGCTTTTTCGGCCTGGGGGGTTTGGTCAATGATCACCCGAAGCGGGGGGGAAGTGGGCTTGTAGAGGGGGGAGGACTAACTCGTTGGATGAGGACTCGGGGATCTTGCGCCATGATGAACAAACTGCAACAGCCACTGGATACAAAATGAATCAAGACACTGAAAAAAGGCAAGAGTGGAACTCAAAGATGGAGGGGATAGTTTGGAAATGATATCGAAGCCTGGAGGTGGTGGTGAACAGCCGACGTAAGAGCAGCCCAGCTTGGACGCCCAATGCGGCAGGCGGTCAGAGGACCACCACTCTATCGACCGAGTCTCTGGAATTTCTTCCATGTATCAACAGAGTCAGTCAACTGGATCCATTCTAGACTTCTCTTTTCTTTGTCACTCTCTCAATCCTTGCTAAAGGCTTACGTCGGTTGTGCTAAATTTTATACCATCATACGTACCCTAATCCTTACAATGCGCTGTCATCGACTCTCTCCTCTACTGGTCTCGACCTGTCGTCGATCCCTACGTCCTTCCCAACCGTCGAGATTCCGACTCTACTCGTCGAATGCAGATTCGCAAGACTTCGAAGCATTTTTGGCCAAGCCGACCTGGTCTACGCGTTCTCTGCTCCCCGATAAAACCAGCCAAACAACCTCGCCGTCAGTCACCCCGGAACAACTCCGTCACCTATTGCGTCTATCAGCCTTGCCGCAGCCCTCCAGTAAAGAACAGGAAAATAAGATGCTGGAAGATCTCGAAGACCAGATCCATTTTGTGAAGGAGATCCAGCGCGTGGACGCGTCGAACGTAGAACCTTTGCAAAGTATTCTGGATGAAAGCCCCGAGGCCGTCAAGGAGAAGACCATTGGACTGCAGCAGCTCAAGACGGCCATGTCCAAGGAGCGAGTAGTTGGACGTCACAAGCGTATCCAGCGCATTGAGGGCGAACGCAATGAACGACCTGACGGGGATGCGTGGGACGGCAATGCGCTCGGATATGCCTCACGGACGAAGGGCAAATTCTTCGTCGTGGACACGGGCAAGGGCAATGGCAATGGCAATTAAGGGTACACCGTACTACGGAGTACTCAATTCCTGCTCTTCCTCATGCTTTAAGCTGAAATTGGTGTTGCTCAATGATCGTTTGCAGCAACACTGCGGAGTAACGAGAGTGACGAACGGTGGCTCTGATTTCTGGGCGCTGAGTCAGCCGATGATTTCATCGCCTCCGACAGCAGGCAGATCAACAGACGACAAGCTTGTTCTTTCCCCTCCCCGGGTCTATCGCCTTCATATCTGCCCACAGCCGGTTGCTGACTTGGCTCATACTTATCATTGTTTTTCGATTGATTTAATTGGCATTTGGGCTCAATGTGGAAGAACATTAAGGATCATGCGAGCAAGTTCGGGGCGGGCTCCGAGGGGTCTGCTCCGAAGAGGGACGAACAAGACCAGGACCTCACCACCATCCTGGACCGTTCCCAAAGGGCCGAACTCACGATTCTAGTGGCACAGATTACCGCCAATATGCGACACGCAATTGAACGGAATTTCCATCCGTCCAAGCCGGCAACACACGATTCCGCTGGCCAACCCGCCGATAATCAGGACCAGAAAGAAAGCCACTTGCAGTCGTCTTCATCAACCCTGGAGAAAGAATGGCACGACAGCCGGCCATCTTCTCAGGACCGCAAGTCTGAATCTAGCGCGCTGTCCGGCTTCGATGCCTGGAGAGACTCCGTTCTCCTTCGGATTGGTCAGGTTGTCAACAAACACGACGAGGATGAAACGAAAGCTGAGGATCCGATCGGGAACGAGGAGGACGAGCAGCCGTTGAAGGGGGCCGCCGAAGATGAGCGCTCCTTAAGTCGATTACGCAGTGTATACCCTCCGGTCGACACCCCGCTCTCCCATCTCCCGGAAGCCAAAAGGCTTCTGATCCTTCACGCACTGCTTCTGCTCCTGCTCAGTTTGGAACACTACGATGCCAGATCGCGTGTTTTGATGCTCAACGTCTCGTCAAGTTTGGGACTTTGCATTCGAATCTTGAACGGCGACGAAGTCAAGGTTGCCCGGGGCTTACTGGACAACGCGCTCGCGCTCTCAGGAAACCCCGAGGCGGCGGAAGCTAGCAAAAAAGGCGACTCGTCCCGAAAATGGAAGGTTGGCATTGCGTCTGTCACAGGAGCCGTCTTGATCGGGGTTACGGGTGGTCTTGCTGCACCCCTGGTGGCGGCTGGCTTGGGAACGGTGATGGGAGGGTTAGGTTTAGGCGCGACGGCCGCCGCCGGATATCTCGGCGCTCTGGCGGGCAGCGGGGTGATTGTGGGAGGCCTCTTCGGGGCGTATGGGGGCCGCATGACGGGAAAGATGATCGACCAGTACGCGCGTGAAGTTAACGATTTTGCGTTTATCCCTATCCGGGGATCGTCCGCGCGGCCAAAAGACGACAAGGAAGCGGCGCAAGAGGATCATCGTCTGCGGGTGACAATCGGCATCACGGGCTGGGTGACTGGCCAAGACGATTTTGTCGTTCCGTGGCGCGTTGTGGGCTCGGACTCGGAGATGTTCGCGCTGCGCTGGGAAATGGAACCCTTGATGAGACTAGGCAACGCCATGGACCTGCTCGTCACCAGCGCGGCATGGACAGCGGGAGAGCAAATCGCCGCCAAAACCGTCTTCGCAGGTCTCCTGAGCGCCGTGGCCCTCCCGCTCACCCTTTTGAAGGTCACCAAAGTGGTCGACAACCCCTTCAGCGTCGCTAAGTCTCGTGCCGACAAGGCGGGCGAAGTCCTCGCCGACGCACTGATTCACGAAGTGCAAGGCAAACGCTCCGTCAACTTGATGGGATATTCCCTTGGATCCCGCGTCATCTACTCCTGCCTGCAAAGCCTCGCCCGGCGCGGCGCATACGGCATCGTGGAGACAGCCGTGCTGATGGGGTCTCCCATCCCGTCAGACACAGAAGACTGGCGTCGTCTGCGCGGGGTCGTCAACGGCCGACTGGTGAACGTGTACTCCGAAAATGACAGCGTGCTGGCATTGCTGTACCGGACCAGCAGTCTGCAGATGGGCGTCGCCGGGCTCCAGCCGGTAGAAGACGTACCGGGCGTGGAGAATTTCGACGTGAGCAAGATGATCAGCGGCCACCTGCGGTACCAGTTCCTGGTCGGACGTATCCTCAACCAAGTCGGGCTGCAGAGCATCGACGTGCAAGAAATCCAGCAGCAGGAGGCCGCCCTGCGGGCCAAGTCCCGCCGCCAGGAAGCAGAGCGCATCCAGAACGAGCGTCTGGCGGGTGTCGACCCCGACAAGCACCAGGTGGACGAGAGCGCGGCGGCCGACGAGGAGACTCGCCTCCAGAGACAGTTGGAGCGTCGCACGCAGGAACACCTGCCGGCCCGTCCACGGAGACGGTCTACGTCTAGTGAGGGTGAGCGGCCGGCTTTGCCTGAACGACCGGCTGTTCCTCGACGGCCGGTGCCTCAATCGAGTTCTCAAAATACCCCGTGAATTGGAGGGACCGGTGGTAGTCTCGGTCTAGAAAATGTCAGTTAACTATATCATCATTGGAATCATATGCAGTTACCACTGAATCAAAGCACACTAAGCACAAGTGCAAGTATATATCAGACATTCAGCCCGCATCATCAAGTATGTACATGTAAAATGCCAACACGGACTCTACTCCTTGCCCGGGCCTTGCGTTACATCCCACATCCCACCCAGCAACGCTCGAAACCGCGGATTGCGCCAGCTACTCCAATCCTGCGTCAGCAGCCCAAAGCTCTCATCCATATCAACCTGCCCATCGCGCACATAGTAGCTTCCCTGGAGGGCCCACACCGCCCACTCGGCATCATTAGACTCCATATACTCCACCAAACACTTCAAGTACCCAAGATCATCCTCCGACAAGCCGGAGGTCTCGTCCCCGCCGCCAGTCATGGCGACGCCAAACTCAGACAGGAACAGCGGACCCGTGTAGTCCTTCTCCTGGGTGAGGAGAAAGCCATTGGAGGCGCCGTACTCGGCAGACGCGACATGACAGTGACGACCGGGGTTCGGCTGCGTCAGGGAGAAAGCGTAGGCGTGGAACTCCCACACGAGCTTCTGGGCCCAGTCCCCAGCGTCTAGGGTCTTAATGCGCAGGAAGGAGAGGTCTGTTCCGCCGTTGACGCCGCCGATGATGATGAGGACTGACGGGTTGGTGTCGTGCACTTTCTGCGCTGCGCGCGTCAACTGGTCGTACCAGTCTGCGTGGGCGTTGAGGTCTTGGATGAGTGGGACCGCGCGGAGCTCGTTGCGCAGTGACATGCCTACTACGCCTTCTTGTGAGGAGGCGAATTGCGCCATCGCTTCGAGCCCGCGGTGCCAGGCTTGTGTGTCGAAGTAGCGGCTGTTGAGGTCGTTGTAGCCCTGCGCTTTGTCCCACCAGCCGTTGCCGTCGGTGAAGTTGCAGCACCAGCTGGCGCGCGAGACGTGGTTGTCGAGGATGGTGTACACGCCGCGGTGGTGGAGGGAGTCGATGACGGCGGCGAAGACGTCGAGTCGGCTGGCTGTGGTGAGGAGGGGGTTGTGCTTGGATGCTTGGGCGTAGAGGGCTTGGAGGGCGGAGGGGGCGACGCCCGCTGCGGAGGCGGCCGTGTTGAATGAGTCTGACACGGACACGGAGGGGTTGAGTGCCATGTCGATGGAGTAGGTCAGCCGCACGCAGTTGAACCCGTTGTCGGAGATCCAGGAGGCGATGGTGTCGATGGGCTGGTGTTGGAGGCCTTCAGGGATGTTGACTTCCATGTGCCCTGCCCAGTTGGCGCAGCGCAGTTTGACGCGCTGGTCCTTGTCATCGAGAATCCATCGTGATGAGGTGTGTAATTCGCCTAGGGCTGTACACACCAGCGATAGCAGCAATAGGAGGTCTGGAAACATCATGATGAGGGTGTTGAGGAGGTCAAGTTTTCATGAAGCATCGGATCCTGAGTAGGATCCGATGTAAGAGATGGGAAATGATCATCCCTCTAGCGGCAGCCCCCACGTCGTTTGCATAGTACCGTTGTCAGATTCTAATCGTCAAATTCACTCGGTAATCGAGATGGATTATTATGGACTAGAAGATCAACGGATGCAGTCATGGTTGTTTCCGATGTTGTATTGCCTGTGGACGATGCCCATGATTGGAGATCTCTCTATCCAAGGGACAGCCGGAGAAGATATAACTAGTTATACATTCTCTTGATATCTAGTCACCTTAGAATTACTTCGAATGGTCTATATTTGGAGGAGCCACAATTAATGCTCGTGGGTCTCACCATATTCTGAAAAGCAACGGTCCCATAGTTTCCTATATCGCGTCCCACGCCAAGTAGCCTCGGAAAAAAACCCAGTAATTGAACCGGATAGCAGCTCAGGTCACGGTTAGGGCCAGCATCGCCATGGAACAAAGCAGCTTCCATTTTATGGCTTGTAGTTTGTCTTGTCATCAAAAGTTGATCAAGAAACAACAGAGAAGAAATGAACAAGAAAGACAAAGTGAAAAGAGAAAGAGTGACGCTTTGGTCAGCTCGAGTGCCTGCCAGCCTGAGGCCATTCTCATCCCATCTCTCTCTCTTCCTCTCTTTTCTTTTCTTCTCTCCCCAATCTTTTCATATCACATCACTGTCAACCTATGATCCTACATCGGAGACTCGTGTTTGTGCCAGCTATCTGAACACATGACGTGGGATCCAAGAAAGTGCCGTATCAAATGGGCCTGCATCCAACAGACTGCGCCCTATCCAGAGGCATAATAGGTCAACTCTTGCATGATTGAGCGAGAGGCTTATGCCCATTCTTGCCAACACCGGAAATGACCTGGATACCCTAGAAACTTTCAGGAACCTTTGGGTGAATCATGGGTGGCCTTACATCCGACTAATTGCGGGCCTAGGCTGAGGGTGCAGTGCTACTGTACATCCTGCGGGATGCCGTGCAGCGCCAGGGATCGGAAATAGCAGGGAACCCTAGCAGCTTGCATGACTCGAAACACTAATACGTGGGAGAACAACCCAGATCTGGACTTTGCAGCCCACCTTAAGGTCAATAACACGAGAAGATGCGTGTATTTGGGGAAGATCCTCCAGGTCGGCGTCCCACAGCTGTGGCTGACCCGAGAGGCTACTGCTTCATAGAGTATCCACTGCTTGATTCCATCGATCCGGCCGGATGTATGCATGGAATGGTATCATCGCATGGACGATTACCAGACTGTTACTCCCAAATCCCCTGAAGCGATTCTGTTGAGAGTAATACGCTTACCCACGTCTTTTCCTGTCCTCGTCGAGATTTCTACTTTGCTCTTGCGAGTATGACAAAAGTCCATCATTACAGAAGAACTGGTGTCTCTATTACAAAGGCCCCATACGGTCGGCACAGATGGGCACTGGCTGTGTGACCGGGAGTGGAAAAGCCCATGCTTAATTCTTCCAGCACATACATGCCCGACCGAGACAATAAGCCACATTCATGCGTGGTTCTTGCGGCTTTGCGGCACTTTTGGCCATATCCACGGATCATACTATATTTAGAACCGAACTGGATTAGAACAGAAACTGCTCGTGCCCTGCCATACAATGACCTCCCTTCTTGGAAGGTTCTTAATCTGACTGTTGATACATCTGTTCTAAACCATTCATGGTTAGATCTGGCTGAAACATGCAGAAACTAGTTCAATTATTGTTTTTTCAGTGGTATATCCGACTGATCAACAAGCTGTTGACCGAGCAAATCGGGTCATCTCAACTCCCAGGCTTTCCGAGTAACTCCACAATGGAGCCACTCCTGGCCTTGGCATCTTACCCGATCAAGCGGTGTCGGTTCAGGTTGTATAGCATCATCTTCTCGGTGCATGCTCTTGCGGACATGCCGGGTATACGGCAGGCAGCCTAACGCTGTATGTCTCATATGAAGCCGGGTATAGTGTCATCTGACTGGTTCGCACGCAGCGATTCAGTGTCATGATACTTCCCCGCATCGATCCCGACTCGCCCTAGGCTATCGAGGTATCATGAAAAGAGGGGACTGTCTTACAATCTCACTAGCGTCACGGCTACCATTGACAAGGTTTCTCATTTGTGGAGTGCTAGGTATGAATCAAGTTTCTATTCACGGCGTGCAAGTCTGGAGATGCCGCTCCAGCATGGATGCGTCAGGCCTCTTCCTTTGAGAGCAGTCGGAGTGCTACGGGATCATTACATCCACTGCTCGAGAGTCCTAGGTAGACCTCAACCATATAAAAGGCTCTTCGAATCCCCCCGATTTCAGGTAATTCCTCAAACAGCCAATCCTCCAAACTCCAAGTCACCACGATAACAGCACATCCTCTCGCAAGCATCAATCTCAGCTTCCGCTTATCTATCTCCCTCTATTGATCTATTACCAATTTCCGAATCCTATCAAAATGAAGCTCTTCGTCGCTGCTGCCTCCTTGGCCACTCTTTTCCTCTCTTCCGTGCAGGCCGTGCCCGTTGAGCAGCCCGAAGATGCCACCACCGCTGCCGCTACGGTCTCGGTCTCATATGACCCAAAGTATGATGTGGGCGGCACCTCCTTGAGCACGGTCGCCTGCTCAGATGGTGTGAATGGGCTCCTCACCGAGGGCTTCACTACCTTCGGCTCAGTGCCGGGCTTCGCCAATATCGGTGGTGCGCCCACCATCCCGGGATGGAACAGCGAAAACTGTGGCAAGTGCTACCAGCTGCATTACAAGGCGGGCAAAATCGACAAATCGATCTACGTGACAGCCATCGACTCTGCGCCCGGCGGCTTCAACCTTGCCCTCGGGGCTATGAACAAGCTGACCAACGGACTGGCGGAGCAGCTGGGCCGTGTGCAGGCCACTTACACTGAGGTGGACCGGTCTCTGTGTGGATTCAAGTAAAGCATCCAGGCTGGATCAGTGACGGCGACCGACATGGAGTTACGACAGGACAGACGGGAATAGTGAAATGGTGGAACGGTTTCCTGTGGTATCATTTGTGGGAGACGATGCGGCACGCCGAACCTGGTCCTGATGAGAAGAGATCTATGTGGTGACTGAGATATGGATGAAAGAGACGAGTCATTGTTTTTGCAGCTTTAGCACATGACAGGAGTTAGTTTAGTTATTTTGAATTTACTCACGCGTTGATCTTAATCGCTTCCAGTTCTCCTTGATTCCATATGCCTTGTAACACAGTTCTAACGGACAGTCCATACTCCGATGTGATACAGGGCGAAAACAAGGCACCAACCAATCTTCCAACCCTATCAACCATAGAATACCCCATCGAACCACATTGAACCATTTTCACAGCGAATCCCTATGGACAACTACTAAATAGAGCGCAGGCAACGTCCCAAGTAGACGAGATTCTTGTGCCTAGAACAGTAGCATATTAGATATTCCGCAGTTGTAGGAGTTCATCTCCTTATTGCATTAGAAGTAAAGCCTTGGACTAGATTATGTGGTTGTCCCGTTGTATAGTTCCAGGGGTGGATCTGACTATCGCAGATCTATTGCGAGATCGGGATTGATTGACCTACGGGCCGTGGTTGGGGGTGTGGGGTGGGGTGTCGATCTGTATATTGAGATACTCAGTACTGTGGGTGTAGAACCGGGCATGTTCGTTCTGTTAGACTTTGCTTCGCTGGGTTTGTATGTTTATTTCCTAGAAATGTTTAGTGGACTGTGGGCTCACTGGGGGTACGAGAAAATTAAATATGACAATTATCAATTGTATATATATAGCATCTATGATACAGCCCCATATCGTAAGCTCGATACCCTGGCGACAAAGGGCAATCTATAGTACATTCGTGAGGAGAGATATGATACACTGAACATCCATTGATCATAAACACCGTAGTCTTTAGGAGATGACGTCCAACATCTCTTGGACCCGGCCGAATTTGTCACGGATCTTGTCCTTCTGTTGGCCGCGCTCCCGCTCCACAGCGTCGATCTGCTGCCAGTCCTGCCATGTGGTAGGTCGCAAGCCCCGCTTCTCCGCTTCAGGACGGACGCCCTCCCATCCGAGGCCGGTGCTCTCGGCGGGGGGATTCAGCAAATACTTCGTGTGACCGGTGCCGTTCAGGTCGGCTGCTATGGCGTCGGCTGTGCTGAAGGCGTCTGTCATGGTTGTGGCAATCACGCCAGTTGGGCCGCGTTTGACCCAGCCGGCACAGTAGATTCCGGGCAGGTGAGACAGCAGAGAACCGTCTGGTAGGCGCTCCGCGTCGCTAGTGGGCTTGGGGCTGATGACCCGGCCGTACCCGTCGTTGGGAATGACACCGCGTCGGGTATCGAACGGGATGTCCAGATCATCTAATCCTGGAAGAGGGATCGACTGGTAGCCGACGCTGCGGAAAAATGTGCTAGCAGGAAGGTCGACTTGGGCCCGTTCGCCGTTCTGCAGGTATTTCGGATTTACCTTGGAGGTAGGCAGATACGGATCGGACGGGTCCAACTCATTGCGAGAAAATGTCACATTGGATAGACGTTCGGGATGGGTCGGGGAGTGGTTAATGCTCTCGGGGGAGAGCAGGAAGTCTAATGACCAAGACTTGGTGGCCGTCGCAGGATCGTTGGTCGAGCCCTTGGCTAGCAGTTGGATCAGCCGTTTCTGAGCCCTAGGTAAGGCAGCCATGACTTCTTCCGGGGGTATCAAATCCCGTGGGACCGGATCAAAGGATACAGAAGGAAGTTGGAGCAGTTCCCGCAGTTCCTTTATAGTAAATGCAGCCTGCATAGGCCCTCGTCGGCCGACCACGCGGACCCGCTTGATTTTACTCGTGAGCAAGTGCTCAACAGCGTAGTCCGCAATGTCGGTCTTGCGCAACACATCGATGTCAGTCAGCAAGATCCGAGCCACATCCAGAGCCACATTCCCCTGTCCAATGATCACCGCATCCTCGCCCGCAGTCAGATCGGGAGCGAGATCCCGGTGTTCCGGAAGGCCGTTGTACCACCCCACAAACTCCCGCGCGGAGTACACATTGCGGGTGGTCTTTTCCCCGGGGATTCCCAGCTCCTTGTCTTTTGGCGCTCCGTATGAGAAGAGAATGGCATCGTAGTGCGGTTTCAGGCTCTGCAGCGAGAGGCTTTCCCCCACTTCGACGTTGCCAATAAAATTGAAACGTGGGGATGTTGCGACTTCAGTGAATTTCTCCTCACAGTTCTGACAGTTGATCAGGATCAGCCCCAGTCTCATATCCGAATGATCGCGAACGAGTGTGACAACATACCTTGACCTCTGGGTGGTCGGGCGCTACCCCGTAGCGCACCAATCCGAACGGCACCGGGAGCTTTTCATACATATCTACCACGGCATTGTCGATCCTTCCCAATAATCTATATGCTGCATAAAATCCCGCAGGTCCAGAACCCACAACGGCCACACGGACGGGGCGATCTCCCTGCACATGGTGGCTTTTATGACGTCGTTGCCAAGAGGCACGAGATAACAACGGACGAAGGGGGCTGCGCACCGGATGCCCAGTGCATTGAGCACAGACATAAGGCACCCGCCGGGAGAGTAACATGTTGTGGGGAGGGGAGGGAGAACAGCGAGAATAAGAAGAAGCAGAGGGGGGAAGAGGAAGATCAATGCGGGATGAGTCGCAGAGTGGATATGCGACATCACGTGGATGCTTATCGGGGTGGTTGCCGCGTCGACAATCGATGTTGATCCGCTTTACGGATCGGGCAACTCCGCAGCATCGGCTCGATCTGACAATCGATGGTATGCACGTTCCATGGACATTTTAATCAATCTGTTCTCCATCCAAATCTCCTTCCTGCATTCTTCACGTTCCATGGTTCATTCCCTTACTCAATACCTCCGTTGCGCTTCCCTCCCCACATTCTTTGATTAAGCTTATCGGTTGCATCCACCACCATTCCTCTATACAGGTAGGTGGGGGGTGGATGCCTGGATCGAACTCTCAGCTAGAGTAAACGCTTCAGTCACCGTCGCCACCATGGGAGGATCGTCGCCTCCGTTCCTTTATGGCAGCTCGTCTGCGTACAACTTCTATGGCCCAACAGATCGTCCATACAACCCAAAGGCTGTGACCCAGGCGAGCTGGACTCGACCACAGCCGAAACCCAAGCCCAAGGGTCCTTTGGTCAATTTCAATAAGCATCCAGACTCTGTAAGTAATCGGTCTCTGGTGTCGCGGTGTCAGGGGAGCTAGGGGAGCGCAGTGCTGATCATAGAAAACAACGTGCAGTATTCGAACATCCCCAATGGCAAGTCTCGTTGGACCCCAATGCACCCAAGAACGAAGAGTAGTGTGATCCATGGTCGGCAGATTCAGCTTGGACTGCGCATTCTGGCTCTCTTGGGGGCTCTTGGGTCTCTTTTTTGCGCTATTGTTATTAAGAACGTGGCGGTAACCATGGTCTGGATTGTTCGCGTCGCAGTAAGTCTCTATAGAAATAACATCGTCTGCGGACGATGGGTAGGCACGATATTAACAAAGTTGTATTTAGCCTGCGGTTGCGATCCTTCACACTCTTTACAGTATCTATCACCTCTGTCGGTCGCCCATCACAAGGCCCCCTGGTTCGCAAGCAAGCTATATGCTGTTTGCTGCTATCCTCGACTTCTGTCTGGTACCATTCTATGTTTTTACCGCATACTTGTCATACCTGCAGTATACGCGTAACGTGTACCACTGGGGCACGATCTTGAGTTCCGACGGCGAGATGACAACGAAGATCGCGCAGACCACTTTTATCCTTAGTGTCGCCAACGGGGGTTTGCATTTGATATCCTTCGGGATTTCCGTCTTCCTCGGCATCATCTTCAAGAAGATTACGCAGCTACCACCAGATCTGAACCCGCTGGAGGACAACCTGACCGCTCGCCCACACAAGCGAACCAAGTCTGAGCTGATTGAAAAGCACGCCAGTCAGTCCACTTTAGACTCTGCGATGTCGGAGGACCCGTTGATCGGGTCTCCTCGTATGATGGCATTCATGCACACCCGCAACAACTCTTCTGTGGACATGCCAGGGTTTGGAGGGGACTACCAACGCTCCCCGGGTTCGTCGCCAAATCGTTGGTCACCAATGCGGTCTCGCATCCCGGAGATGCCGTATACTTCGGTGGGACTTCACGAAGACGAGCATATGGATCCCCTGCCGGAGGAAACCCATGATGTCTTCACGAGGCCAACATCAAGTGTTCCCCGAGGCGCTCCGGTGCGAGAACCCTCCCCGAATCTCCCAAACCGTTCTCAGTGCGCAAGTCCGGAATCTGCAAATTGGGTTGCTTTCCCTTCGCGATCGGGCTCAGTCCAGACCGACTCGCAAAACGGCAATCAAGCCCGTCGTGAGCCATCTTCCGCGTACAGTCGCTCTGTCACGCCTGGATCCACCATCGCAGGCGCAATTGACTGGATCAGTTCGGCTCAGCGCAATGGCTGGAACATCAGTGACATCCTACGAGAGGACGTCCGAGGCGAGTACGATTCGGTGCCGGCCAAAGAACACTACGGACGGGAAGATGCGGACAGCCTGGACAAGGCACCCAGAAACAAAGGATACTACGATGACGATCATGCGGAGCAGGATATTGGAGACAACCACATCCACATTTTCCCGGACCCCGAAGAACATGACGACCAAGACGCATCTGATACTCTCCACATCAACCCCCTGGCCTTGAACCCACCAACTCCGCAGCCCGTTCTGGACAACGTCGACCCCACCCCAGATCAATCCACGCCGATGAAGCGCATGGCTCTAACCGACATTCCAAACCTCGCCCCGACTCCCCCAAGCGCCCGCGCACCGCCCATCGACAGCCCGCTGAAGAACGGCCGGTTCTACCACGAAGTCGAAGAAAGCCTAGGATTCGGCGTCCCCCGCAACATCAGCCTGGAACTGGAACAGGGGCAGAACCTCGACCGGAAGAAGACCTCCAAGTTGATGAAACGCCAGAGCCAAAAGAACGCCTACGGCGCTCTCAAGCAACACGATCCCGAAGATGACGGCCCCGCCTCGGCGCCCATTGTCGACAGCGATCGCAAGGGCCGCGTTGTCAGCAACTCTGGGGCCGATCTCGGCCGTGGTATAGGCGGCGGCGCAGCACTGTCGTATGGAAACTACATCGCTGGTCTGGGGGTCGGTCGACGACGCGACGTGAGCGGCAAGATTGCTGAAGAAGGGCGCAGTCGTCCGGATCCACCGCCGGTTGAACAGCAGAGCCCAACCCGCGCTGCTGGATGGGCGCGGTTCGCTGGGTTGTAACCTGTCTATGAACCATGTAAAGATGTCATGATATTGAACAAGAAGACAGCACAAAACACCGAAAGAACAAAAAACACGGGAAAAAAATTAAGAAAGGAGAAAACAAAGACGACCATTTTCTACCCTTTCTACGAATCATGTGAAATGGGTTATCGATCTACTGCGCTATGATGGATCGATGGACGGATTGATGGATGGACGGATTGCTTGGATGGATTTGTATCGGCCTAAGGTCTATTTTGATGGATGTTTCATATTCCCCTGTTCTGTTCTATGTAGCTAGTACTATTCTCAAATTCGGAGTCAACTAATGGATTATTTCAATAGCATATTAAATTTTGTTCATTATACAAATAGATAGACAGTGGGTATTAGTAGGTATACATGTAGGTAGACAATCAACTATCCAACCAAACTAGGAAAACGAACAAGCTCACTACGAAGGCACACCTTCATACTCCCAGCCCTGCATGATGCGATTTCTCCGTCTCGAGTTGCGCCGATTGGCATTACACTTGACGAACAGCGTCAAAGCGGCAATAACGCAGATGACGATACCCGCGACGGCAGCGACAAGGACGGTCCGCCGTTCGAGTTGCTGCGGGTCTGAAGCATAGGGACACTCTGCCTCGGGCCCGCCGCTCACCCAGCAAGACGCGATGTCCCGAGAATTAAAATCGATCCAGACTTCGCGCATGGCGGGATCATCCGACGAGGGGTCGAGCAGCTCGGTCGACTGGTTCTGGAGGAAGCGGTGCAGGTAGGTGTTTTCGAGACCCGTGCGAGGCACGCCGAGGCTGGTGTCGCCCTGGCAGGCGTCCGAGTATGCGCCCTGGTAGTCGTATGCTGTGGGGGATAGTGCCCAGGTGAAGGGGTGGCTTCCTACGCGACAGGCGGCGTGGCGGACGTCGGTGCAGTTGGCGACCCGCCAGCGACCGTTCAAGGACATGTCCATGACTGCGCAGCGGTCGTTTTTGGGCTCGTCGATGTCGTCTGCCACGGTTGATCCTGCGGGCTGGCCGATGGCCCAGGCCCACGATGTGGAGAGAGAGATGTTCTTGTATATACCGGCTGCGCTGTTCGCGGTCGAGTGGAAGAGGGTGCTGTTGAGGAGTGGGGTCACGCCGCACGCTGTCAGGTTGTGGACCGTGTCTGACAGCAGGCCGAGGCCTTCACTGTTGTTTGCCCCGGCCGAACCGGGAATACTGCTTGAAATCGCCCAGGACGCGTTAACCTGGGACACGTGTTCTGCGTCCGGGTCGTAGAAACAGTGCGAGGGGTGGCCTCCCTTCCCGTATGAGACATTTACCGGGGCGCTCATATAGTTTGGTGGGAATATGTCTTCGTTTTTGTCAGTCAAGCTATGGCCGCCCAGTTGCGAAGCCACGGAGCCATATTCCAGAAGGAGCCGTTTCTCCTTGGCGAGCTGGATGTACTTGATACATGGCCACCCATCGGGGGTGCTCTGGACCCCTTCCGAATTCGTGTGGGTTGTGAAGTACTCCGCAATGGGTTTGTACCCATCGTCAACTTGATACCATGATTCGTTCAAGTTGGTGCGGTCGGCAGCGAGCTGGTGTGGGGTATAGAGGAACTGGACAAGGCGCGCGTCCAAGAGCGTGCTGATATGCTCCATCGAAGTCGGAAGGTCTCGACCAGACATCGTAGAAGCCGGCTGATCGGGAGCACTGGCACTAGCACCGACATGGAGGTTGAGCGTGATGTATCTGGTGTATACGTTGATCTGCGACGCGGTATCTTTGAAATAGTCCAGGAACACGTCGATCAAGGCCGAGATGTCAATGTCGTTCGAGCAGAGGTACGGCCCTAGGTGGTAGAGCATCGAGTTCGAGTCGCCGCGGACCGCGGTCACCGTCGGTGCAGACGCATCAGCAGTCGCAGTCGCCGTTGGCCCCGCGGCCGGTGTCGTTGAGACCACGACGATATGGGCATTTGAAGGGAGGCGGACCGGACAAAAGCTCCACACCCGTCGTTCGGGCGACCAGTACAAGTCAACAACCAGGCGACGAAACCCCACTGCGATCAGATTGGAGAGACATTTCCCAGCGGTGCGCCGGTCGAACACGGTGTCGAAGCATGCCGCTTTCACGGCCACCCCGGAGCTGCTGACGAAATTAACGGGGATTTGGCCAGCGACATCTCGCTCGCTCTGAGTCAGTTAGCGCTGATTTCGAAAATCCATATATATAGCCTGTCAAAGTCTAGACTCACCAGCAATGCCGATTCCCAGGTTGGATCGATCAGGTCCGGATCGGGGTCGAACTTCAATGACATGGGGCTGCAGAGAGGGGGCAGCGCAACGGTAGAGGGGATAGGATCATTTCCAGGGGGGCAATGATCGTGGGTCAAGCGCCCAGATATCCGTTCCCTAGCGATAAAGATAAGGCATGGATGACAACTGGAGAAACGAAGAACAAGAAATGAGGAGAATGAAGGGAAATGGAGAAGACGGAATGCGGAGGCGGAGTCGAGGGCGGTGGAGTCCTGCCGGCGCTAAACCCAGCCGGGCCTCAGGCTCAAGTAAACTTGAACCATCTGGCCACTTCCGCATCATCATCTGTCGTCTACTTCTCACCTCTCACGTCTCTCTTTGTTACTCTCTTCATCCTCCCTCCCACCTCTGACCATCTTAGATTGGTGGGTTTTGTTGTGCATTTCATCCCCTTTGTGGTTATACAGGTTCAATAAATTCTGTACTGTCGTTGTTACCTTCTTCACCAACCCTTACCAAAATGGCGGCACCCGGGCCGTCCCCTCAGCAAATGGCTGCGATGCAGCAATTCGCCGCAGAGGCTGCCAAACGTGGCATGTCTCCGGAGGAGTTTGCGAAGCAGCAGAGAGAGCAACTGACTGCCGAAGCCGCTAAGCACGGCATGACCACCGAGCAATACGTCGCCCAATTGAAAATGCGCGCTCTGGCCGCGCACCAGAAGCAGATGGAGGCCAAACGACAGGCCCAAGAATCAGGGCAGGCATCACCAGATCAGCCTCCGCAACAGCAGCAGCAGAACCAGACTACACACCAGGTCCCGGTGAATCCGAATAACCCGGCGGATCCCAAGGCCATTGCCGTCGCGAACTGGTTACGTTCGCAAAACCTGAAGACCAGGACCTGCGTCATGGATGGACAGAGAAAGGACCTCTTCAAAGGTATTTCCCATATCATATTGCATTGGCTTTTGTCTCTATTTTATGATTCTTGATTTTATCTTGATACTTTTTATCCGCCTTGAGCTAATCAAGGATCTGCAGTAAAACGTGCCATTCGCGCCCTTGAATCTCCCGCGTACGCCAAAGCCGCGGCGAAGAAGAACTCTCTCCTCCCCCCCGTGACGGATCGCGCCTCGGCCGAAAATACCTTCAAGCTACTTCCGCTCTCGCTCCTCGCTCTACGAGTGAGCAAAGTCGACCCCCACGCGGGCCATAACCACGCCAAGCCGAAGAATCGCGTCAAGGGCCTGTGGACGGTCAAGATTGAACAGCACCAGGAAACCGAACCCATGATGCATTACGTATGGCTGTACGAAGGTCCACAGTGGAAGCAGAAGGCCATGGCGGCGGCCGTGGTGGCGGGTATCTTCGCCGTCGTGCTCTTCCCGCTGTGGCCGATCATGCTCCGCCAGGGAGTGTGGTACCTCAGTGTGGGCATGATGGGCCTGCTGGGTCTTTTCTTCGCCATGTCGATCTTCCGTCTTATCTTGTTCTGTCTCACGGTATTTACGGTGCCACCCGGTCTGTGGCTGTTCCCCAATCTGTTCGAGGATGTAGGATTTTTTGACAGTTTCAAGCCTCTGTGGGGCTGGCAAGAGGTATGTCCTACCAATATCGAGCTTTTTCTCCATCTAATGTACTAATACGATGCAGACCAAGAAGAAGAAGAGCAAGAAGATCAAGGCTGACCCTGCACCCACCGCCGCCGATAAAGGAAAAGACGCCGCGCCCTCGGCCTCGACAACCGCCACCGAGGCGCCAGACGCATCGGGCACCGTGAAGCGCGATCTAACGGCGCGAGTGGAAGAAGTCACCGACGAGTAAGACATACGATAGAGAGAGTGTTCGAAGTCGAGATATCCATGCATGGGACTGTCGGGCTTAATATGTTGTTCCTCGTTTCAAAATTAGTGTGCCCCTTCGTTCCACATGTTGGACATATCCGAGTGTTCAGCACGAGTCTACTACAGGCTAAGTGCGAAGCATTCAACAATCATCATCTTTCCTTTTTCTTTTCTGAATCTGTTATTCTGGGCGTTATATTGAGATAACTTGGCAATGAATGGATTCGATGATTTCGTATTACCTGAACAACCTACCCATAAGTGCAACACTCAATGGAAGGACACGACACGATACGTTGACTGAGTCAACACTGAGCGAACGTAAGGTATATATAATAACTAACAGTTATCGAACATTCCGCGCCAGCTCAACAACCTTACTCAAGTACAGAAAAGCCAAACCTGCCCCATCTCTCATAATCCAATGAATATCGACGGTGAAGCATCTACTTACTGCCTATAACAGTACAGTAATTTGCAAAATCCGCTTCAAATGCGGAGACTGTCCCCGTTTTCGCGAAGCAGTGCCAAGATATACTAGTCCATACACAGTGTAGCTGTTAGTCTTAAAATGTACTTGGATTGTATGATCCAGAAGTATACCAAATACATATGGAAAAGCTACTTATGAGCTAGTTAAAGCGAATTATCCTTACAGCCGAGACCACAAGTAGATCCCAGTTTACCTGTGAATCAACTAGTATACTGCAATAGCATCCAATCCCAAAGTCTTTCACAACGCGTCAGATAAATTCAAATCTCAGAATAAACTTCCAGAAACTCCCATGCCGTCCCACTGTCTCCCTCACCAGCAACAACCAGATCCCTACCCATATCGCCTCCTACCTGCATCGCACGAAACCCACCCCAATGCTTCACAAGCAGCTCATGGCCGCCATCCGGATGCTGACGGACACAGAAGAACTCCCACTGCCTGTGAGTCTCGGCCTTTGCTATGAAGCGCCACTCTTTGCTATTATCATGCCCGAGGAACCCCCCCGAAACTGCATTGTAGAAGCCCAGCCAGCGATCCTTGTTTTCAACGCAGCGCCAGTGGCTACCGAGCCCGTCGTCGCTGTAGATCCATGCGCTCTCCTTGTTTGCAGGGGCTAGGCCTACTTTGCCGTCCTTGAGTGTGATGACGAGGCTGCTCGCGGGATCGCGGATGATGAACGTTGCGCCCTTGTGGGGAGCGACTGCAGCTGGGGCAGGATAGGGCGGTGGTTCGGGGTCGGTGTATGGTTCCAGTAGGCTGGTATGCGTGGGTGTTATCCCTGATTCGCCTGAGGAAGTTGATGAATTGTCCATATTCTTTAGGTATGAGATGGGATTGTTAGAGTGGTGGTTGCAATGGTCTAAGAGCTAACTTGAGATGCGGGTCTTTGGATTATCAGAAATGAGTCAAGGTTATAGAGGTGCTAACCTGGGTGATCCCCGTTGATACTTATCGTGGAAGATGAATCTGAGCTGGAGGAGTACTACTACCTCGTAGGTGGAACAGAACAGCATCAATGAGTGGATGGAGTGAAGACAGCCCCACATTCATCGACGGACCCCGCTCAATCCTAGCGCGTAACTTTATTCCCAATTACTTAATCATATAGTAATCGATATCTGTTTACCTTCAATTTCTCACTCTCTGGTTCCGATGGCCCACCTAGAGCACACTAGTCTGAGTTGTGGAGATTCGCGGTGACAACACGTCAGAAAGGATGAATTCGATGATATTGTCGAAGTCTCTACTTAAGTGGATCATACATCAACCAAAGTTTTATTGTGATGAATTGTTGTTTCTATCGATGATGAATATTCGTGTACTTAACACGCTCCAGAGGCCGAGAGGATTGTAAATTTGGCATCGTATTCAACTATATAATGAGCGTCTGTGTTTCAGTTGATGAAACACTAAAACCTGGATTCAGGAAATCGCCATGATCTTCAGTTGATGAAAGTATGGTTTGCTAAGTCCTCCCTCGGGTAATGGCAGCCTAAATTTCCATCAGTCAACGAACATCCTCGTCGGTTGATGTCAAGCCGACGGCGATGAGATATAGTGTTGTAGCTTGAGGAAGCCTACTTCATCCTCGTGGGGGCCTATGGAAGCTTCTTTGTTGGGTTCAAGTGGATGGGACTTCAAAAGCGCGGCAGACGCATTCCAAACAGGTGAAGAAACACTTCATCACCCGCTTTGGAAAGCAACTTCCGCGCTTTTGGAGTCCCACCCACTAGCCCCGGCAGAGGAGCATCCGTAGGCCCCTGCGAGGAGTAACTAGAGTCCTATCAACACGAGCAGTTGCTCTGAACTTGCTTTCTTTTTCTTCTTTCAAAGGGGCCTGGACAAGACGTCATCTGCGGAGATCACTCCGGCCAAGAAACACCTAGAGTCTCCATGACTCTTTTGACAGTCGTCAACTCCTCAGTACTGTCATTGAAGACAGCCCCGATGATAGCCTCGACGGTAGAAGCCATCGGGCGCGGGTAGATGGTGCTCCCCTGGGATTGATTGGCAAAGACACATTCTGCCAAGTCATTGGAGAACCCTTGCTGCGCAAGATAGGCGTTGGAAGATCTCTCCGATATGATTTTGTTGATCTGGCCTGGAAGAAATACGGATAACATACATCAGTGTCATGTTATCATTTACCACGGTGGTGTCATGTCATCACTTACCACGGGTCGCACGTCGACGAAGGCCTTCCTGGACAAGGATCAAATGGATGACAGTATTACCAAGTAAAGCGAGATTCCTGTTCCCGATTTGGTGAGAAGCGTCTGCTAACTGTAATGCTTCTCGAAGTACGACTGGGTTGCTGAAATAATAAGAGATGATTCCCTCAGCTCTCGCGAGCCTTCTGTCTTTGAGAGAATCAGGATGATACATGATTGACTGCGACATAAGTTGTAAGAGAGAAAGTAGGTGCTTGGGAAGATCTTGTTGTGATAGTTGCAAAGGAAAAGAGATAGAAGTTCGAAGGGGCACAGTTGGGTGGAAAAGGGCGGGGGTTGGGAGGGGGTGGGACAACTACTCCATGTTTATATAGTTTTATATAACTAGCATACTGCCAAGGTAAATGGCGTGCTCGAGGACGTTAGAAACACACCTCCGTACTAGCTAGATACCTTGCTTATCTAGGAAGCGGGGTAGGAAGTGAAGCCACAGATAGGATTATACTATTACGTGGCTTATTATTATTAGATATCTCGTTAATCAACCCTGCGGTGATCCCAATGGATAGTCCAGGACTTTATCTTCCTCTTAGAGTATTATCTTTAGTATGAGGTAGGGATATAATGTAGTGATGGACTGTAAATTCTTATATCGACGGCAGGACCATCGTCCAGGATACATCTAAATATTGTACGTAGGAGAGTAGTATGTATATGCAATACAGACAAGCCACTATACCAACTCAAACCAACCAAACAGAACAGAACAGAATAGATGCTGCTAGCTATCCAGGGTATTGTATTGTATAGTGTAGGATTGGACGGATAGACCAGAAAAGGAAATAAAAGAAAACAAGTCGCTGGATCGCTGGTGGATGATGGTGATGATGATGATGATGATGAGTAGGACATATGCAAGGTCGACTGTCAAATAAAGACAAGACAAAAAAGAGCGTGGATATCAAAGAAGAAGGGAATCGCATGATATGATACAAGAAACAATATATAAGAAATGGGCGACTAGCCCAGTGGGTATCACAGGAGCACCTCTAAAACAAACGTATTAAGTCCGTTCAAACCTCGCATGGCCCGCGCTAGCAACCCGCATGTCAGGCGCAGGGGCGCGCGTAGGATGCGCCGGCCGGGCTATGCTCCTCCGGCGCGAGCGTGGATCCCTCGGCGGTGATGTGGGGATGTGTTCGTGCCTCGGCGGTGAGGGAAAATGGGCGTGGGAGGCTTGTAGCGGAGATGGGATCTTGGGTAGTGGGCAGTTGGGGGGAGGGGCTGCGGGGGGCCCGACTGATAGGCCGGGCATGCTTTTCCGCCGGGCTACCGGGCCCATTGAGAGGCGACTTGGGTCGGCCTGGTGAGAGGCGGGTGGCCGTGGTCGGGGCGGGTCGTAGTAGTATGGGTCACCGTTTGCTGGAGGGAGCTGTGGAGTTGGCAAGTCGTCGTATGGGGATTCTGGGTCCTCCTCTGCGAAGGTGGGGAATCTGGGGGAGGGGGTGGAGGTCATGATGCTGCTTGGGGCCATTCGGGAGAGGCGATGGGTACTGGACCCGTGGTGTCGTAGAGTTTCTGACAGTGCGTCTTCGGAGCTGGCCATACGTAATGACCGTCTTTTAGGGTTGTCCTGGAAGGTCCACTGTGGCTCATGAATGTTGCTCAGTCCGCTGTTGCTCATTCCGCTATGGATGCTTAGTCCGGGGGACTGTGGCGGGGATAGAGACCCAGCGATAGACCCAGACATATCGTTATTAGAACCCTGTCGATGGACATGTTGGCGGGGAGCCTGTGAGCCTTGATACGGCGTTGCCGGGCCAAATCTCCTGCTGAATGACGGAACGCTAAAGTTGGGTGCCGGAGGCGAGGCGCTTCGGAAAGGCTCGGGTACTGTGGATTGTGACCGTGGAGTCTCCGGGTTGTCTGAAGCGGCGGCTGCGTGCATCAGATACATTGACTGGCGCTTCTTTGGACCCGTCGAGGTTGGGCTGCGAGGCCTATCGTACTCGTCCAGCGACGACAGCACCGTTTCAATGGCGCTGGCCTTGGGCGGCTCTCGCCGCGGGGAGTCTGTAGTAGGGTGCGTAGGGTGGTGCATCGGTGGGCTGATAGGACGTAGTGCCGGGGGATTGGCGGGCTTCATGGGCCGGCGCGTGGGTGCATTGGCGGGAGAGTGCATGGGAGGACCGGTGGGATGGACGGTAGGGTGTGCCGAAGGCATCATAGAAGAACGCATAGAAGGCTGTACTGGCATGTTCGAGGGGGCATGCATAGGAGGACCGATAGGATGGGCGGTAGGGTGGTGGGCGGCAGGGTGATGGGCCGGCGGCTTCATCGACGCACGCATAGAAGAGTCGACCGGCATGTTTAGGGCCGCATTCGGGGGAGGGCTGAAGGAACGAGCTGCGGGGTGTGCCGAAGGCATCATAGAAGCACGTATAGAAGGCGGTACCGGCATGTTCAGAGGCGCGTGCATAGGAGGACTGGTAGGGCGTGTTGCAGGGTGGGCCGAGGGGTGAACCGGGGGGTTCCTAGGAATATGCATGGAAGGCTGGACCGGCATGTTCAAGGGCGCATGCGGAGGACTGGTAGGACGGGTAGCAGGATGATGGACCGGCGGCTTCACGGACACACGCATCGAAGACTCTGCCGGTGCATTCAGAGGCGGAGGGCTGATGGAGCGAGTCGCAGGATAATTGGCGAGGACGCTCGCAGAGCTAGTCGTACCCGGGGAATTGGAGTTACTGTCCGTGGTGGGGCCGTAGAACCGGCCCGAACCATTATTCAACGGGGAGGTGACATCTGTATGAGTTGTCGAGACCGAGTCCGAGCGAGAGTCCGAGGTGTGCTGCCGTATGAATGACCGGCGATGAAGAGAAATGTTGGACCCCTGGCGGGACTGGGCGTCGGATTGGGATTCTCGGTCGTCGAGAGCGGCCGACTGCTGCGGCTGCAGGTAGACCTGGGAGAACCGGTTCGGGTCCCTCTTGGCGGGCTGCCGGACACTCGACTTCGGGTGCAGCTCGTGCTCCATGTCCTCGTCGAAGACCTTCTCGGAGACATACTTCTTACCGCCGCGGGCTTCGATCTGGGCGCGCACCGCGAGCAGCCACGAGCTCATGTCCTCGGGGCTGGTGAACACAAGGAGAAAGCTGTGCGCCAGCCGGCGGGTGTGCGACCGGTGGAAGCCAAAGCGAGAAAAGCGCGGGCGAGGGGCCTCGGTCGTCGGATCGGTGGCCTCGGCCGTGTGGGAGATCTGCAGGACCCAGTGCTTCCCCGGGATGGCGTCGCTGGCAAACGCCACGGAGGCGGGCCCGAGCTGCAGCACTTTCTCGGGCAGCCGGTCGTGTTTCCCGCTGCCGGAGTATTGCATGATATACCCCGTGGTGCCTAGGACGAAGATCTTCTTCGTCCACTCGGCCTTGCTGATCGTCCCGGACAGGGAACGTAGATGCTTCGACCTCTCCTTGTCCTCCTTTTTCTTCCGCGCGGCGATCTCCCCCGCCGAATCGTCCCGGTGCGAATGAGCGGCCTCGTCTCGATATTTGGCCATCGAGGTCGCGTGGATCCGTAGGATGGAATCCGCCGACAAGACCGGGGCGGGAAGTATGTCATGCTTGAGGGCTTGGGGGTACGCCTGGAACAGGGGCGGTGGTTTCCAGATCACGTCACCCGCCGGAGCCCCATCTTCACTCGGCCGGACTTGCGATGCCGAGGGGATCTTCGTCAGATGCGCGACTTCACTTCTCGTCGGGGATGCGACCACCGATGGGTTTGAGATTGTCCGTTTGGAGGTGGCAGCCGTCGGGGGAGGGGATAGGGGGCCGCGGCCGCTGCCGCCGCCTGGGGCGTGGGGTTCTGGGCCTCGTCGATACCGGACAGCGGCTTGTCGTGAGGGCGGCGGGGTTGCTTGTCGCGAGTGAAGATGGTGCGGAGGCTTGATTTGGAGGACTGTCGCTTGGCCGGCGCATTCAAGGGGACTCGGTCCGTCTCGCCGTAGACCTGGTATTCTTCCGGTCGGGGACGCTGTGGGCGCGAGGGAAGGACCAGGGGCGGGCCATTAGGACGGCTGAAGTTGGTCTGCAGCGGAGCCAATTGCTGGCCTCTGCGCTCACTGACGGAGGGGCGTGGTGGGGGGATGTTCAGACTCATCCTGAATCTTTGTGCACTTTCCAACTCGGCGACTAAGGAGGTATATAGGGGGTGAGACTACTCGCTCGCGAGCTGTACCCTGGGGGAGGATCTCGAGGTCGCACAGATACGCAGGCCAGAAAGTAGACCGATTAGGGGATGACACCGAGCTGAGGAACTAACTGTACGTCTCGGAGTAAGATAGAATCGATTGTGAAACCGCGATCATTGCAGAGCGCGCTCCGACTCGTGTCGGTAATCCGACCGTGGATGGACGAGTGGTTTGAGGTAATAGGGGTCGACAGCGGAGAGAGGGAGGGAGATGTTGGAGGATAGCGAAGAAGTCGAGGGAGGATCCAGACTCGGGCGAAATGGTTTCAGGTCGAGGGGAGAGATTGAGCCGAGTCTGTATGTATGGTGTATGGTGAAGATCGGGTTACTTGGACGAGTGGAATCCTCCCATGTCTATCTCGAATCTGGAGTCGAGAGTCGAGAGTCGAGAGTCGAGAGCTGAGTAGAGGAAGGAAAGAAGACCAAACCAATGCAGGAACCAGGAAATTCGCGACGAGTTGGTTCGATCTTTGGTTTTTTCTCTCTTTATTTCTTCCTTCTGTTCTTTCTTATTTTTCTTTCTTATTTTTGACTTCAACCTGTTGGATTTCCAATTTCCTGCTGTTCTTTTCTTTTTCCTCTTTTTTTCCTCTTCTTTTTAGTTATTTTTCCTTTTTCCAGGTTTCCCTTTTCCAGGTACCCCCCTAAGTGACTGTGGCTAGATTAACCTAGACGTTGCCAAAACCACTAGCTCGCGCCTAAAGAAAGCCCGTCTGAAGCGTGGTGACGATGAAATTGACGGTGGCGGTGGGGTGTGATCAAAACGGTTGCCCACAGGAAGTAAAAAAATAAAGAAGGGAAAGACGAAAGGAAAGGAAGAAAGAAAGAGAAAAGTGGTCCCCTGACAAGAGGAAAGATAGGAAAGTGTTTCAGCAGCAATGGTACAACCAGAAAAGAAAGTAAAGACAGACAGGAACAAAGTGGAAACCGTATGACAGGCAACTTAATATCGACCACCTCCACAGTGCAGGAAGAGTCCTGTCGGTCCAGTATATTCGGATGATGCAAGATCGAGATGATTTCTCCGAGCACAACCCACACTGGTCAATCGTCCGTGTTAGTCTCTACTCTCTAGTTTCGGGGCGAAAAGTCAGATCGAGCAAGTCAGAAAGTATCATCCTTCTCTTCTCCTCCAGTCTATTCTGAATATTCTCCCCCTGAATCAAGGCCCCGCTCGGCGCACATCGTCCCTTGGGAAAAGGTAAGCGGGTCTCCACCTCGGGCTAACGGTTTTCCGTGACTTGGTTGTGGATTTTAACCTGAAATGTTTAGTCTCGGGTTGAAGTAGCTCCAGTAAGCGATGGTGGGGACTGAACCTACTGTAGGTTTTGTCTGAGTTTATCCGTGTGGGGGACTCGAGGATGGCATTGGCATACCTGGTTGAAGTAGATGATTCTCTGGAGAGTTGGTAGTGGTTTAGTTTATTATCTGTTGACTGTTCGACAGAGCTGGCTCAACTATAACTACAATCAATAGAGAGATATAGAATTGATGCACGTGTTATACCCCTTGCTTATGCACCACCTTAATCCACCACGTTTGACACTATTAATAATCACATTTCCTTAACTTAGTTCATTAACTAGTTCGTTCACTAAGTTCCCTGGATTACTGACTAAAATACAACACGAATCATACAATCACATGAAGATCGACCATATTATACACATCTCCTCCTAGGTCCATATCATACACTGTCCACATCCACATCCATCCCCAGGTACGGAGAGATACAACACTACCTCCCACCTAAGCTACAAATCAAGCAGACCCACACTTCTTCCCCCTCCCCTCCTCCACAACCCCCATCAACTCCGCCGCGTCCTCGCAAACCCGCGCCATCCCGATATCTTTCTCCGTCAGACCGCGTAGGTGGTGAGTCGTCCAGTGGACGTCGACTGAGCCGATGCGCTATTGATTATTAGTTTCTCTTTATTCTTTCTTTCTCCTATCAACCAGTCTCCTCGATCCCATCTGGATATGGTAGATATGGTATGAGATGGGATAGACTCACAACAGTCATAGTAGCATGATGTTTCTTCGTCGCACTATGCGAAGCAATCACGTTGACGAAACTCTACCATCAACATTAACCTCATTAGCTTTATCCAACCACCCCGCAAAGAAATCAAGAAGAGAAAAAAGGAGACATACAACAGCCTTAAAATAAGACCGAAAATAAAACGTCTTCTTAAACCCCGCCCCATCCCCATCCAGCACCCATCCCTGCTCGCACAGCGCGTCGACCCCCTCCTTCGCCGTCGCTACATCCACCCCGTCTGCGAATTTCGGTGCTGGCTGCGATTGTGTGGATGTCGATGAGAGTCGCGTGGGTAGGAAGGGAGTTTGGGTCGGCCGGCGGAGAGGGGATGTTGGACTGGGGCGGAGATGGAGAGCTGGTCTAGTAGCTAAGGAGGCAACCGGGGCGAGTCCCCGATGGTAGCATCGTCGCGTGGGGTTTAGGCTGTGGAGGAGGAAGCGGTTGGGCCGTAGGGTTCGGGCGATGGCGTCCATATTCAATGTGTGGGGGAATCTTGTCGTTGTGGTCCTTCGGAGCTGGAAGTTGAGGTTCATCGGTGATGCGCGGGCGCCGCTTCGGCTTATCGGTCACATGACCACCTCGGAGGTGCTCCGCAGGGATCACGGGGATCTGGATCTAATCAACATCCTACGAGTCATTCACTCTACTCCACCAACCGACTATGATGGCTGACCACCAGTGATCTACGCGGAAATATCCTCGATCAACCTATGCGGTGACATAATACAGGATTCAAACTTGAACTATCTCCACGATCATCAGACCAGCAAGCTCTCGCTCTTACACGGGATGTGAAACCACACTGACACTAGTGAGAAAGAAACAAAGTACAGCAGAAATGTGTATAGTTGAAATGAAACAATGGTCGCGTCCAAATGCCAGCGGCCGGCCCTCGCTGGCCCGGCCATCTCAGACGAGACGGAAAGCGCAGTGCATCCCGCCAGCTTCGCATACCAGACGCCATAGAAAAAGGGAAAGAAACAAAAGCACATGCCAGACGATCGCTGGCAGCCCAATACGAAGCACCACGCGATTCGGCCCTACGGATGCGAACATTCGACGGCGAATTAGGGTATCGGAGATTCATGAGTCGTGGCTAGCACGTGTCGTCGTGCGACGAGTCGCAAGATTCATTGCGTGATGACCTGCTGCGAAACACTGTTCCGACGCGAATTGACCCGGGAGTTGACCCGCGAGTTAACCTGGGAGGTTGGGCGCGAGTGGATATAGCTGCTCTGTCGGATCCGCAGGTTCTGTTGCGACCGGGCAAACGAATTCGCCCGCGAGCCCGAGGGGATCTTCGACAGCCGCCGTCCGTCCACCTGGATCTCCGCCCGTGCGTGCGATAGCTGCTGCGCAAACGGCGAGCGTTTGCGCATGGCCGGTCCTTTCCAGTAGATGATGTACACCGCAATGACCAGGAGGAAGGAGATGCAAACTAGTCCACATGAGTGTCTGGTCGTTTGAATACCAGGGGGGGGGGGGGGGGGGGGCTACTTACAGAGGATCGTGGAAGCATACTCCAGGTGATACTTGCCGCCGATATCTGGTGGATGGTCAGATGCCGAAAATTACAGAATTGGGGAAGATGCACTCACTCTCAAAGAAGGGCGTTGCGGGGATGGTGAGAACACCGGCCAGGAAGTCTCGGGCCCATCCGTTGCCGCCGGTGGCCGACGCAGAGTATGGCCCATACGCGCAGACCATGTAGTCGATGGTGGCCATGTAGATGCTGTAGTTGGCAATGCCCACGATGGCGGAGAACACCATGGTGCCGATCCAGTGCACCGGGGGGCCAAGGCTGGTCCAGGCAAAGCCAATCAGTCCGATCGGCAGGCAGGGCGCGGTCCACAGCAAGAACCACAGACGAGATTCGTATTGGGTGTGCTCATCATCCGGGCGCAACTGCCGCTCCCGGATATTCCGCTTGATGGCGGGAATGAACGCACCCCAGGCAATGAAATAACCGACGAGGATGGGGATGAAGGACAGGCCGAGCGCCTCCGTGCCGAAGTTCCATTGCTTATAGACCAAACCAAACGACTGGATGAACATGAAGATCAGAGCATCGCTGAAGCCACTGAGCAAGGACAAGGTCAAGACAATGGGCTCCGTGAGGAACATCTTGAAGGGGCGGATCCAGGTCAGGAGGATTTCCCGCATGGAGAAGCGCTCGCGGTACGGGAAGATCTCGTTGGGCCCGTAGACATGGGGATCCTCGCCACTCTGTCTTCGTTTCTTAGCGATGCGATCCATCAGGATGGTGGTGCGGGTCTCCGGCACGAGGATGAGGTGGGCCACCTGGACGAAAACGCCAAAGATCAGCTGGATCCAGATGTTCCACCGCCACGCCAAGTTGGCCTCGACAAAGCCACCGACCACGGGACCGATGACGGAGCCCCCCACGGAGGAGAAGACCACGCAGGCGACGGCATACTGCTGGTCCTCGGCCTCCCACAGGTCGGCAATCATGCCCAAGGTGACGGAACCCCGGCGGAGCTGAGGCCGCCCAGGGCACGACCCACCATAATGGAGGCGAAGTTGGGTGCGATGGCGACGGGCAGCTGCCAGATGTTGACGAGGAAGAGACTGGCCTGCAGGATGGGCTTCCGGCCCAGTTCCTCGCTCCAAGGCGCCCACAGCTCGCAGCCGAAGGCATACAGGACTAGGAAGATCATGGCGCCGCAGCGAGCGGCCTGCATGCTCACGTCGAATTCGGCGGAGATGCCCGTCAAGGCATTGGAGTACAGGCTGGTGTTGAAGTTCATGGAGGTCTGGACGAGGAAGATGACGGTGATGATCATCCACTTCCGCCAGCGGGGGAAGGAATAGCCCAGCTCGTGGTAGCAATCATTTTCGGTCAGCTCGACCTTGTCGGTGAAGGTCTCTTCCACCTGGTCCATGGTCCCAGCAACCGGGTCGTCCGACTGCGACTTGGGAAGGGTGGGATCGGCCGCCTTTTCGGCGGGGACCTCGGCGATGACATCGGCCTGGGTGGAGGAGGAGGCCTCGGACTCATGGGGCTTTTCATCCAAGGGGACTGGTTTCTCCTTAAGGGGATCCATGGTGACGCGATGCGCCAGCTGGAAATTCGATATATTAGCCCTGTGGCAGTCTAAACTGACAAGAGGTGATCGAGATCGGAGGGCTTACCAGAGGAGGAGTACTATGTGATCAAAGAGGTGAACGGGAAGATAGGATCAGTCACCAAGCGAGACCGGGAAGGAGAAGAGAGTCAGAGGAGACTAGTCTATAGAGGTTCTACACCTCCGGGAAGAGAGGGAAGAGAACGACAGTGAGACCTAGGATGGGGAGGATGATAGAGAGAGAGACAGAGGAGAGCGAGTGGTATGGAAAGAGGGAGAAAGAAGTATAGATGGGGAGAGACGACAGAAGAGAAAGAGGACAAGGAAGAAGAGGGAGAAGAAGCAGGGGAGAAGAGGAGATAAGGATGAAGAAGAAGAGAAGAGAAGAGAAGAGAAGAAAAAAAAAAAAGGCAGTGAACGGTCAAGAAAAGGAAAGAGTCATGATCGGCTCGATCAGGAAAGGCTGGGGAGTCGGAGGTACTTGACAAGATGCGGCCGGTCCCATACATTGGAAAGTACCTCGATCTGGCCGGTATACTGTAGGTCACCAGCCGGTTTGGAAATACCACCCTATGGAGCAGTCATGGCCAAGATCCAGGATACCCACTAGAACTTTATCTCTAGGTCGATTCGGATGTGTAGGAATTTCTTTTTTCATAATTTTTACTCAATTCTCTTCCCCCGGACTGGCTGGTTCTCAGACCCGGCCGGATGCAAAAAGCAAGGACGGTGGAATAAGCCGGCCATTGCCACGAGAAACAGTTGGATCTGGATTGAGATTGGACGGATTGAGACCCCACGGGCACCCGCAATGGGACGGACTATAAAATTCTCCAACGATCTAGGGCCGAAAGGAGGAAAAGATCAGGAATGTGGGATGCCGTTTCGGGACGGAGGGCCCTCTCCACGAGGGACTGGAGTCGGTAACTCAACTCTATAGGACGAGATACCGATACGATACTATAGAATTTGAATTCTCTCTCCGTCTCTCGGTTTCTCCCCTCGTATACTCCATCGTCCTGACGGTTGTCCGGGGTTGCGGATCGGGGTATCCGAGCCTGACGTCAATATCGCAAGCCACCAGTCGATGATCGTCGGCCAGGGATCCGAACTTGTCCACTCACAAAGTTAATTCTTGCCACAGTTGGTCAGTAACACAGGGGGAAAGAAAAAAAGACAGAAAGAAAAAGGAAGAAAAGGAGAAAAAGCCTCTCACGTCAGAGGATGAATCCTTGTCGACTCTCCTACTTGACTACCAGACCCCGTATCAAGTCGGTTGTTCAATGTCACCTGCCCATTCCTTGTCCCCCAGATGGGGACCCGGTTTCACCGGGAGATGGTGGGGATTTCTCCAGGTTCGACTTCACGACTGGACGGATGTGACGTTTCATTGGCTTGTCGGATTGAAATGGACCGGTCAATAAATAAATAAAGCCGTGACTTCCGGAGAAGAGAGGATACTAGACTAGAGAACGGCCAAGGACCGAAGTCGCCTTGTTTCGCCAAGACTGATCCAAGTGTGCACCAAGTGGTTCCGCCTCGCCGTGTACCTTTACCATCTTGGTTGTGGTACGGGGGAAAAGGTATCCTGCATTTCCCTTTTCAGGAGAGATCACCGATTGATATCGTGGGGGAATGAGTTACGACCGTGGTATGGGTTCTATGGAATTATAGGATTAGATGATAATTCCCTCATATTGATCCGGTCAAACCTTGTTGATTCTAATAGATTCAATAACACTATAGAGAAGTGTAATTCCATGAGCTAACGATCTGCAGATACTATATCAAGTAGTAGAAAGAAACACTGAGCGATATTCAAGGAAATGTCTAGCTAACTGTACATCACTAACCATACACTTGGCACCCAATAGGCAAGGGATAAGCAATATAAAGTTCTTCTTAACACGAGGCTTGAGGGTTCGAAATACAGCTCTTCCTGGCTGTGAGACCATGTGATCTCTTCCAGGTGCTATACGCCTATAATTCAACTGGAGAACAGAGTCTAACCGTGACAGCAATGCTAGATCCGTCTAGAAGCTCTCCCTTGCATCCGAGTCGATGTGGCAGGAGAGGATGGAGCATTGCAGTGACTGCATATTAGATAATTGAATATTTGATATTCAAACAACATATATTCTGTAGTAGATATAATGATTTTGGTTTTCCCTCCGTGCTTTTACTCTAGAATATCAGCATCAGGTATTGACGTCTTCTCTAGTTTGTAGATTTCGTTCTCACAGTATGAAGTATATATCGGGCTTCACCCGGGATCTGGCCCATAACCGATGAGACACAGCCCAGGGTCTGGACCGCATCATACATTCCCGTTAGATCTGGACACTTAATTCCAGCTAAAATAGCCGATCAGAATGAGTAAATGTCTGCATTAGAAGAGATGTTGATAAACAACCCAAGACAGTGACGCATTCAGACACAGAGATGCGGCCACACCGCCTTCCCCATCGATTGACGCCGTCATACCACTTGCCGGATTGTGTCGACATCATTCTTTCCATCCAGCGCGCATTTCTCTGTTCGCAACCATCTCGCCTGACTCATCTGTTCTCCAATCAAACACTGTGGTTCCGATTCCTCCGGCCGTTTCCTCCATCTGTTCATCCGTCCCGGTGTCAAAATCCTACTCCAGTCTTCCCCGCATTGGCTACCAAACCACCCCGCCTGACACCCGTCACTCCATCATCCACCAACATGGAGAACAACCAGCACAGTCCGAACTCTCTGCGCCCAACCTTCGCAGCCGACATCCCCCGTCGATCCTCGCGGGCGATGTCCGGCTCTGAACGTCGCCGGTCCGCCAACCTCAGCCTGAGCAGCAGTGCCGGCAACGGCTACGGCGATGACCCCAACCTGCCCCCCGGTCTAGGCTCTCATGGAATCCGAACATCAAGTCCCTCCAACATCGCGGGGAGTCCCATCGTCGCAACCGGGGATCCACACCACCAACGGGCCCCGTCCTTGGGGGAGTTGCACCAGGAGTTGGAACAGGAGCAAGAGGCGCAAGTCGTATGTCCCCCTCCCGCGGAAGGTGGTCGCGTCAGTCAGCGATATTAACAATGTGTAGAACCGTCTGTTGCAGATGATCCGCAGCCAGCAGAGCCAGCTCCAGAACCTGCAGCAGCAGCAATCGGGTACGGCTGTTGTTGACGACTCCTCGTTCCCGCCCTTTGCGCCCCCCCCGGCGAATCGCACGTCCGTTCACCAACCCTCGTCGCTGTCTGGGCGTCGCTCGTCGCGACACTCGAGTCAAGCGGCGTCTCCGAATTTACGACCGATGAGAAGGGGTTCGGATGTGCCAGAGGGGCCGGGGTTAGGAGCTGCGGCTGCGGCTGGGGATAGTCCGGTGCGACGGGGGAGTCGAGATGACAGTGCATTCTACCAGGCGGAGGCGGCCATGTTGACGAGGGAGAATCAACTGCTGCGTCAGCGCATTCGTGAACTGGGTGAGTTTCATATAAGAATATTTCTCGGTATGTTTTCTAACAAACTGTAGAACGGCAGGTTAGCGACTTGAAACCTGCCCGGTCGGAGGTTCCGACTGCTACCGGCGAGACCACAGAAAAGACATGATGGTCATTCACCCTCTTACGACCAGTGTTCCCGGACCACGTTCTGGCCAGATAGGCAGATCTGTGGGTGTTTAGATTCCCTTCATTGACGAAGGACTTTATCTCCCCGAGCAATACGCGCGAGTGGATACCATCGCTAGTAGATCGACTTGCTACGTCTGCCGGTTTGGTGCATTCACTGACCTGAGTGGTCTGCAGTAGTACGCTCCTGGATAGCTACAAGAGTCTCTTGATCGTGCAGATCCAGACATGTATTCATGTACACCGCAGTCGGTTTGCCTGCATTCACCTATCAATGAACCATCTTTATCAAAAATCCATAGTCCAAACCCATATTAAGGCGTAGTCTAGCAGTCAGTCTTGTTCGTCTCCCATCCACTCTATCCCTACTTAGTCCTCCATATACTCCATATACAAATAAGATAGATCAACAAGAAGGCGGGTCCTGCATCGCATCCTTCATCATCGCCTTGACCCTCTCCCCATCAACGCGATGCACATACGTCACATTCCTCAACCCAGGAGGCATCAACGCCTTCTGATAGACATGGATGTTACCGTAGTTAGGGCTTCCATACGCGATGTCCACATCAATATATGCTAATCATTATCAGCATCATCCTACACAAAACCCAAACAGAAAAAAAGAAAAAAAAAAAAAAAAAAAAAAGCCAAAGAAAGGAAGCGTCCATACCAGTGGTCGCATTAAGCACCACCCCCCGATCAACCATAATCGCCGCAGCAGTCTCGTCCCAAAACGGGAATTCCGTCCCGTAGTGATCGTGGAAGAGGTTCGTCAACGGATTGCGCACCTCGTGCACATCGTCTAGGAAAGACTGCGTCGACGGGACCTGGTTGGCGACGTTGCCTGCGATGACGATCTCCGGGAAGGGCGCGTTGAAGGCGATTTTGGCGGATTCGGGGTCGATCATTAGGTTTATCTTCCATACTATTAGCTCACCACTGTCATAATCATAATCATCACTATCACTGAAACTGATGATATTGAAATAGGGGGGAAGAAGGGGAGGAAAGAGAGAGATACATCAGAATTCTCATTCGCCAACTCCACGCTCCCTCTAACCTGCAAAAGATTAACATCCACATACCCCCCCATAACAACCAACTCCCTCGCATTGCGCGCAAAACTCTCATCGAGCCGCACGGCAAGCGCAACATTCGTCAGCGCGCCGGCCGAATAAATCGATACCTGCCCGGGATACTTCCGCACCATGTCTACCATGAACATCGCAGCTGTCTTGGAGTCATCGATACTACCCCGCGGGAAACCCTCGATGAAGGCTTCGCGCACGATGCGGTTGGGGTCGCCTGAGGTCGGGTCATTCCCGTCTTGGGCTTCCGGGGCGAAGGCGCCTTGCCAGGGGAGGGCGCCGTGGAGGGATTCCCAGGTGTGGAATCTGTGGGGCGTGTGGAGGAGCGGCCAGGTGCAGCCGGGGATGACGGGGATGCAGGTTAGGTTGGAGAGTTCGAGGTTGGCGAGGGCGTGGAGGGCGCTTTGGCGTTGCCAGGTGTTTGCTGTATCTGGGTTTTAATTAGTATTGTACTGTGGGGGGTTTGGGGGAGAGGGGGGATGTACTTGATGCGAGGCCTAGTATTTCCATGTCCCCTTTTAGGGCTAGGAGGATGGGAATGAAGCTCACGGCGCCCCAGTCGTTGTCGAGGATGGCATACCGTTTCTCCTGTGCTTTCTGCGTGGAGGAAGAGGCAGAAGGAGAGGCAGAAGTAGAAGAAGCAGAGCCCAAAACAGCTGATACCAGCAACGAACACACTGCAAGAGATCTAGTGACCCACATGGCGAATAAATCAATCGTCAGTTCACAACACTACAACTCGTACAGAAGCGTTGACGTTGAAGTAGACATTTATATTTTCCTATCTACCTCTCAGAAAAGACCAGTCTAGTGCATCCCCCTGCGTCGTGATCCAAACTGATCAAAACGTGATGACGATCGTTGGGGAGGCCCGGATTGGAAGGTATCGGCGTGTGGATCTGTGAGTGGAGTCGGTAGATAGGAAGTTGTCCGAGTCCCAGCTGTATGTGATAGGTAATTGTGATCGCGTGTGCAATGTTAAGTGATTGAATGTAGAGTTATAGGGTTGTTCATGGTGGCTAGAAATAAGGTTATTGGAGACGTTATACCACGTGTAGGGCTGTATGAAGGATTATAACATGTGCCGCTTGATATCTATGGTTTGGACCTCTATCAATTGACTGACTTAATCATACTGCAATGATTTTTAAATACGAGTTGATCTTGCTAATCACTCTCTTCAAAGTCAAGACACAAGACATGGTAGAATATATGATAGAAGTATAGAACAGAAGACAAAGCATGACGCGATGTCAACTCAAAGCCCGTTATATCCAATATCCAGCCACACAGGAGATAGTAAATACGCATCTCGAAGCATGCCATGCCCTCTTTAGATGGTCCATACGGACTTTAAAGAAAGATACCATCGCTGACGCAGTATCTATCGCAGCAGAGAGAAACCCCCCCCCCTCCCCCAGCCCGGCTCCCCAGACAAGAAAGACTATAACAACCCTATCCCACCCTACTCCTTCCAAGGCCTAACCTAAACCACAGAAAGGACAAAACCCGCCTCCTCAATTCAATTCACTACCTAACCTCTCTCTCTGAGAAACAGACCTCGGAGCACCGACTCCCTCTATCGTAAACCCATCCAGATCTATCTCTCGACGAACATTGGCTTGTCGGGTGCTTGTGCTTCCCACGTCAACAACGGCGTCCCTTGCCTTGCCTTACCTGGGACAGAACCCCCTTCTCTGATGGGGGGTGTTTATCGAGTAGGTCTTTTACCTAGGTAGGTAGGTAGGTATCTTTATGGGAGGGGTAGTAAAACTGTGTTATTGCCACTATTATGGTTTGAAATATGAATGTAGGCAATATATACGAACTGGTGAACAGTATACGGTAGACAGTAGGCAGACAAGAATTAGGTATAAGTTGACTCGCAAGTAAGAAAAATTAGATCCAAGTATATCCATTTATCGATCTATAATATCATACAAGAAAGGACGCATATACAACGAAACGAACAAAAGTTCATAAAAGGAAAGATCGAAAGTTTGAAAAGAAGAGCTTAGATCTTAGCCTTCTCAGCCTCCTTCGCCAACTCAGGCATCATCAGATCCCGCATATCACCAGCAGCCTCGTTCAAGTAATAGCTCATGCGCTCCGCGCCAATACGCTTGCAGACAATGTTGAAGTTGAGGCTGTTCTCGTTGATCATGTAGGCGATGCCGAACCCGTCGTCGATCACCTGGCTCCAGCCGTAGCCGTTGAAGAACTCCGAGCTCAGCTGGCTGGTGGACAGGTACCACGAGCTGCTGTAGGCGTAGGCCGGGTCCTCGTAGAGAGCCGGGACGGGCTCGCCCTCGCGGAGGGACTTCTTCAGGCCGAAGAGGTGGCGGTCCGCGCCGTGGCCGTCGCCGGCCTCGGCGGTGTACTTGCTGTGGGCGGCGAGGGCGGCGCGCAGCTTCTGGACGGCTTCGGCGCGGGGAACGTTCGCGTCGTTGATGGCGCGGCAGAAGGCGACGCTGTCGTCGGAGACGGAGCGGATGGTCTCCGTGCGGCCTTCTTGGTATTTGCGCGTCGAGGCCGACTCGTAGGTCGGGCGGTTCTTGCCGTACATCTTGAAGTAGGCGAGCTGGATGATCATCTGCACGAAGGCGTCCGGGCTGCACTTGAACTTCTTGATCAGACCCTTGCCGTAGCCCTGGTAGGCTTGCACACGCAGCTCGTGCGCGGCCATCTGCTGGCGGTGCTCCTTGCCGGAGGCGTCGATGGCTTCCTCGACGGCGCCGTTGAGGTGGAAGGTGAGGGGGCGCGGGTCGGGCAGCTCCGAGCGGATGGTCTGCGCGGACAGGTCGATCTTGTTGTTGAAGATCAGGTTGTTGAGGTGGTCGTTGAGGCGGTGGGTGGGGCTGCCGTCCATCATGCTGTGCTCGCCCATGAAGCCGGCGGTGCCGTTGTCATTGATGATGAACTGCAGCGGCTTGTCAAACCAGCGGTTGGTGCCGTCACCGTGCCAGTACTGGTGGGCGCGCTCCTCGAGGGTCACGGGGGTAGCGTCGTCCAGGCAGACGAGGAAGCCGCTCGACTCGATGTCGCGCAGGGCCTGCTCGTTGGCCGGGTGCGCCGCCAGCAGCTGCTTGCGCGCCTCGGTCCAGCGGTCGCGGTTGGCGGCCGTCAGGACACCGACGGCGGGCGCCCGCGTCGCCGTCTGGTAGATGCGCTCGAACTGCTGCTGCAGCTCGGAGACGTTGAGGCGGCGGCCGTTGACGACCAGCGGCACCTTGAAGAACTGGTTCTTGCGGACCGCCACGATGTGCTCGTTCTCCGCGGCCGGGTACTGCTGCGGGTAGTCGGCCGGGTCGGCCGGCACGCGGCAGCAGTTGAACATGTACTCGTAGGAGCTCATGGCGATGGGCTTGCCACGCATGTACTCGGGCTCCAGGGAGCCGTTGTCCACCTGGCTCTTGAACTCCAGGGCAGCCGTGGTGACGGCCGCGGCCCGCTGGGCGGGGTTGCGGCGCGCCCGGTCGTCCCGGTAGGAGTAGAAGTAGGAGACGTAGGGGATGACGGGGTCACGGTAGCCCAGGTAGGCGGCCTGGTTCCACCACTCGGTCAACCAGTTGCCGATCTTGGGGTCGGCGGCGCGGGCCTGCAGGCGCTCCTGCAGGGTCTGACCCTGACCGCCGGGGCGGACAAAGGCCTCGACGGCCTCCTTGGTGCGCTGGTACTCGGCCTCGGAGACGACGGCGTGGACGGACTTGAGGTAGCGGTGCGCGGTCTCCTGCAGGTCGGGGACGGGCAACTTGGGGAGGGATTGTTCGAAGCGGAGCATTTTGCCTTTGCTGAGGTCTTCCTTGTAGCCTGATTTTATTAGAAGGTGTTTCTTTTCCACATGACAGAACCGCTACTCACCCTCAGGGACGGAGGAGGCCTTGCGAGCCATGGCGGGGGACTGGACAGGTTAGCATCTCTCATCATCATCATCATCACCACCCGGGCAGAGGACATACGGCGGTACGGAGGAGGGAGTAAGTTGGAGACAGACGAGGCCGCGAGAGAGTGGACAAACGGCTGCGAGCGGCCGCTGGGAACATCTGGGGCTTCAAAGGGAGTAAGGAGAGAGAGGATGAGGATAGGAAACGGTAAAAGGGGAGAGTTGTAGAGGGAGAGAGGGAGAAATTTGAAGGTGGAAGAAAAGCAGAGAAGAGAGAGAGAGAAAGGCAGATGAAATACCTCGGCTGGCAGAAGCGGACGGCTCGGGTGGCGGTACCGTACCGTACTGTATGGTAACCACGTAACTACGTAATGGCCCAGCACAGCAGACGCAGCTTAGCGGGATCGTCCGTCCGGCCGAAGAGGCGGAAATGCGGAGCACTGCGGAGCCGCCCTTGGCCGCTGGGGGAGGGGAGCAGAGGGGGGAACGGGTACGGTACGTTACAGCTGGGACGGTCTGTACGGTATGCATGCCTGAGGCAGGGACTCAACAGCCTCGGCTCATCTGCCTCCTATAATCAATTTGCATTATGGACCATGGGGGGAGTGGATGAGAGGATATGATCAGATCGCGTGCCTTCACAGATGACCTCTGGCACCTGTGATCGATCTTGGCGATTTCCCCTACGTGCCTAAAATCCAGGAATAATCACATGATCCAAAAGTGCTCGGTGCTCACATTCCACGCCACGCTAAACAGAGAGGTACATACAGAAGTAACAGACAAAAGAATAATAGGTAAAATGCAAGGGGAAAAAGTAAGAAATTAAGAGACCGCCGGCGCGGTCACCGCTGCCTTCCGACGCGGCACCGGGATCCCCGTCCGCAATCGGTCCAGCTGGTCCATCTTGACCACCCCCGGTCCGGTACAGATCCGACCGCTCTGCATCAGATTGCGCAGGCGTTTCCGCCGCGCCTCGCCGCTGCGCTCCTCCCCGCGGCCCACCCCCTCGTCCACCCAGACGGTTCGTAGCACCGTAAAGCTCAGCCCGTCGTGCCGCCCGTCCCACGCCCGCGACCGGATTCCGAACAGGACGCTCGACTCGTACCGCTCCAGCCGCGGCAGGATGAGCAGCGTGATGTGGAGGTCCCGGTCTGGCGGCGGGATGGGCGGCTCCTGCGGCGGGTCGTCGTCCGCCGCCCCGCCGACAGCCTCCGCCGTCCGTGGCGCGTGCTGGTACGCCGGCTTGATCTCCAGGTCCAGCAGGCCCGGGTCCACGTCCTCCCCCCAGGCGCCCCGCAGGAAGCCCGAGTGGATGGCCGCCGCCACCGGGTCCGAGTCGTCCGTGTACACCCCGGACCCCCAGAGTGCCCGCCGCGCGCAGATCTCCTCGCGGTGGCTGGCGTCCACCCGGAAGCGGGGCACCCGGATCGTCACCGTGCAGTTCTCCCGCCCGTCGAACCGGGGTAGCGGCTGCGGCGTCGTCGTGTACCCGAACTTGGCGCTCTCCATCGGTTCCTTGTCGGTCGGCGTCCCGATCCGCGGCGCGTACAGCGTGGACCCGAGATGGTGCCGGGGTTGATGCGCCACGCTGGCCAGCACCGGCTCGATCGTCACCACCGTCCGGGGCTCGCGCATCGGCATCGCCACCGGGGGGTCCCCGGGAGCGGCGGAGCGGGGCCCGTGATGGTGATGATGGTGGTGGTGATGATGATGGTGATGATGGGGACCGCCTGGTGCAGGCGTAGCAGCGGCGGCGGCGGCCTCGGACGGGGTCGCCGCAGGGTGGTGGAAAAAGTTCATAGACAGCGACCGGGCGGCGTCGTCCTCCGCCTTGGGCCGGTGATGGTGATGACTGCCAACGTCAGTAGACGCGTCGACGGGCGCACGGGACGGGCGCGACTCATACTGATGATGCGGATGGTGGTGGTGGTGATGGTGCGGGCGGGGTCGACGCCCGCGGGGCCCGCTGCCGTGCTCGTCCCGCAGCTCGTCCTCCCGCGCGGGTCGGGAGCGCTTGCCGGTGGCCGACGGGGGCCGCGCCGCCGCCCCTCCCCTGAGCTCGTCCGCCGTCTCACTCGATCGCGCCGGATGGCTGTCGCGCTTGAAGGGACTGCCGGCCAGGGGGGTCGACGACCCGCTGCCTCCCGTCGCGGCACTCACGCCGCCGACGCCACTCCCGATGCCGGAGAAGACGCGGCCCAGGTCCGACTTCATGCCGGCCTCGGCGGCCGGCCCCAGGATTTGGGCCTGGGCGCCCTGCACGGCCTGCGGGGCCGGGGACATGCGCCCCCCCTTGGCGTCGAGCCCCACCCGCAGCAGCGTGCGATGCTGCTGCAGCTCGTCGCTGCCCTTGCGGCGGTCGTCGCCAGGCGTGGGGCCCCGGGGCCCGGCCAGCGGCCGCGATTCGGGCGGCAGTTGCCCGAGGTACGGTGAGCGCTCGGGCGGCGCACCCGTGGGAGCGTCTTGCCGCGGCTGGATCGACAGCGGCGGCGGGCGCGGGCCGAGCTGGGCGCCCAGAGACTTGGTGTAGTTCTGGATGGCGCCGAACCCGAATCCCGCGGCAGCGTCGGAGCCGGCCAGTCGCTTGGCCTCGGGGGAGGCCGGTGGGCGGGCCAGCTCCCAGGCGGGCCGGGGCCCTCCCGCGTCGCGCTCCCCGTAGGACCCGTATCGGGCGAGGGCCGGCTTGATGTCCCCCTCCGAGGCCCTGTCGCGGTCCCGGTCCCGGTCCCGGTCCCGTTCTCGTTCCCGTTCCCGCTCCCGCTCTCGTTCTCGTTCTCGTTCTCGCTCCCGGTGCGCGTGTTCCTCCGCCAGTCGATCACCGTACGGGCCCAGACGCCCGGGGTGCTCGGGGGGGCCCCCGTACGGCGGATTGCGCGGGCCATAGGCGCTCTCCGGGACGGTCCCCGGCGGCGCTGAGGGGCGGGACAACGGACTGTATCCGGCCGGGCGCGACGGTGGGTCGAGGTGTTGGGGTTGGCTGCTAGGACGGGGCACGGGTGCGGTGAAGCTCAGGCGTCGATGGTCCCCGTTGTAGGGCCCGTCGGCGGGCGGCATCTGGGGGGATGGGTGTGCTGACCCGGGCTGGGACCCCGAGGGGGTGCGCGTCAACGCGCCGAACCGAGTGGGTTCCGGGCCCGCGGACTGTGGTGTCCCGCCGGAACTGGACCGGTAAGGTCGTGGTTGGGACTTGGCGTAGGGCTTCTCAGGGGTCTGCGACCGGCGGAAGAGCGGGTATTCCAAGGGGGAGGTCCGGGCAGGCGCGGCGGGCGGAGACATGGCGCCCGGGGCGGCGGACGGCGCGTTGGCGAACGGACTGGAGGCGGCAGGGAGACGCGAAAAGACCGACGCGCCAGCGTCCCGGGCGGGTCGCTCGGCGTCGGCGGCCCCCAGCATGGACGAGATGGACATGCTGCTGCCAGGACGGTGATGAGACGGGTTGGTGGGTGGCTCACGCGAAAAGGGCGTGGACATGGAGCGGGTAGGACCGGCCGGCGCGCGCGACGGATAATGTTGTGGGGGGGAAGGAGGCGGCATTCGATGAGCGAGGGCGGGTTCTTGGGGGGCTACCAGTGAGTTGGTTAGTGATGTTCAAAATAAGAGAAGAGAGATCGAGACAGAATGATAAGATAAATGAAGCAACGAGGAACGATGGACAAAACAAACAGCCGACAGGGGGATTCGACCGAACAAGGAACACGTCCAAACACCCGATCGGACAAAGTACACGCGAGAGGGGAAAACAGAAACAGCAGGCATCGGCCGAGATGAGGTTCAGATGGGAACTGGGCCAGGAAGGGCGCCAGGAACCGGGGCACGACAAGGCTCACCAGGGTAGATGGGGCCACCAGCGCTGCCCAACGATCTCCGACGCTGGGGGTTCTGCGACGGTGGCGGATTCATGTCGCAGGGCGCCCTGTCAGGGGGACCCAGGGGTAAGGAAAGGACGAGATGAGGGATGGGTATAGACAGATAGACAGATCGATAGGAGGAATGGGAAGAGCAGAAGGAAGAGAAGATGAAGGAAAAGGAAGAAAGGAAGAAGAGATGATCAGCGACAATCAGGAACGGGCAGTTGGAAAGGAAGGAAAGGCAAAGAGAGGTGAGAAACCCCGTGACCGTCCGGGGTTAGTCCCACTCGGGCTTAGCGTTCCCGAGACCCCAGTATAAATCTGAGATAGTAGGGTATATAGGTATACAAGGTAGAGTAGAGAAGAAGATGACAGAAGGACAGATCAAGATGGAACGAGAGAAGACAGAACCTACCTGTTCGATATCGAGATTGACCGTGAGACAAACTCTGAGTTCCCCTCGTGTGTCCCTTTTCCCTCCGTCTCCCATCCCCTGGTTGTGCCTTTCTCCTCCCAGAACCATGGTTCATCGCAACTGGGGCGGGAACAAGCCCGCCCCGATCCGTTCGATATGACGCATAGATAGGTTCCGATGGTGTCCACGTCGCAGCCAACACAGAGGGGGAGGAGGAGGAGGCAGACGAAGCTGAGGTCGAGGGCGAAGGTGTATAGGGTGTGTATCCGGAGCGAGGGACGGCGATCTCCCGTCGAGTGCTGAAAGGATCGTAGAAGGCTTGTTGTGGGTGTGGATGTTGTGATTGCTGTTGCGGTTGCGGTTGTGGTTGTGGTTGCGGTTGTTGTTGATGTTGTTGATGTTGTTGTTGATGTCGATGTGGTGGTGATGGCGGTGGAGGGGCGCCAAACGGACGCGGAGGAGCAACGATAACGCGAGGATCGTGGGCGTAGGCTGGATGAGGGGGGGCATGTTTCTGATAATCCATCATCTCTTCTTCTTCTTTTCTTCCTTCTTTCTTCCTCCGTTCTTCCAGCTCTTCCTCTTCTCTGTTCCTTGGTTAAATAGCGGTAGAGAGACGACAGGCGAGAATAGCCCAACCTGAACGACAGAATGGATAGACAGGAACTAAAGATATACCATTAGGAATGTGTCAAAAAGAAAGGAGACGACTGAAAGTTAGAAAGAAACAGAGAAGAATAAAAAAGAAGACGGTGAGCAATGCAATGCAGGCAAGTGGGGGAAGAAAACAACCGGAATGGAAGAATCGAGGAAAAATACCGACGGCGGCCAATTAGCGTTGGATCAGGACGGCGGGGAACTGCTCCTATTCCAGTGGGTCTATCTATTATAATTATATAAAAGTGAATATAAAATAGAATAAATATATACGAAGTTATATAATACCTATACAAAAATATAGAATATATATATATATATACGGAGTATATATGATATCAGACGATGCCCAATATCCATCCATCCGATCTCTATACCAGAAAATCCACACCGTTGGGCGCATCTGCGCTGCGACGTGTCATGCATCCTCACTGCCCCGATCGGCGGGGAGCACGATGACGCGATTGTTTGATATAATATTTTCTTATTATTATTTATCTATTATATATATATATATATATATGTATGGTATAAATATATCTAATGACCAGTCAACTCTGTCTAGTCATTCTGTGAACACTCTATAATTATCCAGACCTCGTGCAGAAGGATAGGAGTAATGCAGACAAGAGTATGTGGTTGTACCTAACTCTGAAGATATATACAAGAAAAGTCATTTGTTCAGATGCAGGTGATAGATCATGACCATTACTATATATACCATGTCCCTCCTAATGGATCCAACTCATACACCCCCAATAGAACAAACAAAAGAAAAGAAGAAAGAAAAATCAAGGCCAAATCCTCTCCCACCACCTCTCACATCCCCCCAAGAAGCCTCCCTCACATCCACATCCACCAAATCAACCCCCTCCCGCACCAACAACCTCCAAACCCTCCGTCGCTGCCTCTTCGACCCCCCGGCAGATGCGTAACCCGCACCGGCAGACCCCGCCGGTGCGCGGATTCCACCTGCGAGCGCACGCGGTCGATCTGTTTCCGCGTGAGCGAGGACCGTCGGCTGCAGTGGCTGTGGCCTAGGATGTCAAGCTGGAAGTTGCTGGTGGCGCTGTGGAGGCGCTGTTGTTGGATTGTGGATTCTTCGCCTTCGTTCTCGTCTGCCGGAGATAGTTGTGCGAGACGGGTTTCGAAGAATGTGTATGGTGGGAATGATGACTCCTCGTTGGAGTGGTGGTCGGTAGCTATTTCGTTGATCGAGGCGGCATCTACGCCTGTGATGACGACTGTCACTGGGGCGGGTACGACAATATGCGACCCGTTCAGCTCTGTCAGGTAGCCATTTTCGTGAAGATCCGCTAGCTGGCTCACTAGAAGTGGCCATGCTTCCTGCACCGGAGACTGCAGCTCCAAGAACAGGGTGAACGAACGGGATGGGTCATGGTCGAAGAGCCCAGTCACCGCATCTGACTTCTTATTCGCATTGAGCCGTTCTAGTAGCGGTTGAAGATACACCCCGCGCAGGGTGTCCCGCTGGCTACTGCTACTGCTGGACCGTCCAACGACGAGACCCTGCCCATCGAGCCAGACGTCAGCTTTGACACCCGTGCAGCCGGCTGCGATAGCCCTATCGACGACGTCCTGGTCCGCGCGGGGGCTGGGATCGTAAGCGATACAGGCGCTGGATTGGCGGGTGCGTTCCACCGGCCAGTGTAGAGATCCCGTGTGAAGGAGTCCGCCAGGATGGCCGCGAAGAAACAGGTACGACACGGCGTATGGTAAGATGGAGATAAATTGGAGGAGGACCCTGACTGTATTAGCCTCATTTTCTATTTTCTTTCTTTTCCCCTCCCCTAAAAAAAAGGATAGGGAAAACATACAAAACCATCAACCCCACACAAACCAACAAAAACAACCTCTCCGACCAGCGTTTCCCCTCACCACCCGCACCCGCACAGCATCCACTCCAGCCCCAGTACGACCGCAAGGCTGGCGGACAGCCGCACGGATACGACCGCAGCGGATGATCGTCGAGGAGGGTGGAGGAGTAAGCGTCGTATTCGCCTGCTTCGAGGGCTGCACAAGCTGACGGTGCGACCACCTTTTCGGAGGGGACCTTCTCAGACGTGGGGAGGGCCATTTTAGATCGAGGCCCTGGGGTGATGGGGGTGGGTTTGGGTCATGGGAGATAGGGTTGGTGGGGGGTTTATTGTGGTTGGATGTTGTAGATCATGTATTGGAGATAGGATCTCGCGGTGGATTGAAGGGATCGAGGATGGTTTGTATATATTTATGTAGATAGTAGTATGAAGCAAGAGTAACAAAGAAGAAGAGAGAGAAAAAGGAAATGAAAAGAAAGGAAACAAAGAGTCAAATACGAGGCTGTTGCGGCACGCGACAGAAGCACGCAATTAGAGCCGCAGAGGTCATCATCAGAGCTATTGCATCGGAGGTCAGATGCCCTATGAGCAAGGCTTGGCTGTGGATCTCATCGTCCTTCTTCTTATTATTCTGCTTATCTATTGCCCTGCATACTTTTGAGTATTATCATTCTACAACTATAGACAAACCATCCGGATAGAAGTATAGAATGCATTCCATCGCTGTTTCTGCCTGACAATGTGGAGAGATCAGGCAGAGTTGGGCCTGGACTACCGCCTAAATCAATCTAACGGGTCCCTGTATCGGCGGTGGAGCTGTTCAGCTAGTCTCTTTTGGTCGGACCACGGCGGGGAGACTCCAGAAATCAGGAGTATAATCAACGCATTGCACACACAGGAGCCTTATCAGAAGCAATCAAGGCTAATACCTCATAACCTATCTGGAACATGAATGGTGCCGACGAACCGCTGAAAACACGATCGGCCCGATAACGGGAACCCGATATGATTCCTTCTGTATCAAATAAAGCCAAAGGACACTAGTGTCTTCAGTGTCGGTGTGCGACCAAGGGACGGTGTGGATTATCATGATGAGTGATCGGCCGGTCAATACTGATACCCGTAATAATACGCGGGATCCACATCCACCTTCACATGCCGTGCCGCTTCACATGTCCCGCCATCTGACCCCTTTCTGCCCGTATGTCAGATCAAGGTGTTTGCGCCCCTTCACCCATTCCCATCAGTCCCCCCGCCAGCCCGTTCATCCGCCGGTCTAGTAGGTCCTCCTCGCTCGATAGGCTGCCCAGACTGGGCGCGCGCGGCCGCTCCGCCCCCGGACGCTCCCCGGACACGGACCCGTCGGCCCCGGGGAGTGAAATGCGCGAGGGGGCGTTGCGTCGTTTTCGGTGCAACTCTGTCCTTTCGGGCGAGACGACTCCGGTGGTGGAGGGCTTGTTGTGCGAGGGACCAGGGGACCGTGTGGCCTGGGACGTGCCATCCTCGCGCGGGGGAGCATTTCCGGACAGATCGCTCCGCTGCGTCAGAGGAGCCACCGTGCGAGCACCCATCTCCAGCGGCCGGTCCTCGTCGGCGGACAACTCGTCGGTCTGGCGGCGGACGTGATGTCGCGGTTGTTCACCGTCGAATGGGTCCGGGAAGACAGGGTGGCCCGAACGGGCGTGACGCAGGCCGGTCGACTCGTCCCTCTGGGCCGCCGTCTCGAACAGGTGCTGGATCCACGTCGCACACCGGGCGATGTGTTTTCGGCTTTCCGGGAAAAACCCGGCCATCTGTAGGAACCCGTGGGAGACGCCCGGCAGCAGCGAGACCTCCACGTGGTCCTTCTCGTCGAACTCCCGGCGCAACCGCTCCAGTCCCAGCTCCTGTCGCTCCCGGAACTGCCGCAGCTTGGCCTGCCGCAGACGCCCCGCGAAGATGACGGTGTCGTCCACAAGGGGATCCCGCTCGCCCGTGATGATGTACGTCTTGGGAAACCGGGCTAGGAGGGCCTCCGGGGCCAGCACGGGCGACAGTAGAAAGTCCGTGCTGAAGTCGGGCCGGTTGTGGGGTCCAATGTAGAGTATGATCATGGCACGCATCATCTCCGGCGTCAGAATGCGGTCGTGCACGTAGGAGATCATCGACGACACGGCGATCCGCGTCCGGACCGGCTTTGGCTGGTTGTCGGCCAGTGCGGCGGCCTGCACGGCGATGTTCTCTTGTTGTAGCCGCTCTTCGATCTCGTCCGACGTCGGCTGGGGACCCACGGCCTCGCCGTCAGCCTCCGGTAGGGCACTCTTCCAGAGGTTGTCGACGGAGGAGGGGCCCGGCGAGGTGAAGGGCGTCAGTCGCTCGTACTCCATGTTCTTCCGTTGGACGACATTTCGATTGGTCCGGCGCGCACTCTTGTCCTGGATGAGTGACATCTGCTCCTCTGTCATCCAGCTTTCCACGCGCACGTTCAACGCAGGGTAGGCCAGGACCAACCCGTCCGGGCGGGGGAGGGGAATTTCACCGTCCCACCGCGGGGAGCCTGTCGGGCCACCCGACTCCAGCACCATCAACGCCGTCCCCACGGCCAGGTTTGCCCCGGCACTGTCGCCCGTGATGACGATTCGGGGCCGTGTCTGCCCGCTGAGCCCCGCACAACGGCCGCGCGTGGTGACCAGGGTTTGGTAGACATCGAAGCACTCATTTAGGGCGTAGGGATAGGGATATTCGGGGGCCTTCTTGTAGTCGAGGCTGAGAATCGGGACCTTGGTGCGGCCGGCCCATGACAGCAGCCGATCTTCGGAGGAGCGGGGGTCCATGGCGACGAATCCACCGCCCGGGACGTCCAGAATGACACACGTCTGGTCTCGTAGCGTACTCAGCGGACCGTCAAAATAGAGCCAGGCGTGGGTGGGTTCGCGGTAGGCGGACTGCGGCGGACGGGGGATGCGGATGGCGCGCGGCGGATACTTGGTCAACCGCGGCCGCATCAAGCTGGCCAGGGCCCAGAGGTACGGCGTGGTGCCCTTATTCCATGAAACCCGCAGGTGGTCCACCGTCAGGGTTGCGCGCACCCGACGCACCTTCTCGTCGGCCTGCTCGGCGGCAAAGAGATAATACACTGTGAATGTGAGCGAGGCGATGTCTCGCAGCCAGCCCGGCCTGATCTTCATGGCCGTCCAAAATCCGGCATCCAGCGCGGTTGTGATCCATGTCGCGCGAAAGAACGAACGGGAGTAGAGGTTGGCCAAAGGCTCGGGGCATTCCAGGCCCATGACCTTGGCAAAGTTGCGGCAGACATAGAGCCACAGGAACACGCCGACGGTGGTCTGCCAGACCGTCAAGCGCTGGGAGAGCCGGCTGGAGAGGTTTCGGAGGGCTGGTGGGCCATGCTTGTTTCCCCTGAATAGGTTAGGGTGGGTATCCCAGCTGGTCAACTCGTCGTAGCTCACCTGGACAGGTATAGGGACCAGAAGACAAAGACGGCGAAGACTTGGATCTTGCGGAACTTAGTGGACGGACGTCCGAGGACGTGGTCTGAAGGATGTCAGTAGGGGGCAACGACCGGGCCGAACTCCGTACTTCATACCTATCATCGTGCGGTATTTGCGTACCCAAAAAGAAATCAATCACAGAAAAGTATAGAACAGAGGATGAAAGAGGAAAAGGAAGGAAATGATGTCTGATTTGCGATGGACTGTATGGTCCAAGCACGTGGTGCCTTCAAATATGTGATATTGCAATCTGAACAAGAAAAGCTGGGTCAGGCGAACCAAGCCAACGGCTAAATATGGCGACAACGAGGACCTCTATGTGGAATGAGGCATAGTCCAGCTAAGTGACTGCCATCAAAGCACGCAGCGAAATCGGGACCGGGGGCCGTGAGAAAGCGGCGCCAGCAAGAGAGGGACAATCAGAAGGGCATCCATGCACCGCTGAATATGAGATCGACCAACGGGAGAGCATGAGAAGTGGCGTCCGTCAAGGATGATGATGATAAAGATGATGACGATGAAGTGGATGGCTATCAAGAGGCATGTGAAAGGCCCCACCGGAGGAGATGATTGGGTGGCTGAAGTACTGGAATGTACCTTCAGTGTATGTAATAAGTACCTGGATGACCGGTATCGATTAATAATATACCGGCGGAATGAGAGGAGGATGAACAGCCCTGAGAGATGGAAGAAGAGACAAAGATTTGCATGATAGAATGATAAAAAGAGAGAAGGACAAAAGAGGAAGAGACAAAGAGCGGACGAGAAAGAAGGGAGATTCATCACGTGGAGGTAGAGCATCTCGTGACGGATCAGGTGAGCATCAGTCCTATACGGGTACCTCAGGCATGTTCATACGGGTCATTACTACCTTATGGATGAGTTTCTGTCCTGGGTGGAATCAAGGTTGACAGACTGGATTAGGGCACAATACAGAGTACCGGATACAACGTGTATACTTATGAGGGCCAAGAAACAAGGTCATATTTATCACGGTCACCATCACTTGGGTTACGAGAGAATCGGTACTTGATAAGCAGACTTCTTAGATCGAGTCTATATAGGTTTGTGGGCATACTCCAATATGGCGTCTACTCTGAGCCCCCAGTTCATGAGAATGTACCGTCTGGACGTCTTTATAGATCGAACATGAGTGTTGACAAGTCGCATCTGTCTATCTCTAAGCACTCCCGCGGATTCGACTAGGCTGGGACAGTCCAAATAAATATTCGAACGAATAAGAGATCTTTTACTAAAGTAACATCCGGGTCAAATCAATAGAACAAGCCTTGGATGGCAGAGTATGGGGGAGCATAATAGTAGGATATCAGATGCATAATATCCGCTGACTCATACACACCTCGGCACAGTCGGCATAAGCAGCGATCTTCTCCGATCTCATCCCGACATCCACTTCTTCATTCCCGACAATTTGTCTATCCTCTGTCAACCGACCACTCGTCTATCTGTTTTTACAACTATTTTCTACTCGGTCCTTGTCGATCCAATCAAGAATAAACATACAATGCTATCCCGCGTCCTTCCCACCCGCAGAGCGGTAACCCGCGCAACGGGAACCACCCGCGCCTTCGCCACGAGCACCATCCGCTTCAACAACAGCTCTGACGGACCCCAAGCTCCCGGGTTCCCTTTCAATCGCGGCCCGGCCCCCCCTCGTCTCCCCAAGGAAGAGCAGGAAATCTTCGAGGACCTCCAACGGCGCTCGACCGGCGCGTTCAGCACCCCGCGCGTCAACCAGTCCCCCGACTCGCAGGAGGCTGCCGATGGTCAGCAGCAGCATCCGGATAAGGTGGTCGGGGTGAAGCCTGAGTTTGAAGGCGAGAAGAACCCCAAGACGGGGGAAGTCGGTGGTCCTAAGAATGAGCCGTTGCGGTGGGGGGCTGAGGGTGACTGGAGTTATGGAGGACGGGTTACTGATTTTTAGACGCCTCTCCAAGATGCTTCTGAAATACCACTGTGAGGATTGGATCCTTGGTGATTGAGTGGTGCGCATGGACATGGAAATAAAACTACGGAGTGGGTATGGGGTTGCGCTGGTCGCTTGTACGATATGGTGGAACATCTGTCTGTCAATTGGACTATGATTATCCTGTAAATACATGACATTATAAACGGTAGATGTGCTTTGCATGTTTCAATCTTTTGACATGATTAGATTTGAACTAGATGTTTGATAGTGCTCTCCGAACTACAGGCTCATCTACACCACATAGTTCGTCGGTGGAGTAAAAACCGCTTAGTCAACAACCGCCACTTTTTTCACGATCCGATTCAAGATTCAAACTTCAACATCCCACACCATCACCAGTTGCACCATGGAGCCTAAACCAGACGAGTCGCCTGCGGGACAGTCCCTTCGTCAGCCCAAGAAGCGCTTCGTGGGTCGACGCACTGCAGACGCACAGGCCCAGAAGGACTCGAGCCAGAACGATGTCGAGTCCACCAGTCTTCAGCGGGGTAAGTATTTGATATGATCAATCCGAATAACTCCACCGTGGGTGAAAGAACATTGACAATGAAATGCTAATCATGTATAGCTACCCCCCGTCGAACCCCCCGAACACTCAACCAAGTCCCTCCCGAAATCCTCGAAGACCCCGACATCAAAGCCGCCATCGGGCTCCTCCCACCCAACTACTCATTCGAGATCCCCAAAACCATCCACCGCATCCGCACATCAGGCGCCAAACGCGTTGCGCTGCAGTTCCCCGAAGGCCTGCTCATCTTCGCGACGACCATCTCCGACATCCTGACGCAGTTCTGCCCCGGCATCGACACCCTCATCATGGGCGACGTCACCTACGGCGCCTGCTGCATCGACGACTACACCGCGCGCGCCCTAGGCTGCGACCTGCTCGTGCACTACGCCCACAGCTGCCTCATCCCGGTAGACGTCACGCAGATCAAGACCCTCTACATCTTCGTCGACATCAGCATCGACACCACCCACCTCCTCGCCACCCTCGAGCGCAACATCCCCACCGGCCGCACCCTCGCCATAGTCGGCACCATCCAATTCAACGCGACCCTGCACGGGCTCCGCCCCGTCCTCGAACGCGCCGGCTACCGCGTCCTCATCCCCCAGATCACCCCCCTCTCCAAAGGCGAAATCCTCGGCTGCACCTCCCCGCAAATGCGCCCCGAAGACGCAGTAGACTGCATCCTCTACCTCGGCGACGGCCGCTTCCACCTCGAGTCCGCCATGATCCACAACCCCACAATCCCCGCCTACCGCTACGACCCGTACTCGCGCACGCTCTCCCGCGAGGAATACGGCCACGACGAGATGCACGCGCTCCGCCGCGACGCCATCGCCTCCGCCCGCGGCGCCCGCAAATGGGGCATCATCCTCGGCGCGCTCGGCCGCCAGGGGAACCCGCACACGATGGCCCTCATCCAGGACCATCTCGCCAGCCGCGGTATCCCGACTATCAACCTCCTGCTCAGCGAGATTTTCCCCGGTAAGCTCGCGTCCATGGCGGACGTCGAGTGCTGGGTGCAAATCGCCTGTCCGCGGTTGAGCATCGACTGGGGGTATGCGTTTCCGCGACCGCTTTTGACACCTTATGAAGCGCTGATCGCGCTGGGCGTGAGAGAGGACTGGGGTCGTACGAATAAGGGCGTGTACCCGATGGACTTCTATGCGAAGGATGGGTTGGGCAGGACCCGGCCGCAGGTGCAGGCTGCCACTCCGGCGGCGTGATCTGTATTGTGGAGTTGAGTTGAGGGTAAAAGTGGTTTTGCATAGAGGCGTTTATCATTCTATATACTTGGTTGTGTATGCGTTTGTTTAGTTGGTTTCATTTTTAAGGATTTATTTCACCAAGTATCTGATCCGAGTTTCTCGTTCTGGAATTTCATTGAAGTATTCCGTCCAAGTAGTTCATTTTGAGTATACCTTTAGTTTGAACCCACGCCCTGCTGCTCTCCAGTCCTTCCCAAACAGTAACTACCCAATTAGACAGGCAGCACTAAGCTCGCCAGTACTGTAGGCGGAGGCCTCAATCACAAAACATAGACAAGTTCAAGAACAGCGAAGACCGTCATTCAACCTTACCTATTTGATATCTTGCTAGGTTGGAAGTATTGGCCGCATGGTTGGTAGTAGGTAGTAGGTCCTACTACTACTACTACTACTACTACTACTATCAAGATGATGTGGTTGCCTCGGACTTGCGATGGTCGGGTTGCGGATTTTGATGTGTTTGGTTTATTTGTCGTGATGGTGTTTATGACTTGTGGATTTGGAGTTGTAGATACTGTGGTGGTTGTGTCGTTAATTACAGGCCCTTTCTATGGGATGATTAATATAACTCTACGTGTGAACCTGATTTGATATCGTAACACGATAGTCTCGACAAAACCATCATAGTTGGCTACATGCATTCATAACTTCTATCTAAACAATGGCTCACTTCTCCCCCTTCACCTCATCCGCACTATCCGTATTCATATCACTAGCGCTACTCCGCCGCAAAGCCAGCACGCTCTTGCTAGCGAGCTCATCTGCCGTGCGTTCGGCCGCGCGCCATCGCGTAACCGCCTGCTCGACGTCCTCGAACATCTCCAGCGTGTCCTTGATGATGCCGCCCTCGTCGGGCTCCGGCACGAGTGTGCTCTCGCGCGACGCCCCGTCCGCCGTGAGCGGGAACGCTGGCCCGAACCCGCGCTGGGGAACCGGGTTGAACATGACGGCGTTGGCGAACATGCGGATCAGTTCCTTCTCTAGCTGGGCGGAGTTGACGATGCCGCGCGGCGGGATCACTTCCTCGCTACGTGGGAGTAGGAGGACCGCGTTTTTGGATGGTGTCCCCCCCGGTGCGGGCGACTCGCCGTCTGCCATGGGCGTGTTGGCTGCTTCTGCTGCCGCTGTGACCGCTCGGGTGCCTTGGTGGATGCATGACTTGATGGATTTGAGGTCCTGCGGCCGGTAGATCAGATCCCGGTAGCCTGGGGCGTCGCGTTCCGTCAGGGGCTTGGTGAAGATGGATGCGTGCTTGTGCATGGTCACGTCGTTCATGATCGGGGCCCCGGTGCGCGGGAAATTGCGCGGACACAGCACGTACGGGCTCGACTGGCTGGCATCCGGACGACCGAGTGGACTGGCCTCGGGGGCTGCTGCTGGTGGTGGCGGCGGCGGCGGGGGTAGGGACTCGGCCTCTCCGGGGGTTTCACTGGGCGCACGCTTGCGCTTGGGTCGTCCGCGGGCCGGACGCTCCTCAGACGCCGGCACCGTGGCTTTGCGCCCGGACGCTCGGGGCTCGGATTCTGCCATCTCGGCGACGCCCGCCGGGGTCGACGGCAGCTCGCGCTTGATCCTCTTCCCCGTGTCAGCCGTCACGTCCGGGGACAAGACCGACCGACCACGGCTGCGGGACGACGCGGGGCTCCGCTCCCGTCGCCGCGCGGACCGGCCTGCCTTCTCCCCGCGGGCGGTCGCGACCTTGCTCTCCGGCTCGGCGGTCCGGGGGCTGTCGGCGCGGCTGGGTCGCCCGGGCCCCGGCGTTTGCGGCGCACGGGCGGGGCCACCGGCTCGTCGGGGGTAGCCTCACGGGACCCCGGCGGGGACGGGGCGCGGTCGCTGATCGGGCTGACATCCTCGGGGCGGGGGCGATCCGGGGACCGCGGGGACTCGGGGATGGTCAAACGGAGAGGGGTCTTCTTCCAAGGGGTCGAGGAGCCCGCGGGGTCCACCGACGGTGCCGGCGGACGAGATCCCCGCGACTCGGACCACCGCGCGGTGGCCGCGGCGAGCGGCGTCTCAAGGCCACGGGCTCCAGTGGCCGGAAGCGGCGCGACTCCTGCCGTCGGCCGTGGCGTGGCGGGCACGGTGGGGGGAAGGAAGGCCGGACTGGGCTGGGCAGGGGGTTCGGGTTTCGGGGACGGCTGCGAGGGGGGAGGCTTCGATAGTGAGGCCGGCGGGGCCGGGGGTGGCAACGGCTTCCCGGCCGCCGCTTTGGCCGACGGCTTGGATCGGGGATGGGGCGACGGCGCCTGTGGCGTTTGGGGCGGGTTTAGCGACCATTGCTGGAAGCTCGACTGGGCGGGTGACGGCGGCACCGGCGGGGTTGGGACCGACGGGGTGTGCTTGATCGGTGGCTGGGGCGGGATCGCGGCCGGGGCCACGGACGCGGGGATGAGGGGTGGCGGGTGTGTCGGCGTCCCAGTGGGAGGCCGCGGTGCGACTCCAGCGGGGACGGTCGCCGCCGCCGGTGGTTGCGACACAGACGGGGGCGGTCGGGGCACCGCGGATGCTGCCTGGTCCGACGCGCCTTGAGGTGTGGGGATGGGTCGTGGGGCCGCGGGCGATGGCTTCTTTCGAGATGGTTCGGATAGCGGTGGAGCGACCGCTGCCGGCAGGGGTTGCGGCGGGAGCTGCTGGGATGGCGATGGGGGTGGTGGTCGCGACGGCCGGTGGGGTGGTTGCAGGACCACCGGCGGGCCCCGCGATGGGGGTTGGGGTTGGGGTTGTGCCAGGGGCGTCTCCGTGGATGAAGGCGCCGTAGGTGGTGGCGCGGGTGGTTGCGGTGCGCGGAGGACCCCTGGCGGCGGGACCGCATGGGCTGGGGGAGTCGACGTCTCCGGCTCCTTGCGCGGGCGTTCCCCGGGTGGTTTCTGCCCCTCGACCGGCGGGACCGGCTGCGTTCGAGCGGCGTCTGGCGTGGGGCCGGGCGGTTGTTCCTCCTTTGCATCCACCTCCATCGGCTCCGGGGGTGGTCCGCGCGACGACGGTGGCGCGACCGGGGTCACCGGGGCAGGTGGGGATTCCCGCGGGGCGTCGCGGTCCCTCTGCAGGCGGTCAATCTCGTCATTGATGGCGCGGTACCGCTGCTCTTCGTCCTTAATCTCACTGGTGACGAGCTCCTTGTAGCGGGAGTAGAGACGCGAGACGAGGCCCGGGACGACGGTGGAGTGGGATCGTGACCGGGGGCTCGCGATCTTGCGTTTCTTGGGATTGGTGGTGGCCGCGGGCCCGTCGTCGGGATGGCCGTTGGGTTCGTGAGGGGTGAGGGCGAGGGGGTCCCCGTCGCGCATCAGGGTGGCATAGAGGTCCTGGAGAGCCTCCGGGGAGAGACGCTGGTCATCAAAGGCGACATTATGACGGACGAAGGGGTTGGAGCGGAGGAGACTGGAGATGGCGGCGAAACTGGCGGGGGGCGCGTCCAGACCCGCGAGGGACTGAAAGAAGAGGAGGGACTCCAAAGGGGTGTAGGCCGACAGAGGAGGCATCCCCCATTGTCCGTTGGCTCGGCCACTGGGGGGAAGAGCCTTTGGGATTGGTGCCACGGTGATGGGGGGGGAGAGGAGCGATGCGGTGCGGTGGGAGGTGGGAGCGAGATGGGAGAGTCAATCAATCCCATTCAAGGAGCAGGGTTTCGGTCGGGAGCGGGTTTGGCGGGTTAATTCATTCGGGTGATTGATGGTTGATTGATTGGTGAGATGAGACAATTGATTCTTTCGTTCCTTTTCTTTGATCTTCTTTATTATTCTGGACTGATCCAAAGGATGTCGATCGCGTTGGATAATTATTAATTTTTCTTCTTTGGACTTCTGGGTGAGTGTTTGGGAGACGCGACGGGATGGAATGCGGGTAGCGGATGAGACCAGTTGCGTAGGGACGGAAGGGAGGAAGAAGGAAAATCACGGAAGGAAAAAGAAGAGAAGAGAGGAGAGGAAGCGATGGGGAAGGGTTGTTTAGGTTGACGATGGACTAGAGGATGATGCCGATCGAGACTAGTCGAGACAATGGAGATGAGAGGAGGAGAGAAGAGAACAGATGGAGAGAAGATGGAGAGAGAGAAATTGAAGAGCCCGAATCAGGAATCCAGGAATCCAGGCAGACTTAGACTTGGTGCCGAAAAAAGAGGGCATCTGCAATGGGCGGTGGGCACGTGATGTATAGCTGACTCAGTTGGCATTATATAGTGATTCATAACTCGTACTGACCATTACCATACCGTACAGACTGTTGTCGAGGCAGCCTCAAACCCCCTAATAATACTTCAACAATACCGTAAATAACGATACAATCCATCCCCACGCATCAGGGGCTTCCCACTCTTCTTCCCACTCCTTCTTCTCCCCCTTTTATCTCCCCCTCTCTGGTCCCTGCGTCATCATCCTCAAAGTATAATCCGAACTATACCAGTAGTCTCTTCTTTTTCTTTCTTCCTTTCTTGATTCTTTATTTCTTTGTTTTACTTCTTCTTCTTTTACTCTCTTCTTTTGTACCGTCACCTTCTTCTCTATCAACAATTCTATCCGAAGTACGGATATAACATAGAAAGACAATATCAATAGTCTATCCCCATCCCAAACGGGAAAAAGTGGTCCTGGTCCATTCGAAACCAGTAGTGCGACCTCCATTTCGATCTACCTTTTCCTTCCTTTTATTCTCTTGATCGTGCTTCTTCCTGATCTTCTCTTTTTTTCCCTATTCTTATTTTTTTTTTTTTCTTATCCTCCCTCTTCCTCCTTCTTTCTCCCCCCTCGATCGATTCATCGTGTGCATGGTCGTTGAACCTGTCAAACCATCCATCGTGCCAATCAACCATCCTTCTCCACACCCCCCTCTTCCTCCTCCAGGCTCGTCCGTTGCGATCGGCCACGCCCACGCCTCACATCCTCTCTTGTTGCGCCCCCGAGAACCCTCCTAATCCTCCCCGTGCGCTTGACCGGTCGATTTCTTTGACCGGACTCGATCTCCTCCCTCTCCCACCGAGATCGTGATATCAAATATCCATATCACTTGATATACTATTTTATATATTTATATATAATCTTTGTATAAGTATACATCATGTCCGACGCAGACCAAGGTTGGAAGCCAAGTGGTCGCATTCGCCCGCAGTCGTTCGTCTCCCCTTCTTTCCCCCACCCCCGTTATATTCCCGAATATCGCCTGACCATACATACTAGGACCATGGCTCAGGCATTCTCAACTGCCCTTGACAGTGCCTTTTCCCTAGACTCGGATGTGACCGAGCTGTCCCAGAGTGTGGACAACAAGTATGCTCGACCCAATCATCCACCCCCCCCAAAAAATACCCCCTAACAATGAAAACCCGCAGGAGATACAAAATGATGATCCAGAATAAGGAACTGGAAGAACTCCAGACCAGGATCCGTGAGGCCGAAGAACGGCTAAAGTCCCGCCAATCCGTCGCATTGCCGGGGAGCGGTTCACGAAACCCCCCGCCCCAGACCGGCGACTACCAACAATCCGCTTGTAAGGCCGTTATCAACTCGTCCATTCCTCATCCCCATCACTAACTAACCCTACAGCGTCCACGTCAGCGACCACATCCCCCACGGATACCGCAGGCCAGTACTCCAGCGGGGATGAGCAGCGATACCAGCATGCCCCCCGCCATTCGTGAGCCGTCGACCGTGGACAATCGCGTCCTCGGGGGATCGTCCCTCTCACTCTCCTTCTCATCACTACTATTATTATTATTACCCTTTTGACCTTTTTATTGTGGATCGATCCAATCGATCGAGTCGGTACCGAACGGGGTTGGAATGGATTTGGCTTCATTCGTTTTATTGTTATCTGGCGGGGCATATTTGGAGAAATTGGTTTTGGTCGTCGGTTTTATTCCCCTCTACGTCGTCCAGGACTGCATTGGTTGTTGCGGTGGACGACGTCCGTTCTTCTCTTCTCCCTTATAGTGGGTTTCCCTGTCTATCAGTTGTGCCTCTTTCTCGCCACGGCGACGGGGCATGGCGACTGATGTTCGAGGGACCTGATTATCTTTTCGCGTGCTACCTCCCGGTCTTCGGCAGGGGTTGGTATTCGCTTTTGTGGCGTAGTCGTCGTTTGCATGTTTGCTAATCTTATAATTTGTGTTGGATTTGCATTGGTGGATATCCCAGCTCGAACCCCTCTCGATGTATCTGTATGATGCGTCCGTATATGAAGAATTCCGATTGACGAACCCTTCCTTCCGCTAATATCAGAGTGGACCGGTGGCGTGTAAGATAGGTAGTTAAATGCGATCCTCAACCAATAAACCCCTCAACCTCTTCAAACGGGTCAGACATCCATCCCAAAGTGGTTAATCGGGTTGACTTCCAAGGTTTGGACCGCAGTGACATCACCCCGCACTGACCTCGACCTTTGAACCAGACCAAGAAAGCAAAATGATAAGCAGAAGCAGGTGTGAGTTGGACTGCAGAGGATCTTCCTGACAGCTGCAGTGTTCTTGATCCCCTCTTCTTGACCTCCTCGCATTCCCCTCTCTCCTTCATCCTTCTCTTCTCTACTCCTTCACCCCTCCTCCATACCTCATTGACTTCTCTCCCTTATCCCACCATGGTCTTGATCGACCGCCACGTCTACGAATCCGCCGAAGAAAAGCGCTTAAAAGAAGACAAGGAACGCACTCGCTACTGGAAACGATGGGGTCCCTACGTTGCAGAGAGACAATGGGCTACCGGTGGGTTTTTTTCTCCTCGATCCCTCCATTCTACAATCCAATAATTCAATTAGACGCTGACATACTATTGCAATACCTTCAGTCCGTGAGGATTACTCGTAAGTCGACCGCTGTCCCACTACAACCAATTACCCCTCTGTCGGGGCGACAATCAATATTTTTGTTGACCTTTTGCGCCGTGATAGTGAGAATGGAGACGCCTGGAGCTGTAAATTCCCCCTCTCTATTTCTTTCCTAATTGTGTTGCGAGCAATTCATTCTTTTATCTCGATCAATGGCTTGGTTGAGATGGTTGGATGATTTCCCCACCTGTGCTGATCCCCGCTGGTCCAGACTTTTCCCACGACCATGCCCGCTCCCGAGCTTACCGCTGGGGCGAGGATGGTATCGCTGGTGTTTCCGATACTCATAATTTGCAGAATATTGCGTTTTCGTTTTGGAATGAGAAGGAGTATGTTCTTTTTTTTATTCTTCTTTTTTTTTTTTTTGGAAAAGGTGGAAATTGACATCATCTAGTGACTTTCTCAAAGAACGCCTCTTCGGCCTCTCCAACCCCCAAGGCAATCATGGCGAAAGCGTCAAGGAAGCGCACTTCCACCTGGATAACACTCCAACGGTAATTGGTTTTCGTCTGTCAGTATCGCAAGGAGTCTAACAATATGACTCCAGCATTCGTACATGAAATACCTCTACAAGTACCCCCAGAAAAAGTTCCCCTACCAGAACCTCGTGGAGGAAAACGCCCGCCGCGGAAGGGAGGATCGTGAGTACAATATCCTCGACACGGGCGTCTTCGAGGACAACCGCTACTGGGATATCTTCATCGAGACCGCCAAGGAGGGCGACGATGAGGAGGAGCTCATCTTCCGCGTCATCGCCTACAACCGCGGGCCCGAGCCGGCGCCCCTCCACATCGTCCCTCAAGTCTGGTTCCGCAACACCTGGTCCTGGGGGCATGAGAACGACGCCCCGAGGCCTGTCCTCGAGCAGGTCGGCCCCATGGTCACCAAGTCCACCCACCACAAACTCGGGGAGCGCTACGTCCGCTTCTCCCCGTCGCCGGCGTTCGCCGACAGCCAGGAAGACGTCTTGCCGCGCATGCTGTTCACCGAGAACGAGACGAATAACGAGCTGCTGTGGCAGACGGAGAACGACCAGGCGTACGTGAAGGACGCCTTCCACCGTCACATCGTCGACGAGGAGAAGGACGTGGTGAACCCTGCGCAGAAGGGCACCAAGTTCGCCGCTTGGTACGCCTTCGACGAAGGGGAGGGGATTCCCCCAGGCGAGTGTGCCGTCGTCCGGTTCCGACTATCGCGGAAGCGCGAGGAGTTTGTCGACGAAGAAGCACTGGACGATGTAGTCGAGCAGCGCCGGGCCGAAGCCGACGACTTCTACTACCACATCAGCCCGCTGCCCATGAGCGACGATCTGCGCAACATCCAGCGCCAGGCCTTCGCGGGCATGATGTGGTGCAAGCAGTTCTACCACTTCGTCTGGGACCAGTGGGCCAACGGCGACCCGGGCATGGTGCCGCCGCCGCCCGGTCGGAAGCACGTCCGCAACCAGCAGTGGAAGCACCTGTACATGGACGACATCCTGTCCATGCCCGACTCGTGGGAGTATCCCTTCTTCGCCGCGTGGGACACCGCCTTCCACTGCATCCCACTGGCCATGATCGACCCCGAGTTCGCGAAGCGGCAGCTCGACCTGCTGACGCGCGAGTGGTACATGCACCCCAACGGCCAGCTGGCCGCCTACGAGTGGAACTTTGGCGATGTCAACCCTCCCGTGCACGCGTGGGCCGTGTTCCGCACGTTCAAGATCGAGCGGAAGATGTACGGGCGGCAGGATCTGGATTTCCTGGAACGCGTCTTCCAGAAGCTGCTGCTGAACTTTACCTGGTGGGTTAACCGGAAGGACTCGGGGGGTAAGAATGTCTTCGAGGGCGGGTTCTTGGGTCTCGACAATATCGGGCTCTTTAACCGGTCTGAGCCGCTGCCCACGGGGGGTGTCTTGGAGCAGGCGGATAGTACGGGCTGGATGGCGTTCTACTGCCTGTGTATGCTGAACATTGCGCTCGAGCTGGCGAAGCACCGTCGCATTTACGAAGATAGTATGTTGCTTGTGTCTTGCAAAACAAAAAGAAAAGACTAACAACCATCTAGTTGCGTCGAAATTCTTTGAGCATTTCATCCTCATCAGCGACGCCATGACGTTCCGATCCGGCGGGCAGGAGTCGTCGCTCTGGAACGAAGAAGACGGGTATGCATTACTTCTCTTGACACTGCGGATCCAATCATGCTAACCAACTAGGTTCTACTACGACGCAATCTCCTACGGCGAGCCCTGGACACAGCAACTTCCCGTCCGGTCCCTAGTCGGCCTAATCCCCCTCTACGCAGTTCTCACCCTAGAACCGGAACTGATCAACCAATTCCCCTCCTTCAAGCGCCGCATGGACTGGTTCATCGAGAACCGCGCCGACGTCGCAGAGCGCAACATCGCGAGCATGAAGCGCCGCGGCAAAGACGACCGCCTGCTGCTCTCGCTAGTGAGCAAAGACCGGCTGGAACTGATCCTCAAGCGGATGCTCGACGAGACGGAGTTCCTGTCCAAGCACGGCATCCGCTCCATGTCCAAGCACCACAGCGACCATCCCTACTCGATGGCCGTTAACGGGCAGGAGTTCCGCGTGAGCTATGTCGCTGGCGAGTCGGATAGTGCCTTGTTTGGTGGAAACAGTAACTGGCGGGGGCCTGTCTGGCTCTGCGTTAACTTCTTGCTGGTTGAGTCCCTCCTCCGATTTTACATGTTCTACGGGGATTCTTTCCAGGTTGAGTGTCCTACGGGTTCCGGGGAGTACATGCACCTGGGACATGTGGCCGAAGAGCTCCAGCATCGTCTGCAGCATTTGTTTGCGCGCAATGACCAAGGCCGTCGTGCTGTATATGATAACTCTGACCTGCTTGACTTTGACGAGCACTGGAAGGACTACATGTGGTTCCACGAGTACTTTGACGGCGACACCGGGCGGGGTCTGGGTGCGTCTCATCAGTGCGGTTGGACGGGCCTGATCGCTAAGGTTATTCACGATACGGGGTATGTTTCCTCTTTCACTCCCTCTATACATACAGCATATACTAACAAGAACAGAATAAACTGCCGCCTCCCCCAAACCCCCCGCTCCCCCTTCGCTGCCGCCTCGCACTACTTCGACGACGTCTTCGCCCGCTCCTCCTCCGCCCACCCCAACCCACACACCCACCACCGCACAAACAGCCGCCCCAACATCCGCCGCTCCTCCACCAGCCGCTCCATCGGCAACCGCAGCGACTTCGAGTCTGCCTTTGGCGGCGGTAGCGCCACTCCCGGCGGAGCCGACTCCGCCGTGAAGGATGAGGCTCGGCCGACTACACCGGGCGGATCGCTCATCGCTGATGATCATGTGTCGCAATATGTGGAGAGTCAGTTGGAGAAGGTTAGGCGGAGGAAGTCGATGGGCGCTTATGAGGACGAGTTTGAGACGCAGGTTGATGGGGATGATGGGGGTTCTAATGAGGATGGGGGTGGAGATGGGAAGGGAGATGATGGTGCTGGGCGTGGGCGGGGGCGTGGTAGGGTTTGATATAACAAGGTAACTAAGGTAGTAGATGTGTTTGTGTTTTTGGAGGTAGAGATGTTGCATTTATGCGTGCGTATATATATAGTATTGGCTTACACATATAGTATAGTATAACCTGTTGTTAACTTGGAGTGTCTATATCTCTATATATTCCTCTCTGCGTAGTCATATTTAGTACTGACCTATACCAACTAGATTGAGGTGCGTTAGCAATTCTTATCATGGCCGCTCGACCTAAACTACAAAACCAATTGGCGAGTGCTAGGGTCTCAATATTCGAGAGTGGATGGATGGATGGATGGATGGATGGATGGATGAACTAATATGATTGATGGCGATGATGATGACTGCTGGGACGGCGATGGATAGTTATTGATTGATATATGATAGAGTAGTTTAGTATATGATGGTTTGTTTAGTATATACTAGGGATATTTGGCACAGGCCTTGTTTTGGCCATGTTTGGTTCATTGATACTGCTATTGTTTGCTAGGTTGGATGTACTTCTGGTAGATCTATACTTTGTATCTCTATCGATAGCATTAGGTACTGCTACTCTCCTACAAACAGCATCAAAACAGCCCTATGGAGACACTGCGCAAGGACAGGAAAAGAAGAAGTAATATAGTTGATTGGTTATATGATACTAGACAAGGTGCACCGCATAATCTAGAGGATAGATAGATAGGGTAACAGGGACACGGGTTTTAAAAAGACGAGAGATAATTTACAAAGCGTCGGTGAGGGCCTTGTTCAGCTTGGCGATCTTGGACGACACGCTGAGGTCGATGGTGCGGTCGCCGATTTCGACGACGAGGCCGCCGACGAGGTCGGGGTTGACCTTTACTTAGTTAGTATTTGAAGTAGAATAGTGAGGTGGGATAAATACCTTGGAAACAACCTTGAGCTTCTTGCCCTGGCTGTACTCGGACTTGGCAACGGCCTTCTCGAGGCGGTTGAGGGTCTTGGTGTCGAGTTCCTATTATTGTCAGTTAGATATTATCCTTTTCACGGCAGTGTTTGTTTCTTTCTTCTTCTTTCTTCTTGATTTATTACTGGCCAAGGGTAGGAGGAATAAGGAATACCTGAGCACTGGTAATGTTCAACTCAACCTCACCACGGTGAGCACCCATCAGAGTGTTGAACTTCTCGCACACACCCTCAAGCGCACCCAGACGGTTGTTCTCCGCCAGCGTAGTCAGGAAGTTCTTCACAACCTCGCCCTTGTCGCCGGTCAGTCGGAGCAGCTCCTGCACGATCTGCTGCTTGTCGGAGACGGTCAGGGTCGGGGCCGAGATGATGCCCGTCAGCTTGCGGTCGGCCTGGAGGGTGGAGCCCAGGCTGGCGAGGGAGCGAGCGGTCTGGTCCAGGGCGGAGGCCTTGGAGGCGGCGGTGTACTATTATATCATGGTTAGTTTGGTCTGATTGATATTATTCGATCGGCTGCGTTGGGATTGGTTGTGGATATTGATGGTTTGGTGATGTTTGTCGGGTCAATGGAGAAGCGGCTCGTTTGTAGCCAGCACGTCCAATTCCACCATTGATTCCCCCCTATCCATCCATTGAGAATTATCGACCGGAGAAAACCTACCAGAGCAGTGGCATAGGTGCCGTCAACGCCGTACAGGGCAACAGGGGCCTTGACCTCCTGGGTCGCGGTGGCATAGGTCCTCATGCCGTTCATGACGGCAGTGCGAGGCATGGCGAACTGCTGAGCCGTGGCACGCAGGCCGGCGCGGGCGACGCTAGCGGGGAGCATGGTGAAGATTGACCGGTGGGTGGTGGAGAGGGGAGGGAGGGGACGAGTAGCTGTCGAGAGGACGAGGTTTTGTATGAGGTGGTCTGCGGAGGGGGAGACGAAGTTGGAGTTGCCGATTCCAACTTCTCCCGGCGTCACGTGAGTTCCCGCTCGCGCCGAATTTTCGATTATGGCCTGAGGCAGCGATATGTGTACTAGTGTCATCGTTTTGTGCAAATCTTGGTTTTTGGTCTCGTTCAATCTTGTTTATTCTTGCCTACGTTCGTGACGACTAACGCTAACAAATCATAATAATACCTAGTTATGTGATGTCCGTTCCACATGATGCTCCAACACCGAACGCCGTTTCTTCCTGTCCGCTTAATCACTCCGGATCATACTGTCCACCAGATCCCCCAGCGGCCCATAATAGTCCTTCCCAGTCGCCAGCCGGTGCTCGTCGATGAACAGGATGTAATGCTTGAAGCTGGTGTTGAGGTGCGGTTCCAGGCCTAGGTGCACTACTACGGGGTAGTGGTGGCAGTAGATGTGTGCGTACACGCGGTACAGGCGTTTGAAGATCTGGCGAACGAGGGAGGAGAAACTTTTGGGAAAAGGCACGCCTATTCAATGTTAGCCTCGCGGTCCACCTCGGCATATGGGAAAAGAAGAAGAGACACCTACCCAGCCGGCTGGGAAACATCTGCTCATTGTCGACATTGCTCTGCACCCAACTCATCAGATGCTCGATATACTCCGGAGCAGACATCTTGGTCGGGCGCTTGTAGTTCTCCGAGTCCTGCCACAGATACTCGAACCTATTCCATTATCAGCGACGTGACCCTTACTGGGGTAGGTAACGGCGTGCATACTCATCGGTCGCTTTCATCTCGGGGCATGATTGCGGCGAGCAAAACTCGGTGATGGATCCGTAGAGCAGGTTGATCTGGTTGTAGAAATCGACCACTGCCTCTGATTAGCTTCCACGTCTACCCAGCGGTATGCATCATGAGAAGCGAGGCTCACCATTCACCGCCAACCATTCGTTCAGATCCTCCCCCTCGGGCAGCTTGACGGCCTTGCGCAAGCTCCCGCTACCCAGCGTCGCCTCGGCAAACTGTCTCAGCTGGTAGCTGCTGGTTCCTTTGGCGGCCGATCGCGGCTTAAAGGGCGCTCGCGTGCGCGCATTGCTAGGAAATGTCAGTACAGAGTTGAGGTGGACGGTTCCCTCCATCGGTCATAGGTATAGGTGCAGCGGGTTCAACAGGAGGGCACGCAAAGGATCAATAATAGAGAGGTAGGGAGTGTGAATTTTGTCCTATTCGACCAGGATATTTGTGGAGATGGGAAGAATGTGCGAGTGCTGCTGCTGCTGATGATGATGATGACGACGATGGCGGGGCAGAAGCAGAGAGTAGTTCACAGCGATCATGGGCACTGACATGGTAGTGATCAACGAAGCCATTATTTCCACTCGTCTCGTCCTCGGTTCAATTCCTCAAGCTCTAGATAGTATCGTCACGTCACGCAAGCGGGCGGTTGGATCGACGGTGCAGCGTATCGAGTAGTGGGCGGTCGGAATGCGCCTACATTCAGACGAGTCCCTCGGTTAGAGATACAGAACGCGTAAGCAGGGAATTCGATAAACTCACCAAGTTTCAACGAGGGGAGGATAAGGGAAGATTATTGTATGAGGAGGATAGTGGGAAACAGGAAGACAGAAAGACACCGTCATGCGATCGCATCGGGAGATGGAGCTTGGAGTATCGCTCTGCTCGATGATGGAGCCTAAGGACTCCACTCCCCGATCCCTGGATGCCCCGGGCATCTCCCGTCGTTGCCCCGACGACTCGAGTAATCCCTATCATTTACTTCTCCGTTCGCACACGATGTAACGAACAGGAACTATTATATATATGCAAGGGTTGTCTCATATTCGCATTGATTAACCATATTTTCCCCAACGGCTTTGCAATGAAAAGAACAGAAGTTACTCCACGTCTTTGCGTGGCAGGTATATATGATTACGTCCTATATAGAATACCCTTCACTCTCCTCAGGCGTTTGCTCTCGAACTGTCTCCCCGTAGACCGTGATCGGGATTGCAATCTCAAAAGACTCACACCCCAGGCTCTCGATCGCCGTTCTAATAATGCCGCGGTCGTCCTCCATCGCCGTCTCAAGTAGACCTGCTCCCGATGGCGGATTGTGCTGCGCGCTGTTGGTCACAAACTCGAATCGCAGCTCCCACTCGTGATTGACGCCCGTCGTCAGGATCGTCGGCGTGGCCGCCATGGGAACTGCCGGACTGAACACCACCCGCGAGGCAAACAGGGTGTTCTCGAAAAAGGTGGCATGTACGCGCCGCGTCGCCCGTCGGATGCTCGCGTTGGACCGCACCGCCAACTCGGGGGCCACTCGCTCCGACGTTTCGAGCGACGCTCGCATCGCATAACATGGCAGCGCGGCGTCCGCAAAGTCGATCGTGGCGATGATCGTTTCCCCCAACCGGTGCGACGGCCGATTGAGCACCACCACGGCAATCCGGCGTCCGTTGCGCGCGATTTCGAACCGGTTCGGGCTACGGGAAGAAGCCAATGCTTGGTTGCTCCGCAGAACAGCCAGGTCGATGGCATCCTTGCAGGTCAGCGGCCCAGGGGTCGACACGTCGTGACTGAGCCGCTTATCCGCCAGGCTATCGGGTGGTCGGAGCAGCGTACTGCGGGACCGCTGCTCCAGAATCTCGTCCACGTAGGACAAGAACTCCGGTGCCGAGGCCCACGTGGCCCCGCTGATGCTTTTTGTTTTGACCGGAGGGGGCATGCTGGAGTTGACTTTTTGCACCCTCGCTTCGTCGCGGAGAAGGACGTAGGGTTGCATCAGGTCATGTCCAAGGATTGTTCCTTGGCCTAGGATGGGTTAACTATGCGCAGACACTTCTAGTAGGGAGTACTTACTATTGACACCGCTAAAGACACGGAACGGGATACTGATGCGATTCATCCGCTGGGTTTCATTCGGGGCACTTGGGCGTTGCGTGCCGATTACGAGGTTGTAGGCAATCTTGATCGCCTTGCCCCTGTGACTGGCTGGTAGGCCGCTAGGCAGTGTAAAAGAAAACGAGTAGGACTGCTCTTCACCGGGTGCCAGCCGTAGGTCGACAAACAATAACGATTGCGATGTGGATAGTAAAGGAATCGATCGGGAGGAGCTCACCCCCCGCATCTCCCGTAGCCCGTCCATTTCATTGTTCTGGAGGAGTCCGCTCAGAGACTCCTCGATACTGTTCCACTTCAAGGCACCCCAGAATCCGCCTTTGCGACCCTTGTCGCCACTGGGTGTCGCTCGCCCGTTGGGACCGCCGGCCATCCCACCTTGACCCCCAACGACCCCTTTCCGCTTCACTTCTTCAAACATAGCTTGGTTGATCAACGACCCGTCGACGGTGAACGATGCGCTGATTTGCGCATAGCCCATCAGGAGCGTCTGGGCATGAGGATGTGAGCCCACCGGGTCCACGCTGGACATGTGCCGTGCGTGCCGCATCCGCACCGGCGACGGTCGCAGCGGGCCCATCAAGTAGTTCGTGTATTCCGACTGGAACGTCTCGGAGGATTTGTCGCTGGGGGCATAAAACTCCCCACTGCTCCGATGACTCCCACTCACGCTCGATGTCGACGCGATCTTGGTCATCCCAGGGGCGAGTGCAAAACCGTCACTCCCTCGCGATTTCGTTGTGATCGCACTACCTTCCGCCGACAAAGAAGAGGGGGACGTTCCCGGGCGACCGTTGCTGGTGTCTGAAGGTGGAGCGGCGGGAAACTTGAAGTCGATCGGAGGCAATTGAGGCCGGCGGGCAGGCATCCGTTGGGGTTCGATCGTTCTGCCGGGACTGAGGCGTCCTGGTGCTGGGAGACCTGGTCGCGTCAATCCCTCCACGTCGACCCTTAGTTTTCCAGGCGACGGGGTTAAAGGCGTCACGGATGGCAATCCACGGCCAGGGCTGTGTCCATCTGGAAGAGAAGTCATTCGTTAGACTCAGTCCGACTGAAAGGACATGTACGTCACTGTATACCTCTGCTGGAACCGTCCTCGTAGCCTTCATATCGCCTTGGTACTACCTGCATGCTGGCAGAGCGTCCATGGCCCCTGGGCGGCACCATGGGGCGGCCATATTGCGACGAGGTCCTCGGGGTCTTGTCTCCACCCTCGCTATCAATCGACAAGATCGAGACGGACCGTTTATGCTTATGCCCGAACGGAGGGCCGTTGCGCGGCGACGACGGAGGTGGGAAGCTATGGGAGCCGATCAACGGGGAGCTAACGGACGAGGAGATGCGATGGGACGGGCTCTTCTTCGGAATGGACGGGTAGGAACGGCGGCTAGAGCTGGAGCTGAAGAAGATGCTGGAGGGGGATTTGAGTGAGAATCGCGACTCGGAGTGGGGGCTAATATCCCTCGTTCGCGATTGATTTCGTTGTTGGGGGCTCTGGGCAGCACGAGTGGAATCGACGCTCTCCGCGACGTTCTTGAAGGTGATGGTGCATTCCACGTCTTCTCCGGCAAAGATAGTCTGATCTTTCCATTTCACGAAGACCTGGATGTCCGGTGGCATGACGAGTGTCGCAATCTCACCATATGGGCGGGGGACAAATCAAAATTAAGAAATCCGGGGTAAGAGAGGGGGAGTTGGGGAGTTGTTTGTGGGGAGGACCAGCCACCACCTGGGGGGGAGAGAAATGGAGGGAGTCGGAGTGGTGAGAGGATGGATAAGCGCGGGGAGAGAAATGGGGGATGACGCGAGGGGAATTGATCGCCGACTAAGACACTGCCATCATCTCACGCAAACCATTCAACAGTCGATACTGTGTGGAATTGATCAAGGGGTCGACCTGGATATGAATATGAGTATGGGATGAGAGGATGCGATGGTAGTAATTAATAGGTGTTCTGTCGGTGGAGACTGTCGCTGGGTTGGAGAGGTCAAGCTAGCGCGGTTAGGATCAGGCCGGGAGAGACCCACGCACAGATGACAGCATCAGTTGTAGCTGTGTCGGTTCACGGTTATAATACTCCGAGTTCCAAAACAATGTCTCAGTGGATGTCTGAATAGAGTAAGTTCCTTGGTTTGAAAAGCTCGGTGCTAGATGGAATATCACATGGCATCACATGACCGTATTGTTCATAAGATTTAGTCAGCTCTCCTATACAGATATTTTGCTAGTCGCATTAGTTATTATATATTCTTTGGGTAGGTTTTGGTGTATATCTTCGTACAACTTCTCCAAACCTCTATCTAAACCTATATACAGGTCTGTGTGAAATGGGCGCGCAATTCACTTTTGTTGATGTTCACCGGCCTCGCTATCCCCCGGAAATATATAAAGAGGCGATCAACCCTCTTCTACGGTCTTACCATAAAATCATTTGAACAATTCCCAACCCTTGTTAATATAGTAACCGTGGTAATCCAAGGCTATCACCGTGCCGGATATCTAGCATCAGCAATATATTCTTGATTTGTCAAAGTATGAACTTCTAGACTGATTGATTGTCAAGCCAGTAGTTGTGCCCCATTCGTGTCCCCATTCGCGTCCTTCGTTGTCTTCGTTTCTGAGATGGATCCGGTTGCACAGTATCATTAAAATATTCCATCATGGTAGAAGATCTGTAGGTAAAAAAAGAAGGGGGAAAATGAGGAAATCAGAGTAGACAAATTTGACAATTCTAATTTATAGATAAGAGCTGCTGGGGTCATCGATACCCTCGAGGCACAGAAGACTGGCAAGATCAAGATCAATATCAAATATTGGGTCCTACTTGAAAATTAGAACCCATACTCTCTTGATATATAGACCCCCAAAAACAGGAACGTACCACCAAATGGAAGCCAAATTGAGTAGAAGTTGGATCAGGCAAACCAGGAGCAGCTGGAGCGGCCATGCCGATTGGAACTTCTGCAGTCGGAGTTTGGGGTATGCCGGCCATCATTGACTGTAGCATGCCATAGCATTCTTGTATACCATGGGTTACGGTCTCATAGACAACCCGCTTCACGCATTGGTTGGACTGCATGGCACGAAGTTGAGCCAGGATCGCCGCGAGAAAATTATATCGCTTCAGGTTAGGACTACCCAATGAGATGATTTGCAAGAGCTGGTCAAGAATATGCTCAAGTATTCGAACTACAGGAGCACGAGTGGCCTTAGCAAGCTCATTCTCGGACCCAGAAAACAGCGATTGCGGAGAAGATTCCTCTTCCAGTTGGGTGACAAGCTCAAGGCCAAGGGCCGAGATGATGTCTAGTGCTAGAGGACCCTTGAAGCTGCCCGAGCCAACAAGGATCAGATTTGAGAAATCGTCTAACGGGCCAGACGGGAGGCACAGGTCATTAGCGTAGGATGCAATGACCATTGCAGACTCGAGAGAGGCCTTGCGAGAATAGTAGAACCGAGGGTCCTTTCGAGCTTGTACCGTGAATGGTGCATGGAGAGCCACAATATACCTGTGTAACTCTATATCAAGGAACTTTTTGTGGAAGTCGGTGAGTCCGAGCCCTTGGCTTGCCTTTGAAGCTTCGAATGTCTGGGCAGCACTGGCCAATTCACGACAGGCGAGTCTCATGTCCGCCGTGAACTGCAAAGCTTGTTGATATGACTTCCTACCGGGACTGGCAACGAATTGAACAATTCCCATGCGAGGTTTGACCGATTCGTGAAGCAATAATAAAACAGAGGTATCTGTCCACTCGTTACTCGGCATTGAAGGTAAAGCAATGGTGGGTTTGCCAGGGCCGATATCTTGATCATTGATGTTCAATGGTGGTCTCGTGTCAAATCCCAGCGGTAGGTTGCAAGGTAACCCTAACTCCAAAGATGACTGAAGGGCCAGTTCAAGGATTGTAGCCCACAAGCGAACACGCATCTCGGATTCAAGGGCAGATAAAGCTGGAAAATTTGAAGGGTCAATGTGAAGCCCTAATCTCATTGCCATCTCTATCAGTGAACTTGTGGAAAGCACATGTGATGTTCCCAAGCCACTGATTTTGCGCGCTGTTAATAACAGGCAAAATACTTGTAGCCCATCTAGACTGGCTGTTGTCTTTTCGGATGGCCCCGTAAACCACCATTGAGCCGCATACACCCATTTCTGCTTCAGGTGCGTGAACTGGTTGTTGACCCTACCGGTGGAATTTGAATAGAAGGCAGTTCCGATAGCAAGTACCAGTACTAGCTTCATTAGAAAGGATACAGGGGGAAACTTGGGTTCTGTCCAGAATTGTCTGTAACTTTTCCAGAAAGAGGGCATATGTAATACACGATACATTGATCCAAAAGTCCGAAGATAGCATTGGACCAACTCGTCGCAGACAAGCTTTGGCGGGATGGTGCTATGAAGATCAGCTACAGGCTCATTGAGTGTCACAGACTGGCGAGATTTGATGGATTTCCGAAGGGCCCGACAGTCCTTGACCACGTTTGTCAGATCTGCCTTCAGGTCTTTGAAATCAACTTCTGGTTCTTTACCAATGAAGGAATCAGCAACTTGAAACTATCACGCAGTTAGTCTCCGGAATACAGTCAGGTCAACGAGCGAGTGCCATACTTTCTCCACCTTATGGATCCAATGGTTAGCACCCAAGGATTTTGTTTTACTAGCTGACGCATGAAGACGTGGCGGAATATTTGAGATTGATAGATCACCATTGTCACCCGTTAGCTGAGTATGAGCAAGCTGTGGTGCCACGGCAAGCTGCTGTTCGATGTTCTGTGTTTTCTCAGTCAGATCGTGCAACGCCTTTTCCAGCCATTGATTATCCCGAGTCAAGCTGGGGTTCTTTGCTAAGGCAGCCAATCGATCTTCAAGTAACTGTAGTCGATGCTGGATTTGCCCTAGAGACAACTCAACGCCAGGTTGAAGGTTGGTGTCTCCTAGCTCCGTCGGGGTCATATGGCTCGATGCTCTTCGCTCGAAGGCCCCCGTAACTAGTGGTTGACGATGTGGCGTGTCCGGAGTAGCGATGATTCCTATGGCGGACGAACTTAATGATGGACTTCTATCACGATAAGAGCAGTGAGGAGAAGATCGTGCACGCGTGCAAGGGCCACATGGTATGTTGCGGTCGCAGCGCACCTTTCGATGACGGCACTGCTCGCAGGACTGGGCTGGGCGTCTGCGCTTCCGGGGACCTCCTTGGCCGGCCATGGCGAGTCCTGTGCAGACAAACTCTCAGGGTACGGAGTAGTCAGAGAGCCAACAGCTCAGGGCCGGAACTTTGGATAGCACTGTTGCCGGCAGTGTAAGGCGTTTTGGCTGGAGGTCCAGATTAGGACTAGGGCGTAAGTCCAGTATACTTCCAGGGTTGTCAACAGCTTCCTGCAATGTGTTCAATTTCGAAGAAGCACTGAGCAGGAGTGTTTTGTTCCACTTTGGCTGTCTACAGCCGGGTCTACACCCTGATACCAGTAGAGCTGGTGTGGGTGTCGTACAATGGACCAGAAGATGCTGACAATACGAGCCTTGGCTGATCTGGCACACTGGAAAATTGTAATATTGTTGAATATGCCTGGAGGATTGTGTCCTCGGCGTATGGGATGCTCTCGGATATAAAAACGTTGTTGATATGAGGTGGAACTCCCGATCGAGAAATCTCGGCGTTAAGCTCGTTGATACCCGAAATCTCGGGCTTAAAAGTCCGGCCGACCTTCCATCTCGAACTATATAAATAGCAGTGGTATCCTTCTCCTCATGTTGCTTATCATCACGGCTCGCAGTTCTTCTTTTCTGGAAATAAATCTACAAGTTTCACACATTGCAAAAAGCCAAATGAATTCTCCGTATCGGGCCTACAAACCCTATTTTGGTGGTCATGGTTATCACCGTCGCCATAGTTCTTTCCGCCGTCTCGGTCCGCGCGCTCGCGTTGGGGGTTTGGTGAAAGTAGCCCTTGTGGGGACTTGTACTTACTTCATCTGCAAAAAGGTTATTCTGTAAGTCGGTATCTCATGTTTTGTGTGTTTAGATGACGGTCTTTGTGAGGTGATCTTGACTGATATTGTTTTACAAAAGTGCCGGTGCCCGAAGCGATGGCCATTCCCCATAACTCGCTATTAAGCACGGTTATGCCCAAAAATTTGCAACGATTGAATTACCAAACTGCCAGGATGAAGGTGTCTGATAATTTGGTGGCAGGATTTCTTTTCTTCAAATCGTGTGATATGTATCTCAGTTTAAGAAAGCAGTATTTGTTGGCGTCGCTGCCCCAGGTACGTAGATCGGTGAGACATTTGGCGCCAATTATGACGGTAGGCCCGGGGTATAGTATCTCGGGGTTAATCACCGAGAGCCGAGCTATATTCGGACTTGATCCTCGGGCCTCGCCGTGGTCGGCCACAAACCACGCGTTGGTATAGATCACAGAAATCTCGAATGAAGCAATTCTTATTATTGAAATCTGCATCTCAGTGCCCTTCTGCGAAGGGATAAAATCAAGGCTATGCCATCTACCCGTTCAAGTCTAAGGGAAATGGGCGCAGAGAAGGAAATAGGTACCGAAGCCGCCGTCACCATGAGTCCCCCAGAGATGACATTTCCCGACGGTGGGACACGAGCCTGGATGGTGACTTTGGGAGCTGGCTGTGTGCTCTTCTGTACGTTTGGATATGCCAATGCTTTCGGGGTTGCCTTTGTAACATCTTATTGTGGGAGCACTGCGTCTAGGGTTTATCAAGACTACCATATCACCCATCAACTGAGCGGCTATAGCGCATCGGAAATTGATCGGATTGGATCTGTTGAGATATTTTTCCTCTTCGGGGCCGGTGTTGTCGGTGGTCCCCTGTTTGATCGCCATGATGCCAAAGCGAGCCAGCCTTTCTCGTAGAGAATCATGAGTTAAGTTACTGACCGGGGGATAATTGATGGATGAAGGTCATTTGGGCCCCCTCCCTGATGGCTGTCTTTGGTGTGATAATGACAGGTCATGCAAACAGTACTACCAGTTCTTCCTGGTCCAGGGCATCGTCGGCGTAAACAGCATGGGCTTGTCCCTAGCCCCCGCACTCTCGTCTACAGCGCAATACTTCTAGAAAAAATGCGGCTGCGATGAGATTCACCATCGCGCTTCATTGAGTGGCGTGATCTTCCCCATCGCCCGCGAGCGGATGTTCAACAGCTCGCTCGGCTTCGCCTGAGCTGTCCGAGTAATGGGGTTCATCATGCTCGGCACACTGGGCTTCGCATTCTTGGGCATCCGTGCTCGCTTCCCACCACGGAAGCGCGAGTTCTTCAAGCCCGAGGCTTCCAAGAAGAAGAACTATATTGCAACACTGGTGGCGGTCTTCTTACTCAATGTCGGCAGTTTCACATCATTATTTCACCCCCAGTTGTACGGCAAACAGCATATCATGAGCACGAGCATGTCCATCTACGTAATCGCCATCCAGAACGGCGCCTCGTTCTTTGGGAGCCTAGTGCCTGGTGTCATTGTCGACAAGATCGGGCCTATGAATATGCTGTTTATCGCAAGTGTCATTACCAGCATTGTCACATTCTGCTGGGTCCAGATGTCCACTAACGGTCCTATAATTGGGTTCGCGATCTTGTACGGCTTCTTCTCAGGCGGCATGACCTCCCTATCACCGGCGGCTTTCTCCAATTATTGCAGTAACCCTCAGGTTATTAACACTTATATTGGGATGAGGATGGCAGTCATGTCGGTTGCGACCCTCATCGACCCCCAAATGACTGGCGCTCTGCTCAGCGGTTTCTTGTAGGTTCAAATCTTCAGCGGGGCGGTGATGCTATTTGGGAAAACCCCTGCACTTGTGGCAAGAATGGTATCTGGTAAAAATTTTGGCCAAGGGGCAAGGCGATACAGCCACTCTTCTCACCGTCTTATCAGGTTGCAAGATGGGGGAGTGGACAAGATTATAGTCCATAGTGTGCAGAACACATAGGGCTGACCTATGATCGCAGTATCTCTGTTCCGTGTAGCATGTTGATGACAGCTGAGTCAGTAGAATTGGTGGTCACCTACTCTTTGAATCACACTGTTATTTGATTGTTACCATCTTGCAGGGTACCTGGTAGATAGGGAAATGACGTTCCATCATCCTAGGCTCATTTGTTCTTGCGTGTTGGCAGACAGGCCTCCTGCGCTAGTTCTGTCCAACTTCGATGGCCTAGTAATGTACACTGAGCTCGACCAAAGACTTCGCTTATCATTAGTCCTTTTGCATCGTATTGGGGTGGGTGGAAGAAGAAGGCGCGTTGATGAAATATGACCCTGTGGAACAAGCAGATGGTACGGTCTGGAACATGTCCATGTGGCTGGAAATCGTGTCCAAGGGTCTGTTTGTCCCATCTTTGTAATTTCTGCTGCTCGTAAGAAGTAATATTATCCGAAAGTCGGTACAGGGCCAGCACAAGGCTTTTACAAGGCAGTCGTGAGTGGTCGAGTCAAGAAGGCTGATGATCTAAACAACCGATCAGAATTCGTAGCAAACCAAACCTCTTCAGCCCTCACCGGTATAGACTGACCTCGTGAATAGACAGTTGCTTATTCTGAGCTGAACAGACAATAGTAGATGTGCCAGATAGGAGCATCGGAGTCGGTGTTCTTTGTTGTTTGTTCTTTGTTTTGAGGCTGCGGCGGGTGGTTTCTCTCTCCGACCCATGTCATGCCAACTCCCTTAAATTGGTGCTGCGCCTCCGCGTTCACTTCCCCCACTCCCACTCTCACTCTTACACTCACTCTCGTTTGATTGTAATCCTGTCTCAAATGAACACGTTACTCAGGGTTGACTTCCATCCTTTGTTGCCACATCTCATATGAGGCGAGAGAACATCAGCGTGATCTGTGACCACGATACTCGATTTGCCCTCGTACGCGCCCTCGAAGCTACTCTACACTTCGGCCAAGACTTGTCTTGCGCTCAAAGCTGCTATCACTCGTTGATAATATCAAGTATTCGACCATCCTTTGATATTGTTCGCGCATACCGCCGTTTGAGTATGGACGTACGACTTTCTTTCTGCTTGGTTCGATCACCTCCGTGATAATTTATATGCAAGTAAACCCAGTGTGGTGGTGTCGCAATACTGGGAGAACGGACTGTCAAGATGGCGTCCAACTTCGAGATGGTGGACATTCGCATCCTCACGAAGACGGCATGGAGTCTATATCACAATTGCAACCTCGTGTCTCGAGACGCCCCCGACGGCTTTCGACAACTTGTGAACGAACTAGCTTCCTTACAGGGTGTCCTACGCTCGCTTCAAGATCATGTAAACTCCAACCAGTCATTCTTCGACGAACTCGCCGAAGACCGCAAGCGCATATTGCATCGATCCCTGGAAAGTTGTTCGAAAACGCTACAGAGACTGAAGGAGTTAATCACGCGATATCGAAACATGGGGGTCGGCGACGGGAGGAATTTCTGGCACAAGGTCAGATGGGTCACACAGCGCGGGCAGATCGACCAGCTGAAATCGAGCATTATGATCTGCGCTTGCAACCTCAGTCTGTGTACGACTTCGATCACCAAGTAGGTGCTCCCTGTGTCCGAATACCTTGCGAACCACATCTAACGTACCAGTTCGTCGTGGGCGCGCATTGAGCAGTCGATGTCGGACGCTTTAGAAAACGAACCCTTTCACTTGAACCCGGATCCCTCACAGGCAGACAGTTTGCCAGTGATGCAAGACAAAAGCGGACTGATTAGTGAAGACAGTTCAAATGGACCCGGACATGGGCGACCTACGCCTCGGCCTCGGGCAGCCACAGTTACAGTTGCAACCCGTTCACGCGAGTCAACATCTTCCGATTCTGTTATGTCCGGGCACTCAGATGGGTCGGCATTTACAACAGCTACGTATTTGCCATCCAGCGAGACATCTACCCAGCGATCCGTATCTCAAACCTTAAAACATGGTCCTTCGAAAGCACCAGGGTCGGTCTTCCCGAGTGCGCGCAAACTTGACCGAGGAGTTCTCGATTACTATGCGCAGTTTGATGATAAGCTCCGCACAGTGGACACGGACGAACCGACGGAAACGGAGACAGAACATACCGCAGTTAAAGATGCCATCGAAAATGCCATGCAGCATCTGCATCAAATCCGATTGCGCGATCAATTACAACGACCACTGAAGTATGAACCGCGAGACGAGTTCCACCGGCCGGATCCCGAACTTACCAAGAAGTTCGACGAGTTGGTCGAGGAGGAACTGAAGATTAGGCGGTTAAGTACGAGCGACTGGCTTAGAGTCGCCGTCTGGTGGTTATTGAAGGTAATAATTGCCTTATATTGAGTGTCATCTGGCTAAACCTGTCTAGGCACGGACAAGTTTTGCCAACTATGAGAGACCAAGCCTCACGAATACTCGAGGTAGCATGAGTCCATCGGTCGATTCGTCGTCTACCAGCCAACAAGCCTATGTGGATCTGTTGAAGGCGTCCTATATACTATATGACGTCGTACTCAAGGATGAAACATCACAGGCATTGCTCACAGATGAAAATAGAAAATTGATATCGGATTTATCCGAGGTTTGTCTCCAAGAACCACCAGAGCAACTGATGCTAAACCATAGTCTAGGGCATAAAGGACGATTTTGCGCCGTTGAACAATGTTGACATCCCGGATCCCTCAACCATTCACACCCAGAACCTTGACATATGGGAGCCTCTGCAGTCGGGAGAAGCGGTCGAGAGCGATGGTGATTCACTACTGGGCCTGGACAATATCCGCTGGATGACTGTAGAGCAGGAAGACGCAGGCGACGAAGAGGAAAAAGTGATCTTACGAACGTTTGTAAATGCGGGCATTGGAAGCAAGAAGCTCCGAATGCGCAAAAAGGGCGCACCCTACATGTTGCTGTTGACAACAAGAGAAGGCGAAAGCGAGCCGAAGATTGCCATATGTAACCAGAGTGGTACTTTCTGTCTACAGCGAGATTGTAAGTTCTTCTATCCACATGCTTCAGATCCCCTGTCAAGCTCCACTCTAATAGCTTATCAAGTCGTGCCAAATGATCTATTACCATTGATCAAAGTTTCCAATGCTTCCATTAGCGGGTACCCTGGGGCCCGAATATCAGAACCTGTCTCTTTCACATTTGGTTCGATCAACATCAGTATCTCGTTCCAATATAAGAGAGATCTCATGCAATTTATCAGTATACCGAAAGCATACTTCGACGCCGTCTGGCAACGAGAGCCCGTGGACTCGGAGCAATTCTCCGAGACCGTCATTTTTCGAAGCTCAGTCGAGCTTTTCGAACAGCTTAAAGCAGTCACCATGAGGTCTACAAATCCCCCAATGGTTCATAAATCCTGCGAAGTCCGCGTTTTGGAGCGGTCTTACGGAGAGGCTTGGAGGTTTACCAGGCGCCTGGTGATCAGTTCTTCAGCAGCCGAGAACATGCCTAACTGCATGGAACTATTTATGCCCATGAGCCGTGTCCAGGTCTGCCGTGAGGAAGATTCTCGTCAAGTTCTGTTACAGTGGTCCGACGTGTGTCAGGAAAAGACCAAATCCGACGGCAAGTACAACGAACTTTACTCCTACATCTACGACGACAAAAGTCCGAATATTGGCTTGAGCCTGCACTTTCGCACGCAGGGTCAGGCGGAAGTATTTGAACAAGTCATTCTGAGTCTAAGCCATAAGCCCATCTGCTCCTGGAGAGAGCCCACCAGCTCCGGGTGCGTCTATGACGTGGTAGATCCGGTACTGAATCAGAAGCAGTACAAGGCGATCCAGATCGTCCAGAGACGGTTGTCTTGGAAATATACCGTCCTTTACTTTCTGTACAGGGACACGGATTACATCTACGAGCACTCCAACCTGCGGGTGCATTTCCCCGGAATATTCTACACCGACTACATTTCATCCCACGTTGATAAACTCTACCGCGCCGACCAACCAGTCACTTTTTCCCACTGCGAGAAAAAAGTGGGCAACATGAACGTGGACTTTAACGACGAACACACCATGCGAGTCTTCATGACCTCCCTCGCCTCATCGCACGAATTGGTATTCTCACGCCGCGCCGTCTCGCTGACGACGAAAGGGAAAAGCCTCTTCCGGTCCAGAAACTCCGGCAAAGGAGAGGCCGAAGTCCAGATATGGCGCAAGGGCACGAGCTACCAGCTAGCCGCACGATGGAGCGATCACATCACAGACAGATGGCTGACCGTAACCATCCCGCCGGAACGGGCCGAGTTATCCCACGGCACCAACCGCATCGACTTTCGCACGATTGCCTCCTACTCGCGCGGCACATTCCTCAACATGGCTGACATTGCCGCCGTTAGTCCCAAGGACCCGAACATGGCCCGACGAAGCGGGCCGATTGCTGTGGTGTTTCCTTCCATACGGGGTATGTGCTTCCTACTTTTGGATTGAGCTAGCATGAGAACTAATGTTTGCCAGACTGTGAGGATTTCACCGCCATTTTGGATGTTTATTCTGGCTACCGGCCTTATGGGCGATAGCGTCACCGCGGCTCGAGGCGATGGGCTACCACTGAGTATACAGTGAGATAGGGCATATATGCCACTTCATTCCGGAGGGCGTACTGTGTTCGAAGGATGGAGTATTGCATGATAGCTTTCTTGAAGTAACCATAATCTAACTCAGCATATAGCGACTTTGTGACAATTACATAATGAATTCTAACTTTCAACGGGTGTCAGGGTGTAGTGGTCCTTGCATCTGCTGGCTGCTGTGATGGGGCAGCAGTCATATAAGGGATGTACCAACCTGTGGAGTATGTATATTCTTGTTTTGAGCTATCACTTGCTTTGTCACTAGAGTGGGGATAGAGGAGTAGACTATATACAGCAGCATATGTCCATAAGTAGCCATGGCCGGATCAAAGTGATTGCAAGTATGTCGCAGCTACCTTGCCCTACCCTTACCTATAAAACACCACATTATGTAGTTAGAACTGTTTACCGTGATACAAGATTAACTAACCAACTAACCCAGTAAAAGCACGCGTCTACAAGCCCAGATAAAAAGAGGAAAGTAGACCTACCTTCCCTATTCATGGACTCGACCATAGCACCTGCTTCGCTCCTCCTTCCACAAACCATAGCCCCAGCCCAGAGCGATACATGTAAACAGAACGTAATCACCAACTAGGCAACTACTAATCTCCCACCTCTAATATCATCAGCATATACTACCTAAGAATTTCTTACATAAAACAACCACCCACCATCCGCCCATGACGCATTTCCCTCACCCGCCTTCCCCATGTGACCAACCACTCTCTAACCAGAACAAGCCCTAATCGATGACTCTACCTCCAATACCCCAAAATGACCACATATACACCCACAGACTATGCGTAATCCATATATGTAATCAACCAAGCTAGTCACCAGGCGATCTATATCGTCTTCAGCAGCCGCATGCAGGCCGCACGTGTTGCCCGCATCGCCCGACCTGAGAGGCTGAGCTTGCCACTTACCCCTACCTATTCACCCACCTGGGCAATTGCTATATAAAAGAGCCCTGAGCCTTCTGGAAGGGCTGGAAATTGCGAGTCACAGTGTCTAGTACCCATAGTGCGTTATTGCGTTGCCTTCCTTGCCTCACTATGGATAGATGTCGCCTGTATCGGTATTTGATATTTTTCTAATCTTCGTGTTTGATTCAGACGGACGGGGTGATATTGAGGCTGGGCTGGGCTGGGCTTACGTTGGTTACGAGCTACTGTTTTGGTAGAGTAGTTGGTGCTTTGTTCTCTCTCTACCTACTATAAAGACCTTGTCGACCCTGGTGTTAGCTAGGGTTGGAAAAGCTCAGTTCAAGTGTTTTATACATCCTACGCAGCGAACATGCCACATCGACGACGTCACTCTTGGCCCGCCTGCGTTCCAGAGAGGACCACCGTCCCAGTTATCACGGTCTCTCAGCCTCAGGAACCCCCAGAGCGACAGTTTCTCGCCCCGCTGGTGTCGGCGGAATTGCTGGAAAGCGACGACGCTGCTTCGGCTGGGATTGTCCGGTCGGGGGACCACAGCGGCAGCAGCAGCGCCACCCGTTATCGGCTGTGGCCACACTATCATCACCACAAGGTCGTTGCGGGCTCACGGACTGCTTCCGCTAGAACCGACGCCAGTATGGGCAGTCCTCTGAGACGAATGCTGCGGCCACCGCTGGACAAGGCCCGGTCACTGTTTGTCTTGCCTACGACTACCACGGCGGGAGAGAAAGTCGTGCTCTCTTACTGGGTGCCGCAAAGTGTGCCGTCACGGCCTTCGCTTTCGCCTTTGCCTTCATCTCCCCTTTCGCCTGCGCTCTCTGAGACCGTGGAGCGTGGAAGGCCGGTTGACGCGGCGGTTGGTCGGTTGAGGGCTGAGGGGAACCACCGGAGGTGTCATTCGGAACAGCCTCGGTCGTGGAGAGAGCCGAGCGCGAGCTTGTGGACTTTGTCGGAGGAGTGATGTTCTTTTCTTTTTTCTTTTGCTTGTTTGTTCTATTGTATTCTTATTCGTTGTTTCCATTGTTTGCTGCTTTCTTCCTTCATCGCTTTTTGATGTTGTTTCCTGCGGGGTTTGGATGCGGCGCATGCATGTATAGACAACTAGCATCGATCTGGCGCTCAAGCATGTATACCTTAGTTAGACAATAATAATGGAGGTAGACCGGAATCAAAAATCAAAATAAACAGACCTTGTCCAGTAGAACGAATATCACATGAACAAACAAGAAACCGGTGACTCTACAGTGGGCCGGTCAGTGTGAGAATGATGCTTGGCCGAACCCCCTCACAGAGACGCCCGTCCCCACACTGAGTCACAGTCGGAATCCCGTGCCGCTCCCTCGTACGAGCAACGCGCATTGTTTTCCTCTTGGCACAGTAGATTGACCTTGACTGTGATGTCATTGGGTGCGGCAGAGCCTCATGTGGGTTGGATCCATGGTCTCTTCTGGGTTTGTTGCTTTGGACGCTGCGTGTTTTTCAAAACCCGGATGTCGTCTGAAAGGGTGACAAATGAACTCAATTATAGCTTTATCTTCTTTTCTTTATTTCGTTTTTTTTTTTTTTCTTCCCCCCTCCAAGCTGTCTATCCCTATTGGAATACGTACCAGGAAGGGAAGCGGGATTGCTGACACCGGTTTTCCTCTCACCCCCAGATTCAAGCGTAAGCATTGCATAACTGGTCTCTTCCCCATCTCTGTTGGCCAATTACAGACAGTAGTGTGGGTCAGCGTCCCATTGATCATCCATATCACCCCTTCGAACGACGCTAGAAGGTAGCGCCCAGTCGGGCGTTGTCAGAACCTCAATGGCCGGGCAGGTGGCCTTACAGGCTTCACTGTCGAGATCAATAACTCGGTGAAAGCCAGCTAAGCTCAAAACATGCAGAGAAAATGCCAATCGTCACTTCAATTGCTCAATGGGGCGGGAATCCCAATTGTTTCCTGCAACAACAACAACAACAACAACAACAACAACAACAAAGGAGTCAATCAGGCCTCTAGGCAGAAGCGGTGAATGAGAACCTCAAGGTGGGGCAAGCTGTGGGCACCCGGTGGTATTATTGGGCAAACGAGCCTGGTAAGGCGAGAGAGTGGGTCAGGCCCCAGGATTCTCACCGATGCAAGGAAAAAGGACTGTCATCGGCCCTATTGATGGAGTTCGCGACCCCGTTGGCGCTCATCAATTGGTCCGCTCGGTCAAGTCCGGCATGATGCATTTCGTGTTCTTTCGCGAGACCACCTTCTGATAGGTCTAAGGGTGCCCGTAACTCGGGATGATGTTTCCTAGGGCTGAACTCGGTAGGGAAGATTAACACGGAGGAGATAGGAGTCACCCGACAGACGGGGGACGAGACTTGGGGAAGAACATAAATACCACGGATATCCCCGAGATCTGGGAAGCTTTGTTTCATTCTTCATCCTTCACGATAGTCAGCAGTTCATATTCCCCAAAGCAAAGCTCATCATATCTATACCCCACCTCTTAGGAGTGCAAAAACGAATCAGTCAAACTCCTGAGAGCTTGCAGTCAGGTCATTTCGCCCGTCCTGAGTCTCCACTTCCCACACACCTACCGTCTCTTCTTCTCTCCCCAGTGTTATCTCTCTGGAAGGTCCTACCTCAACATCAACCCCGGAAACTCGACCTAAGCTTGGAAAACCTGATCTCAGAAGCTCCACGAGCTTTTTGCCCCCATCCTCAAACAAGACGACCCCTCAACGTCCCGCTCCTCCAACTCAACTAGTCCTGGATCATAATCCTTGCTCAGTCGGTCCACAAACAATGTCGCCCCCTTCTCCCACCCAGGAGTCCCACTCCGACACCAGCATCAAGCGTAGCTCGGGATCGTTCCACTCCAGAAAGAACAGCTCCGACTATCGTCGCTATAACAACACCGTAAATCACTGCGGAAGACACTCCAACGATTGGTTGTTCAATGGCTTCAGTGTGCGCGACACTGTCCGCGACGGTGTTGATAAGCTGTTTCACCCCGGAGACAGGAGCTGATCTGCTCGAGTGTTGCTGATGATCGAGAGATGCATCAGCTATCATCTATCCTTTGACCAATTGCGCCAGATCCGACTGTTGACTCATCTGTCATTTACTGATTGGACTCGCCTCTGCCCCCGTGCATATCCGGATTTCACTTGTTTCGAGAACAGACCTCTTCGCCCCGAGAATTGACGCCTCACTATCACCCCTCCGACCGACCCTGGTGTGAACCAAAATGTTGTGGGGATCTGAGAATCCGTTACCGAGTTGGCTGAGGTCGTGTATCGGGCACGGGCAACTGCGCATGACCTTGTGACGAAGGCACGTGGATCGCTGCAGTGCCGACCGTCTATCGCGCCCTGCTATCGTTGACCGATTATTGGGGGGTTCTGTTATTGCTGGGCAATCTCATCTGTTTACCATTTCTTACATGTGCTAGAAATAGTATGATGCTGGACTATCCCTCTCTGAGAGAGTGCATTTTGAAACAAATTAATTTTGCTTGAAATTGCTTTGCAAGTTTTTGAAACTCGAGTAGTGCTTTGTCACCTTATAGTACGTACTGTAGTATTGTCATATCGCAAACAAGAATTGGAAAGAACTATTAGGAACTAGTGTTTGTTGATACAAAACTTCCATATTTGCGATGAGGCATGAAAGAAACCTAGTACTATTAGAAAGCCATTGTCAAAGCCAAATGCACTACAATGGATACTTATGCTGTTCTATATGATTTTAATCCATGGACAAGCCAAGGTGAGAGTTCAATGATGCTTTGTACAGGGCTTGATTACCTTGTTAACATATTCTTCAAATATTTGCATGAGGATTTCTGTGCCCTCTAGAAGTGATGTTTTTCTATCATCTTCTATCCTGTGCAACAGCTAGTACTACCAGGTCAGACATAGATACTGGTACAACGGTCTAGCTCTGCATCTCATTAATAACCATATCTCCTTCAGTAATAAAGACCCTTGCATCCGACATGCCTAGCGAGTATTAGCTCAGGGGGGCACGACTCAATCTGGATCAATTCGGTGAAAATAATGTAAATAGAGGCTTTCCCTCTCAAGTCAGTCATGTAACCCAATGGTCTCTATCCCAATCCCCGTGATTGCTCGAAATATCCACATCACGTCGGGTTATCGCCTCGATATATAAGGGCTCGTTTGTTGAGACAGCTGTACAACCAGATTACATGGTTGCGACACGGCCGATTGATCATAACATTTGGCCTATCCGGAAAGAACGTACCTAATTAGACAGGTAAGGCAGGTATCTTGATTGCTCCACTTTGCTCTGTGAGAAGCAGTGGGCATGTGTATATGGAGAACCGAGCTCGTGACTATGTGGTATCTTCTAAGGGGCACCATTTTTCCCTTTTGGAACTCGCGCGACGAGAGAGATATATTGATAACAAAAACGAGGTAGCTCAAAGATAAAACAGAGCGAGCAGACACCAATCTGATATGAAACGAGTCAAAAGATATAGCGCTCGAGAGGAAAATCTTCAGGCTTTATGGATCAGAAACCAAGCGCGAAAACTCTAATTTCTGAAACAAGCAAAACAAGCATGCTCCCATTCCTCCATCTCCGCTCTGGTAATGTCAAGATTCTCTGGAACAAGGCTTTGAAGCCTCGAGATCTGTGTTGGTGCTGGAGCCAGGTCAATCACAAGTACTCGCGAACTGGGAGTGGAGATCCATTCCGCACCCAGTTGAGAAAGAGAGGAAAGAACGAAAGAAAAGAAAGAAAGAAACGACCTACTGGGACGATGAGCCACGGCTCCTATATGAACATCCACTACATCCGAATCAATGTAGTCTTTTATGGTGATGTCGACAGGGGATGCGGCTGCCAACGCGATTCGCAGTCGGTAACGCCCTGGCTGCGTGATGGCGAGCGGGCCGAATCGAGCAAAGCCACTGGTGGTATTTCCGTCGTGATTGCGTACGCTCGACGTGAGAGCTCCCGACAGGTGATAAGAAGCAACAGGGTCTCCGGACTCGGTCCGCAAAGAGACATTCATTGCCAACTGCTGCACGGCATAGTCTTGCGGAGCCCCTACCGTGCGGACAGAGACAATGACTGGCAGCGTAAAGGGAACGTTGGGCCATGCGGCAGCCTGGGGCGCGATCTCGAATCTCATGCAATATTCGCGGCTGGAGCTGCTGGAGCTGCTGGAGGATCCGTCGGTGGTATCTTGGACCATGATGATACTATTCCGTATGTTGTACTGTGTGTAGTATGAATATAGATCTATATTTGTGTATGTGTGAAAGAAAGAGTGAGTGGATAAGTGATTAGAAGATATAAGGGAGGGTATAAGATAGAGTGTGTATTAGTTGGCTGTAATGAGATAGGAATACCCAAGGAATATATGGAAGGGAAGGAAGGACTGAGTGAAAAGTTATAGAAAGGGAAACCAGTGACTCCCAGCCATGATGAGACCTGAATTTATGAAAATTGGCAGTCGTAGTTTCTTGATCTACTCTGCTCCAAACAATTCCCACTAAGTGCCTGGAACACACTCACCCATATCCAAGGAAAACGAAAGCGAGGTGTATGAATGAGGCGTGCTTCGCCACTGTGAAGGAACCTAAAGTCGGCAGAAGGCTTAAGGGCCAAGAGATGTGATATCTGCCCAGAAGTACCTTTCTGGTCAAGCGCATGGGCTTTATTATTGTTCCCCTCTCCAAACACACCATCTTCTAGCGTTGCGTATCAATCAAGCTGCATAGTCCTGCGGGAAGAGCGTTTGCAGGTGAGACCCACCTGGGCATCGTCATACTGTCCTGCGGGTATTATATCGCTTCAATTGATTTCTCTGTGTCAAAAATCCACTTGCGATGACCAAAAATATTGACATTATTTCTGGATTGGTCTAGAGCAAGATACCGCCCAGAATAGGCTGCCCGATGGTGTCCTGGAAGTGTCAGCAAGGACATTGCGCGGTCAAAGCACAACAATTTAGGTTGCGAAATAGATCGCAGGCAATAAGAAGAAAGACGAAGATGAGATACTGTTGCTTGACCCTGCCGAAGCCCCTGTGCAGGGTTGTCCCAACTGATCCTCGACAATATTTAGGTAGTATTCTTCTGTTACCCTTCTAGTTCCGACCCTTCCCACGTCTCAGCCACTCGCCCACCTTCTTGAGATTATTAGTCTGGTATTATAGTACCTCCAGATTATCCACTAGCCTCGCGCTTACGGGTTATATTGCAGTCTTTTCCCAGCTGTCTGTTATAAGAGATGCAAGCGACTCGGGAGGCCTAGGATGGTTCCCTTTTTGTTCCCTTGCATCACTAGCCCCTCAAGTAGCCTTGCCACATTTATTATCATGCCTGGAAACAAATATGCAAGTCTCGATGTTGTCACCGTGAGCATGCATATCTCCGATGGATGTAAGGGATGCCGTTTTCTTCTGTCACAATCTATGCTAGTCGCGTGTTGTCGATCTTGATAGTCTAAAAGTGGCCAACAACCACGGCAGCCGGCCATGGCCTTCAATCCCATCCCTGCATAACGTTACATTGAAGAGCTGATTATGAATCCCGACGTGGGGAAATCCATAGGTCGGGGACCTGTAGATCGATCAGGCCACTCCCGCGTGTTTTCATGTCAGGGAAACGGGTGCTGATCTCCACGCACATGGGTCAGGTAGGCTGTGAGCTGAACCTGGGCGTGCAAGGGAGCGAACTTGCGGTATAGGAGGAGGCGTGTTTGCGCCCCCAGGTTCAATAAATCAGATCGCGAGGGAAGAGGCGCAGGCGCACCCTGCTGGCCCTCGGGCCCGGGCCGCAATAAGCAATTTCCCCATACGGCTTAAACCGATCTGAAGGAGCCACACTTATCTGCACTTGTCATCTGCGGACCCACTTCAACCCCCCGCTCGCGATGCGAACCAGGAAACCGGGAATGCTTCTTAGGGTCCCGCCCATCGGGTTTCCCTGAGCGATAATCTTTCAGCGCTTTTCCCCCTTTATGGCTCGGCGAACATCGTACACCATTCTGGATTACGATGGCCCTAGATGTGTGGGCAGGCATGGTGTATCCGTGTTGTGTCTGGATGTATTAACTCAACTGATTTGATCAAGCCTGATGGAGATAGGTCCGTCCCGCTGACCGCTGCATGTAAGGCACCGAATACCCAATTCCACATTTCTATACCTTTCCAGAGGGCACTTGATGTTTGGGTCCGCGGAGATACGGATGTGAAGTATATTGCTAGGTAATGGTCAGTTGCGCCATATGCCATGTGAGAATGTACTCCAGCAACCAGTCCGGCATTGTGATCATAAGCGAATTCTTCCAACTGGTTGCTTTGCTCGGCTGATCTGCAGAGATGTAGATAGAGAATGCGGAATAGATGATCATCTCTGTGGTGTTTGCCTCCCATGCAATGCAAGATCGATCAGATCTGTCCGCCTGAGGACTCCTGCAGGCGCCACCGCTAAGTCACTAGCCACGTAACACTAGCCACACCGTGGCAGTGTGGCGATGTGGCGGTGTGCTATATCACGGTATAGATGCATGATCATCATGAACCGACGTCTAACTATTTTTCCAGTGTTGGGCCTGGCTCGTCAATAGCAGTCAGCCGTGATTCATGACAGTAAGTCTTGGTCAACAATCGTCTGCGCTTCGAGGATTTTCCACTTCATAAGTATGCCACCTCATGACTCGGGGACATCGCTAGTAGCTAGGGTTATGGTCAGGTTTCAAACCAGATGTCTGATTGCTGCTGTGATCTATTCTTTTTAGCATAGATACTTCTAATCACACAAAGGCCCCACAACACTAGCGTTGGGTGGGCACTACACTATAGTAGAAAATCTTGATCTTTCGTGACAAAAAGACTCGTGCCGCTTGGCATAAGCATTGAGCCATAGGCTAGGGTATGGTGACTAGTCCTTAGCTGAGATGATCCTAGTGACGGGCGTGTAGAAAACCAAAATGATCCCTTGGTTTGCTACCTAAGTACTAGTACGTGAAGATGGGGGCGAGTGGGTCAGACATCCTATTCTACTATGCTTCTGATCGTCCTTTCGCAGCACAATAATTGACAATGTACTTCTGTCGAGAGCTTAGCTTAGGAAAACTTTTATAGCTTATTAGAGCTGCAGACTATCAAGTACTAACTTTGGGTGTAGTATACACGCCCAATCACACATGGGGTTCATATTCAGGCAGCAGAATTAGGATCGATATCAGACATTGTTGCTCAGAATAAGGCGCCGTGCTTCGAGCGGGGGCACTAACATGGCATTCACAGATAAGAGGACCAAGGAGGATAGTTTGTCAATAGCAGCAGACGCAAAAGGGCCTCTTGACGACAGAACTCGCTGGGCACGTCACTATATTGCTACGTAGAAACCCATTCGGCCTAGCCCATACTGGTAGATACTCAGGCTCGTAGCTAGCTGTTCGATATATCTAGCATTGGGAGCCTGGGAGCTTGACCACCCAAGCTGGAAAGGGACCGCCAGATCATCCGCTCGGCGAGGTTCCGTTTCGGCATTTGGTCTGACTGACGGCAGACTTGTTTGCGTCCACAGAACTGGTCCCACGGGTGGTAGCGCCGTTTTTTCCGGCGCTACGGCGGGTATTGATGTACACACGGGTACATATAGATAGTGGGTCTCCATCTAGACCCTGACTAGTCTGTAGTCACCGGTCTATCATGGCGGGTCTGGATTTTCAGCCCCGGATGGATGGAACCTGTGCGGGTAAGGCAGGATTAGCCCGAGTCTCATATAGTTCATATGCCGTGAAGTAGAAAACACCAAAATACGTTGCTCGAGGCTGGGTAGGGACTTCTGTCTCTAGCTCTAGTGGCCGACTGGGGCCTCCCCAACCAGTCTCGGCTATGGGAAAAGCGAGTCATGACCATGATACCGATGGGTGATATTGGAGAAGGTACAGCCGAACAAAGACCAAATCGGAACAGAACAAAAAGATGAAACGGAGCAGAAAGCAGAAATTGGTGTGTCGTTCAATAGATGATGATTGCGACAGAACCCGTCCAGTGGGGACACGGATCCCCTGCATTCCTTCAGCCAAGGCAAGCAGCAAGTAGGGGCAGCATGGAGAAAAAACAAAGATGAAGGACTCCATGTGAGTAGTCTTTCTTTCATCACCCTCTTGCGATAAGCCAGCTTGACTACGGCCCGCCGCCGGCACCTCAGCCGTCCTGTCCAGCTACATCCCGGCAGCCGCTTGCGTGGACAGGAACCCTTACTTTCTGTCCGCCTGTATACCATCCCGGGACAGCTACACACATAGTCTCGTCATGGACTGATGATGCTCCACATTGTGACAAGAAAGAAACGAATTGAACACTTAGTGTGATGCCCTGTGATGGCGGAATAGACGGGGTGTCAACACGGCATGATCCACTTACCGGCCGAATGTATCTTAAGAATTAAGTTGAGCTGCGTCATGACTGTCAATGGGATGAAACGGCCAGGCACAAAAGTGTCTCCACTGTTTGTCAATAGCCGAATCGAAAAGAACGAACGTGTTCTCGCCCAGGAGCTGATGAGTCCTGAGGTTGTTTCGGGAAGAGATGGCGCCACAAGAATGACTAGTCCGCACAGTGATGAGCCAAGGAAAGCCTCAAAGCCTAAATGATAATATCTTAGCTCGTCGTATATACTTTGACTAATGTTTGCGAAAACAGAAAGGGCTAGACTAGTAATTCAGGTATGGACGAGAGATTGATGATCCCCTCACCTGCCAAATCTTCAGTATCGTAAGGAGCAAGGTGCATAAAGCCCCCATTCTATAGCAGAAAATTTTTTCCTATATTGATGCTCAAAATCATCTCCAAAGTGTCTCTCGTGTGATCTGTCCGGAATGGCTCAGGGAAACCTTATACAGTTGATCAACATTTGGCAACCAATGAAGCAGGTGGAAATGGCCATGATGAGAGAGACGTTGAGAAGTAGGTTCAAATATGCCAAACACGAATTGCTTGGTAGTAAAGCGACCCAAGTAAGATACAAAGAGCCCTCTCCAGAGTTCTCTTGTTGTATGGGATTTCTGATAACGGCTATAGAGCGCTATGCAACGGTCCGTTGCTATTAGACCTTATCCTGGCCATACATTTCTTCTCAGTCAGTGACACCATGTTGAGTAGTAAGGATGACATTACCATAGAGATAGAAATACTTGTCGCCTTTTCTTCATCAACTTAAGATATGTATCATGTGCAGGACGTCGGAGCAGAACATACCCATTATCTTGTTTGAACACTAGTAGTAACCGGGCCAGAGGATATGATAAGTAGATAGAAAAGGCAGAAAGCAACACAAGCTTACAAGATAAACTCAAACCAAAAACAAATGATTTTGTAGAGATACAATGATGGGCCACCTACTCTAGAATGAGTTTTGTATGTGAACAGTGAAGTTCTGCTCCCTCCTTCCTTTTACGTTTCCTACATGCCGGTAGCACGGTAAATATCTGACACTCAAAATCCTCCCATCCCGGCATCTATCTTGCCCTTCAAGTCAGCACCTATTGTTACCGGAATGGCTCGCTGGCCAGATCACTTGGGACTCACCAGATGGCCCCTGTTCTCACCCGACAACTTCATGCTGTTGTTTTTAGACCCAGACCATCCCAGGAATCACCTACACCGGCTGCCGCAAGCAGGAGTTTTGCTCACCTTAAAGCTATCCTCGAGCTCCTCGCAGGAACAATTTGCATATTCGTACTGGCCGTTCTCTTCTGGAAACTCGGAAACTACTTTCGCTCTTGGACACGGCACCGAGTACTTCAAGCAGGCAACACCCCTGGCACGCGATATTCGAAGACCTGGTACGGTTGGATTCCACTCCAACAACACAACGCTCACAAGGACGTGTGGCGAAAGTTCAGACAAAAGCTCCATGAATGGACGGCATGGAAATCCACAAACGCTGATTACCGCTGGGTTTGGTGGGATCCAGGACAGAAGGAATTCGAAAAATTCGAGCAGAATCGAAGGCTTCTGCGGTGGCTGCCGAAGTTTCTGAGGAGCTATAGCTTCACACCCGCTGATGTCATTTGGAACCCTGGCCCTCCCCGCAAGGAAACTGGGGAACTTGAGAGCGATGCGGTATCATCTTCCTCGGCGCTTATGACTGGCGCTCATCGTTCTCATGGTACTCTTCCAAGCGAATGCAACCCATCGATACGCGAGGGCGGGCTGCGTGTCAGAAAAAGATTGAATATCTCCTCATTACCCGGTGGTATGTCCCAAGAAAACAAGTCGAGTGATGGGGAGGAGGCCTACCACACACCTTTGTGTCACATATCATCAGCAAAAGCTAGGGTTCGGTCTGAAGCGTTGCTCCCGTCCCACTGGGGCAAGAACAGTGGTTTCGAGCGCCCCATGGATGGATCAAAATACTACCGCAGTCGGTCTTTACCGTGTCTCTCGAGCGCAATAACCACTCGTGGAAAGATCCCTTCAATTTCAAGGCCATCACGCAAACCCAGGACCTCAGTCAACCATCGTCTGGACCAGTTGGACTTTCACTCCTTACCCCGAAACACACGGAAGTATCAGATATGGTCGATACGAATGGAGTTGCAGGCAGCTGCTGCATTTGTCAGGCGCGATATGTGTGGCCTCACGGGTCCTCCTGGAACGCCTATGACTGAGCTTCTTACCAGTATCTCCTCAGACCCCGCAGTCTATCCTCTGCTGTCCAGACGATCCATGGCATTTACAGAACTTACTACCTCAGAGTCAAGTACCTCGACGTTACCTAGTGCGACACAGCATACCAACTTCGAAAGATCCCTGTTCAAGTTTCATCAATCTGAAAGCATGATCAGGTGGAAATCCGAGCCTCTACTGTGCACCCCAAATCCTGTTACTCATTCAATCATGGTCATGTCTTTAAATCGATACCGCGGACAGGTCTTCTATAAGCAGAAGCACTGGGCCTCGTCTTCAGTCATAGATGATCCGACGCTGCATCAAAACCATGGCAATGCAGGTAATCGTCCTGAGGGAGTCGAGTGCCTTTCCACACGTGAGAAATATCGGGTTGCAGCATCTTCCACAGGCTTAAGGAATTGGGAAGAACGAATGATGAACGGTTTAGATCGGAAACTTGGATGGCTGTCGAACCAGATTGAACCTGGCCGAAGGCCGTTCCATTTCACCTTATTGCCCAACCATTGGCTGAATTGGGAGACTTGGGTTGTTGTTGACCCGGCCTCACGCGTCCCTATTCCAAGGAAGAGACTACTGGGGGACCCGCGATTCAACAAACCATATCCCAAGCCTCAGTGGGGAATAAAGACAAAATATCCCGAGACAATCCATACCAAGGCCCACACTCCCCAAATAACATCATGGAGGAAGGAAGTCAACCTACACAGACGCGCCTTCGGGATAAGAGAAGTCAGCGTGGTTGAGCTTTTCGATAGTTCGGCAGATGAACCGCCAGACGGACAGGTTGACCCGGCTTGTTGGATTCTTCGCAAGCCACCGCAGGGGGTTGCTCTGTCAAGGAAGCACGAAGATACTTATTACGAGGGTGGAGCAGGCTGGCAAGAAACACTCGGTGAGTGGCAAAGGGTCCAGCGCGGCTATCGGATCCGCAAGGCGATTTACGAAGGCAGGGCCAACAGAACCCGAGTCAGAGAGATAGCGTCAGGTATCACGCGATATTATCAGATGATGGTATCCAAGGCCAACACCAAGTTCGGTACTTTTGCCCTGACTCCTGATATCCATCGTCCAAACTTTTGCCATTCTTTTGTTCAACCATGTCAGAGCGATCACAGCAGTCCATCTTTAAACTCAGACTTATGAATTACACCATCGCAGCAAGTCCATGAAATGACCACTCGTACCCATACGCTGTCAAACAAGAAAGTGGGAATTGTAGGTAACATTATAATACAATGCAATCATGGTGCATATTCCCCAATTGCCGAGAACTCCAGTAATCCTTGCAGTATTCGCCTCACACATATGCGACGGCACGACCTCCGAGTCCGCATTCCGTACAGCGGCGAGCCCAACATATACTCGCATCCACCAGGGAGATGTCGTCCGCCACGATCGGTATCGAAATAGGAGTATTGCCTCCAGAAACGCGCGCTTAGAAACCAGGAGGGTTGACACGTTGGCTGACCCGCGTCCACTTGGGCAGTTCTATCAAGATCAAACGTTAGCTTCTGATCCAAAATAACCATGATCACCTCTATATCCTCTCCCACGCTGGATAGATGGCCACAACGTCCGAAGACGGTGATACCAACACCCAATTGCGGAAATAGCCCATCCCAAACCTGACCAAGCCTCCAGGAATCCAAAACATACTGTGAATGCTCTTGCGGTAACGGCGCTCCTTCTTGTCGAAGATCGTGTATTTATCCTTGGGCAGCATTTCCTGCTCGCGCGGCATCTCGTCGTACCACCGGTTGATGGATTTCGTTGACTGGCCTTGGCGGGCGAGAGCCGCGGAGACAGTGTCCACTACCTGGTCGACGGCGCGCAGGCGCTTCCTTTGGCGGGCCTTCTGGGGCGACGAGATGCGCCACGGGGTCTTCCTATTTATTCGAAAATGGGTACGTTAGGATGAGATCGTAAATATGGGTCGGTTTATCGAGGGTGTCGGGTGAAGGAATCGTGGCGGTAGAATCCGGGCAATGGCATCAACATCATGGAGATACGTACCAGAGGAGACCCCCGAACAGCGGAGATGAAGGCTTGAACATATTCGCGGCGATGTTGCAGCGAGATAGAGCGACGGGAGAAGTGGTGGGGAAGAGGGTAGGGAACTGCTTGGGTCTGACGATGAGGTCGGCGAGGACGAAAATCCCGTCGAGGTGGCACTTGGTCCGTGCGAGGGCGACCTCCGCGGCCCCGGAAAGGAAAAGGGCCAAGTCCGACGGCTTTTCTTTTCCCTTTTCCCCCTCGGTTGTTTTTCCACCTTTCCCTTCTCTTGAAGTTTCCCCCTCATTGCTTTGCCTGTTCGTTCTTTTCATGGGTCTTTTATAGACAGCCATGTCGCGCGCCTCGGATGCTGGTGCAGATACCGGCGACACTCCTTCGCTGGCGTGGAGGGCCTCATCCTCTGCGACTATCTTGGGGGTATCGGCGTTATGTCGGGCTTTCTTGTATACATTAAGTCGCCCTGAGACGCATGGTCTGGACTCCTTCCTGGAGATTCTCGACTCGCGACAAGATACAACAAAGAGGACGAAGGGATTGATTACAGGTTAGCTTCCAGCAGTCTTTTTTTTCACGTTTGTCTCGGTATAGCGATCACTGACTCGGACTCTCTCGACAGTCTCCAACCATATCAGTGTGTACGTACGTACGATGCGCCATTCGCTCCCTGGCGCGGCCCTGTGGATTTCTTCGACCCGAGAAGGAGCTGACACCGATCGCGGGGTTGAACAGCATGGATGATCCGTTAATATGGGGGTTTCTTCCCCTGCGGTATAACTTTGGCCTAGCCTCTTCGAATAAGAGATGGTCGTTCGGCAGTTACGATATCTGCTACCAGACTCGGTACGTCTGTCCAGGAAAATAGAAGGAGGATTCGTGACACCGGATTGTACAGCGTATATTGACTGTCAGAAGGCCCCTGTCCTGGTTCTTCACCATGGGCCAAGTGCTGCCTACACACCGCCTCGCTCACTCGCCTTTCGGTGGGCTCGCACAGCCCGCCGTAACGCAGGCAATCCGACTCCTGTCGAAAGGTCCGTTTCCGGCAGAGCCCCATCTGGCCCGACCCGAACGCCAGCATTGGAGCATGCAGAATGTCTGCGTCGATCCGTTCTCCGAGCTGTCCACTGCGTACACGACGGACGGCGTGGACTCCCACCTGGCGCCGACAGCCTACTCCTGCAACTCATACTCCTGGGTCCATATCTTCCCCGAGGGCAAGATCCACCAGGCGCCCAATAAGACGATGCGCTACTTCAAATGGGGCGTTGCGCGACTGATCTTGGAGCCCAGCGAATGCCCCGATGTCGTACCCATGTGGCTCGAGGGCATCGACCAGGTCATGCACGAGAGTCGCGAGTTCCCGCGCTTTCTCCCGCGGCCCGGCAAGGACGTGAGCATCACATTCGGCAAGATGGTGGACACCGAGTCGGTGTTCGGGGAAGCCCGGCGCAAATGGCAGGCGATCAAGGCGAAGGCCGAAAAGGCGTCACCGGAGAGTCGGGATCTCCCGCTGGGCGTCCTCAGCGACGAGCTCCTCAACGGACGGGAGGCTGTCGAGCTGCGGAAGGAGGTGACGAAAAAGGTCCGCGATCTGGTCCTGGACGTGAGACGGTCTAGAGGCTTGCCCGACGAGGATCCCAAGGAGGGTCTCGTCGAGACTTGGATTCGCGAGGGTCCAAAGCGCGAAGGCAAGATGCGCGATGATTCCTGGGTCCGGGATATATAAGTCCGTGTTCCCGGCTGTTGCACATGTAAATTACTTGTTAGATATGCATAGAGCTGTATAGCATCAAAATGACTCGCAATTGTGAAACTATCAAGATTAGGATTGCTAAAAGATAAGCAGGCGCCGAGTGCTGTCGTTCCCAGCACAAATCTAGTTCTTGATCCTATCACTGCGCATATACTAATCATTAGGGCCGGCCGAGTGAATTACCAGTCACCTACCAACCCTATAAAAATGGAGAAAAACGGCAAAAACCTGTTTCTTTTACAAGTATATCTCATAGCTAACCTTGCCACTAACAACCATCTTCACGTACTCTCCACCCATGTATATTATGTTGGGATATCAGCCATATTAGACCCAACCAAATGCCAATTCAGTATTTTGGCGCAGTGGCTAAACTTTCATAATATAATCCCTTTAATGGTTTTCATCGAAGTCTATCGTGATAAGCGTCAATAGAGACCCATGCCTCAACGTATATACCTTGACATTACATAATGTGGCATCGAAGCTAATTGTTATTCTATGCAGCGAAAGAAACAGAATAGTTACGAAATACAAAGATGTCGCACTGGATATAAGGTTACTCATGAAGCGCAAAAGTGTCGTGATATCTTTTGTAGCCGGTTGGTAATCCTTTTACTACATATGGGGTGGAGACAGCGGCAGTATGTGGAACAAGAATAGCGAACTTTGTAATAGAGAATGTGATCAGTGGAAGAGAAGAGATATTGTAGCAGAAAGCGATCTTGATAGCTGCATAGTATGTGCTATTGTGACCCTCTAAGAAAGAAGCAACGGCTTTTGTATGTACAGTCATTATGATCACTAGCTCACAAGCCCAACGCATAGGCAATCACACAATGTGGTCGAAAACTAGGTTGGTCATAATTCCTGGGAGAATACCTTGAATGCTATTTCTGAACTCACCATTCCCCCATTTCAAGATTGCTGAAAGATGGCGGAGGAAATCTAGCGAGCCATGTTTGAGGGTTGTCCTCCAGATCCCCAGGCAGACCATATAGAAGTCATATTTGTTAGGCCGCCGGAAATGGAGCCATAGTTCGTGGATCGGGCCCTCGGTGGTGATAGAAAACACCATGTTCGATGTAATGCTAGTCATGGCTTGTGTTGACTCCCTGCTCTCTTCAACACCTTCTCGGTTTTCATCGTCTAAATCTTGGGTGTCTCGAAGCTCTGCGAGGTTTTTCAAGATCTGAAGTGCGGTTGAGGCGCCTACCGCGGCTTGATTCTGTGCCTGGTAGAGGTTCCCACCGGTTGCACCGGATTTCAATTCGATGATCAGAAAGGGGAAACGGAGGTTTAACGGGGTGACGTGTGGGTCACTAATTAGGGTGGACGTGTCTTGCAAGTCGAACAGAAAGTTTTGTGCAGCGCCGCGACCTCCCTCGGTTCCAAGGAAACCGCTTAAACTATCATCGGACAGACCTACGCATATATCTGGTCGAGGATCCTTGAGCTTAAATATCGGAATGGTTGATTCAACTCTATGCAAAGAATGAGGGGATGGGTGCAGGTTGTCGGTCATTCTGTTTCTTGGTAAAGTTTGCTGTGACTGGTTTCGTTTCCGTGGAATCATGGGCAGAGGGTTGTGCACTGGAGGCTTTAAATCTACACGCCAGTCTAAAGAAGGAGTTAGCACTGGAACACCGAATCTAAACGATTTAAAAAACAGTAACCTGCCTCTGTTGCTCGCAATTGCCAGCCCCGTTGGCCTTAGCTCGTCAATTGCTGTATATAAGGCTTCCGTCCATTCAGTTTCCCCTGAAGCATTCTTGACAAGCTCCTTGGATTTCTCCCAGAGCTTTTGGGAGATCTTTTTTAGATGATCATCATCACTATCAAGTACATTGAAGACTATATTGGTCGAATAATCACTGATGTCTACAGGTATCTCCTCGTCGACACGAATATTTGCACGCCGGAGAGGACCGCCACGATATTGTGCATCGTTTGGCCTCGATGGACTGCTTGACCGCGACCGTTGTGAGGATCGTGTGGATGGAGGAGGTATTATGGGAACATCTGACAAGCTGCTACACCTCTCCTCTGGAGCCATGTCGAGCAGCGTAAGGGGGGAGAGAGACTGTGTATTGCGATCATGCTCCTTGAGAGCATCATGAGTAAGGCAAGCGGCAGCGGGGACGCGCTTATATCGCTTTTCAGAAGCACCAGGAGAGCAGGAATGTGACCGTTTCATTTGGGTCGATGCAATGATCCCCTGGGCTCGACCGCAAGGCCAATGTCAGTGGCTTTTCGGTGGGAGCGAGCAGGGGATGACGTGTTATGGATGCCAAGACAAATGATGCTTTGCGAACAGGCCGCCAGGCCACCGGGCCAGTACTTGTTGTCACGATAAGCTTCTTTTGTTTCGTTGCACACGTTTACTGGAATCAACCTCGCAGTTGAGAATAATGCCGAGAGTGGAAATAGAACGAGCAAAAAAGAGTTCGGGTGATAAGCCTGTGTTCGGAACGGAATAATGGCTTCCGTGCCATGAGTCTGAAACCAATCTCATGGTACGGTAGATGCATGTTCGCAGCTTTGTTGCTTTGCTTCCAAGACGTTGGCAGCGAAACAACACTCAGTCTTCGGCGCAGTGGATTCCTAACCCCACTGACTCCAGTGACGGACCGATCCGAGCCCAATGTGGGATGGTGAGACCACGGATTATATATCCAGTTTCCTCATACCCCCTTCAACCCACCAAGGGCACCAAAGTTCAGAGAAGCTTTGTCTATAGCCCTTCCATGGGGTCGAAGAAGAAGAAGAATAAAGAGAAAGAAGAAACGCGAAGACGAATCCACTTGCTAACAAGGTTGTCTGCTGTCCCAGAGTCTGCCTCAGGCAAGAGCTTGTTAAGCAGGAGATGGGAAGAGTAAAATATTCTGTTCATCTCATGGAAAATAGTTATCCCTTCAGTACATATATAGAACGCGTTTTTCAATAAAATGATGGCGTTCAAGCGTTGGATGGGTGATACTTGGTAGTCAATCAACAGGAGTTGGGTACCTCTGTTATTAGTGATAGAGCGCTCACTATATTTCAAAGGATTGGCTGTTTACACCAATGGGATCGCGTTATGACTGTGTATTACATAGAGAATAGAGACACGTTTCCAAGACTCTTTTTTCGTGCTGATATATCGCAAGTTAGAATGATGAGGACGCTATACTAGAAGAAATGATGTCATATTAGTAGTCATATTTTTGGAGTGGTTCTAATCGAAAGTATATAGGTGACTCACAAATATTCTTATTATATCAGATATTATCCCTGTAAGATGTTCTTTTAGTATCAGAGTAACCATATACAGAATAATATATCTTAGTGTTTATAGTGGAGTCAAAGCAACTCTATATATTTTATGACATAAAACGCGATGGCGGGCACCACTGCCCGTGACTCACGAGCGCCCCTCTCCATTTGAAGTCTCCTCCCTTCCTCCACTCTTTCCTCCCCACCTCCACCCATTCCACGCAATTCCCTATGCCCAAGAAGCATCAGAAAACCACGTTCATCAAACCAGCAAGCACTGCGCACCATACCCTTTCCTCCCCCGGTCCTTCCCCGCGCAATCAGCATGACCGCTATCGGCAGTCTTCTTCCCCCGCAGCGTCGGAGGAAAGCTCCGTCAACGATCTGATCCACCACCTTCGTCGCACGCAGGTATCGGCAGAGAATGGCCCTGGTAGCCCATCCGGATTCGTGACCGCACGGTCCGTCCACCCATCCCTCCGGAATCTTCTCGAGCTGCCGGAGACGCCACCCCCGCGACCCCGCCCGGACTCGACCCGCCGCGTCGGCGTAAGGGGAGAACGAGGGAGAAGGATTGCAGGACCCCCGCCTCCGGAAAGCTGGGTATCTGGGGACCAGGATGACGAACAGGGGATGGCATATGATGACGCGGCAACGAAACAGGTCATATACCGATTGGATCTCCTGCCCGGGGTGACCTTCCCTTCTCGCGATCGACTCCTGCACATGCTATTGAAATCGATGGCGTTGCACTGGACGTGGCACCTCGCGTATGACGGGCAGTTTCTTGCCTCTCTGCCGAATCATATCAAGGTGCTCCTGCTAAGCTATGTTGGATTCTATGCGAGGGATCAGCCGACACGGGGGCTCATGCATGGTCTGAGCCCATTGTTTGAGAAACCGGGGATGGACAATCGTGCTTCTGTTGCTGGCGAGGAGGTGGACATCGCTACCAATGCTGACTCGGAAATTACACGTTTGGATCTGACCGGGGCGATTGGGAAATGGATGGACTTCAAAAGACTGTCCAGTGAGCTCCTTCACTCACAGCGGCCTAAGCCCACCCAAGAGAAGCAAAAGGCACCTGTCCCACCTTCCTGGGAGGATGAGTGCGTCGAAGATACCGACACCACGCCCGCGAGCAACCCCAGCCCCATCCCCAAAACCCTTGCTTCAAGAGGACGCTTTGAGAACCTACGCTTTCTGTCCTTGGCTCACCCAAGCCCCGCCGCTGCGAACTGGAACTCCCTCATCCACCTCCTCTCTCGCCTGTCGACCATCACCCACCTCTCTTTGGCGCATTGGCCCGTCCCTACGGTCAACCCCACCGCCATCGGTACGAGACTACGTCACCCAGCGAACAGATCCCTAACCCTCCCCTATGGCGGCACGGACATGTATTCCGCAATGGAAAACAACTGGGCCGAGTCAGCGGGTATCCTCCGCCGACTGTCCAAGGTAACCTACTGCTTAAAGTGGCTAGACCTGGAAGGCTGCGCGGGCTGGATCCCTGCCCTGAACTGGGACGGCGTCGGCCCCGACGGCGAAAGCTACGCGGCCGGACCCGAGTGGAACGGCTCCTGGCGCGACGTCGACTTTGTCCGTCTAGGCCCGGGATGGCTGCCCCTCATCGACAACAGCGAACCGCCCCTGACACAAGACAACAACGCGCGGACCTCAGCATCATCGTCGATGTCTTCCCCGTCTCGCTCACTCGCAACCTCCGTCCATGCTCCTCCGCCTTTCCATTCCCGTGTCGACCATGGGACCACCGACGATTTACCCTGGGACGTGGAGATCGAACGCATCAAGTATCGGCGCATGAAGGAGCTCGAGAGCTTCCGCGAGACGGTCGAGGCTGCCAAAACCGTGCAGCAGCGCATTCTGCGTACTCGCAAGGAAGGGCGCGGCAAATGGGTGAAGTTCTCCTTTGGGCTGGAAGGCTTGGATGACGATGTGCTTAGGGAGATCCTTGGACCGAACTATTGGAGTCTCCTGCCGTGATGCCATTAGCTGGTGGGTGTGCGTATATATAAACGGTCTGAATTATATTGAACGGGCTTGTATAATAGGACCTACTTATATAGTTATTCCTACTGTCCGGTAGGATGTGATATACAAAAGAACCTTCTTTCCTAATGATAAGGAACCGAAATCTACCTGAAACATGCGACATTCAAGATGAGATATATGACTTTTATTCATGGACTATAAGCTGCGCATTTACAAAACTACCCTCACTCCCAGATTAAACAACTTAACCTTCCCCCTCCCCAAGAGAAATATAAAGAAAAAACAAAGCTCACTTCTTCCCCTTGGTAAACGACTTCAACGGATCCATCTTCCTCCCAGCCTTCCTCGGCTTACCCCTCCCACGATTCCTCTCTCTCGCCTTCCGGATACGATTATCGCTGGTCCTGCGAATCCCCACGAACCCAACATCCTCGCGCGACAGGCCCTGCTTCCCCTTCGACGGCATGAGATAGTCCGGGATATGCTTGAGGTGAGGCTGCAGACGCGCAGAGCGCAGCTCGCCGTCGTGGCGCAGCTGGCGCAGCTCGTCTGGGTTCTCCTCGAAATGGCGCTTGAGCTTCTCGCTCTTGATGAGCTCTTGGCGGATTTCGCGCGCGCGGGCTTCCTGGACCGCGAGACGGGTGATAGCGCGCAGGGCGTCGGTCATGCGGTACCGGAAGGCTTCGACTTGTTTCATTTCGAAGTGGTAGGGTTTGACTTCTTGGTCTTGCTTGGCTTGCTTTTTGATGATCCGGGAGAGGATCTGCTCGTCGCGCTTGGCGGTCGTCGTTGACGTCGGCTTGTGCTTGCCGTATTGTTCGGAGGGGATCACGAAGGAGAGCGCCATGCCGGCTTTGCCGGCGCGGCCGGTCCGGCCGATGCGGTGCGTGTAGGATTTAGCGCTCGTTGGGAGATCGAAGTTCAGCACGCACGAGACGTTCTGGAAATCGATGCCGCGTGAGATGCCGTAATCTTTTTCGCGCGCGGTCATCTTGCGTCGCTTGGAGCCTGCGGGGGCCGCTTCTTCTTCGTCGTCGTTGGAGAGTTCGTCGTCGGAGGCGGGGGCTTCGGCTGCGTCGTCGGGGTTGGCGATGGCCTTGGGTTTCTTGGAGCTCTTGGAGATTCCCATTACTTCTTGCTCGTCGGCTGCGACGATGATGTCGTAGACGCCCTTGTTGAATTCCTGGACGACGTGGATGCGGGAGTTCACGGGGAGTTCGGAGTTGAGCACACAGCTCTTGATTCCGAACTGCTCCAGGAAGAGCTTGACACGGTAGCAGCGGTCGACGTCGGCGACGAAAATGATGACCTTTCCTTTGATCAACTGCAGTTTGAAGATGACGTAGGTGAGGAGGAACTTTTCGTCCTCTGCGCATCTGTTTGAGCAAAGTATTAGCATAAGTGATTAGAGTCCGCTAGGAGCGCGCATGACTTACTTGACAACGAACTGGCTGACACCAGCACCCTCGTCCTCCTTGTCCTCCAGTTTCAGAGTCACGGGATTCCGGCAGAACAGTCCCTTCAGGGTATCCACTTCTGCGGTGAGTGTGGCACTCATGAGGAAAGTCTGGACACCTCGGGGAATCGCCTTTGCCAGCCCATTGATATCGTCCTCGTAGCCGTACGAAAGCACAAGGTCCGCTTCATCGATGACGAGATGTGTGAGGTTCTCCAGGGAGAGGGCTGAGCTGCCCAGGTTGGCGACGACACGCGCGGGCGTCGAGACGACGATGTCCGGGTAGTCGGCGAGCATTGAGTGTTGCACCGCATCGGCTACTTTCTGGGTCAGGTTGACTGAGCGCACGTCCTTTCCGCAAAAAGCAGTAAATGCGCTAATGACATTCTGCACTTGTTCTGCCAGCTCTCGGGTGGGGACGAGGATGAGGCCGGTGGTGGCTTTCAGGGAGGGGTCGGTCTGCAGTACATGCCTGTTAGTATTTTTCGAGTTCACAAGATCCTTTGAAGATTACGAACCGTCTTTTTCTGAAGGATAGTCTGTAGAATAGGGAGCACGTAGGCCGCCGTCTTGCCGGAGCCAGTCTTCGCACGAGCTGATAGGGTACCTTCGTCAGTACTGAACTCGGAAACAAGGCATGAACACACTCACCCAGAATGTCCTTTCCTTCCAGAGCCAACGGAATTGCCTTAGCCTGAACAAGAGTCGGCTTGTTGAATTTCTCTTTGATCAAGGCTTGGCGGAGCCGCGGGTCGAGATTGAGGTTTTCAAAGTCGGCGGTCGTCGCATTGTCCTGTTCAGCGCCTTCTACAGAAGCCGTAGAAGGGATATCGTTGGCATCGAGCTTTCGCTTCATTTTGTATTTAAAGCGCACTGATATGTTGGGAAAAAGTGTTTGATGTCGAAACGGTCCTGAGGGTCGAGAAAGTTTTCGAGGCAGATGGCTTCAGAAAATCTGTCGGGCGGTGAGCGATTTTCGGGGCAGTATTTTGCATTGCCTAATCAGGCATGTCTCCACCTGCGGAGCTTATCCTTATCGATAACATTTTCTACACACATCGTACACAACACTGATTTACGGTAAACTAGAGAAACAATTTGAGATACACCATACGGCTAATGTAAAAGGATGCTCAAGTTGAAAACATGGGCTGACAATATATCAACTTTGACCCACATGAAAAGAAAAGCGGACGCAAGGGAAATCATGCGAGGAAAAAAGGAAAAACAAAAAAAGGGATCTGAAAGCCTTCAAAGCAGCAGCAAACCCATATGATCATCAATAAAACGTGGATTTCCATATCACACTCTTTCAAACAGTGTAGTGGCAGTCAGTACACATCTGTTACAGAGAAATCAGACTCGAACGCAGGGAATTTGGCAGAAAGGGCAAATGAGCCAATGGAATGAACCGTGCGATGCAGCGGGATGGCATATAAAGAAGCAGTGAAAGATCTAGTAGCGCTGTGGCTCAGGTGCAGCAGTGATCTTCTGGCAGTCGTATTCGATAGTGAGTTCATTTTGTTCTCAGCGTTGAGGGACGTATGTTAGTAGGGGGCGGGCTAAGAAGAAGAAATAAAAGTCTCCGAGGCTGCTACACCTCTACAGCATTACCTGGCGTTTAATATAGGAAACGGAAAAATGTAGAAGTCGAAAGCCCAAAGATCTATTCGCTCAGCATCGAACTTCTGGCATAATTCGTGAAAGTCGCCATGGACTTAGAGCTGATACGGCCCACCTTCAGAACTTTGACATTGTGTTCAACCGTGTAGATCTTCCCGAAGTTCAGACGGGACATGGTATCCAGTGCTTGATCCGGTGTGGATGGCACAAATTCCAATGGTCTTTTCGTCATTCTAGGCTCCCGCGGATCTGGTCGAGGATCTGAGCCCTGGTTGTAGACAACAGCGTGGTCTTGGACGTTCACGTCTCGTTTCGCAACACCTTGACCGTTGTAGGTGTATATCGCACTAGAGGACATGATGAGCTCCACGCTCTGATGGCCGAAGGGGAACGCAAAGGAGAAATCATACAAACACCAAGAACATCGACTATTTTGTTTGTAGACAACCATCCGACGGATCTGGCTGAATATTGGCTCTCCATACTTGCTGTAAAAGACTGGACCCTCGCTGAGCAAAGTCCTGTTTGAGTAGGTCGATCCTTGGCTTTCATGCCACAAGGTTGAGAACACCTGGCGAGTGCTGTTAGTCTAGGAGACACCTCTTGTGATGGCTGTCGTACCCGTCCAGGCTTGAAGAAGTTCCTCGAATCACCTGGTACCTGATATCCTGTCTGACTGTCAGTGGCTGTGAGGGGGGGGGGGTAGGAGGATGAGGTGTATATACTCGGATCAAGTGTGCTTTCTGCGCTCGTACCGCCCTGAATCCTTCGCATCTGTTGAGTATTCCGATTAGTTGTTCAATTCTCTACCTGGGGATGTGCCAAAGAAGGCGAATACCTACAGAAGGTTGTGTAATGGGGGCGGGTACTGGATAGTCAGAGCCCCCACTTCCTCGGCTGGGCGGGGTTGAGATTTGATCCTGACTTCCCCGATTGAGCGTGGGCGAGGTAGCGGCCCTGCTGGCGTCCTGGATATATTGATTCTGGCTAGGTGCCACCCCATATCCTTGACTTCTGTCCCATTCGTGAGGCTCGGAACGTCCCGTCTGGCTTGGCTGGTGCCTTGGGTATGCGGCAGAAAACCCATGGCCTGTCGGGTAAGATCCGTGCTCTTCTCGATAGGTTGGTTCACGGGTGTAGTTGCTTGCGCTACTACCGTACCCTTCTCGATAAGTTGGTTCATGAGTGTAGTTGCTTGCGCTACTATCAACTCGCGCCCTTATGGTCAGGACTAACATCCGATACACTACACGCACAAGTAACCATAACAATGATAGCGACATACCTCATGTCAGATGCATACTGTTGGGGGTACTGGCCCACCATACCCTGTTCGGGAAGCTCTGGACGATGGCGTGGGGTGGTACGGTCACTAGTAGTCGGATGTATGCTGGGATATCCTTCATGATAGGAAGAAGGGTGTGGCTGCAGTGGCTGGGTCCTAGCAAGGGTTTAGCAGAGATGCATAATAATAACCGTTCCTTTCAGCCTACCAAGAAGGGTCCACATCCTTGTACTGGGAGGCATAGGCATAGTGTCGAGAATCTGATCCAGGCCGACGGTCACCACGACGTCTTGAATCATGACCATGCCCCCCGAGATAGTAGTCATTTGAGTCTTGGGACATTACTAGCAAGTAATTTTAGATAAAACCAAAAAAGTTGCGTGCTCGATTGGTCCGCAATCAGCCAACACCGTCTGGGGTAAGCTGTCGACTGCAGTGATATCCCCAGTTCATGTTCGGAGAGAAATATGCCCCCAGGACCGATCGGACACTTTAAACCCTACCAGACGACGGAATCCACGTCTCCCGGATGTATCGATTCGGGCATCGAGGATGAGGCTCTTCGCGGTCTATTGTACTCCTCCCCGCTCCCCTCATCTCTCCATCCATGATGTAAACGAACAAGGGCCATATGCAAGCACATGCAGACCGACACTAGTTCATGGGTTCGTTTGTTGTCGCCCGCTGACTCGCCGATCTCTGTTACCAGTAGCATTTGGTTCCGGAAGCTCGCTTTCACCGAATACGAGTCCGTGCAGTCTGACTAGGCCGAGGTGGTGTGTAGGACACAAACCCTTGATCATGCATGCTCAACCCCGCACATGATGGAGGGTGGGAATATCGCGCTATCGAATCCTCGCGCACGCTATACGAAGCCGAGCCGTCCGTTAGCTCGTCCACGGCGCGTGGCATTCTCCCACCCGCCCAGAGTGCATCCTTTCGTTGGGTCAGAAGGCTTAGATCGGATCATGAAACATCGCCGGGGATGGGTCGACTCGCCAAGTCGCGGGCTGTCAACAACGATCTTTTGAGTACAGCCTTGCGGCGACCACACCATGTCAAACGTAATATGTCGGTGATGACAATCCTTGCCAGATGGATGGGTCATCGTCTCGCAAACTCCGCCAGGTCCGTTGACCCCCCGACGATGTCCTTTATTATTGGGCATGCCACAACACACGGTCACACATGTCCTCCCTAGCTTACATTTTCCACCTATAGGGCCAACCACTCGGACGTGTCAGGGCTGCGCGTTTCGCCTTACATTGTTGCGATAAACTAGGCAACCAATTAGCACGTCGTTCCTATGAGACTATTAATGGAAATTTGGGAAGATTAAGGATGATGATCAGAGGCATTCCCGGCCCGTGTTAAGGTTCGGGCCCGCAGAGGGTATTAAGGCAGCGTTGACCTCTCCCAACCTCTCCCAACGACGCGTCCGTTTCCAGTATTGAGATCCCTTCTCAGAGCTCTAATTGATACAAACACGTGTTCTGCTTAGTTGTCACCGTATAGGTCTTCCCACTGTCATTATGTACCGCAAACTCAAACGAGGGAATTCATGAACTCTTTGCCATGTTAAGAATAGGAGAAGCTGCACACAAAATGCTGGGGTGGTGGAAAGGCGCTGAATATGCGAAGGTGGGCGGTTGCTTGATTTTTTTTATTTGTTTTGCCCCTCGGTTTTTCCTCTATCCACTCGTGTTGAAAGACAATGCTCCGGAACGAAGCTCACTCGAAATCGTACCCTGACCAGGGTCAGTTGGATCAAGGTTCTCCGGCGCCGTCGACGACAGAGGCAACAAAAGAGAATTCCTGTCAGACGCCCCCAGGATTGGCGCGACTGCAATTTTCCGAGCCCAGCACCTCCCCGTCCGAGATTCGCCTGGACCCTGACAACTTTTTGGAGCCAAATGCCGAAAAATTGCCAGCTGAAAACCAAACTGAGGACTTTGCCCATCCTACTATACCCCAAACCGGACCCGAGGATGCTCGTGTGAGCCATGATCACCCAGGAACCACTTTAGGATTACCAGAACAGGGCTTCATGTTGCCAAGTTCTCATTCCCCTGACGTCCCCCAAGGTCTGAGCTCTGCGTCCTGGCAGAAGCTCATGGTAGCTGGCCGGAAGTTAAACGACCAGCAGGATGCGGTCTCGGCTGAACGTTCCCGTGTTCGAGAACTTCGGACCGCCTTGACATATAAAAGGGAGGAAGAAGCAGAAATCCGTATATCGCTGATGAAGCAACTGAACTCCATGTTCGCGAAGAATGATCTTTTGGTAACCGAGCGCATCGCGAAAGAGCATGACAGACTACAATCTGCCATGGATGAATACCTGGACCTGGAGAATCGCTACCATGAAGAGGAGGACCAATTGGAACAGAACGAGTACAGCCTCACTACTTCAATGGAAACATTCCTTCAGTTGCTCCACAATGGATTTCTTTCACAATGTGCGGATGGGACCCTCACAGGCCTCCCCCCATGTACTATGGATCAATATAGTCAAGATGATGACCGCTATTCCACTATTAGCTCGGCTCCGGACCTCCCACCTAATGTAGTGGCCTACCTGTCGCGCATAGGCGACCTGCGCCTCCTTCAGGAGAGCTTAGCGGACCTCGACATGCAGTGGGTTGAGACCACGGAAAAGCAAGAGCAGCGCCGGCCCCATAACATCCCCTTGGACGAGGAATCGCTCGAGTTCCTCCAAACCTACGATTCCCACCGAGCTTCCCTTTGGAAAAAGATTGATACCACCCAGCTTGATGTTAACCAACTTTGTTCCACCTGCGAGGAACAAGGACTTCTAACCGAAGACTACCTCCCTGGAGGTTTTGATTTTACATACAATAGTCACGCCCCCGCACAGCAACAGCAATTCGAAGCGGACACCGGGGCGCAAATCAAACATCATGACACTAGTGAGGAAGAGACTGAACGTGGACGGCCGGAAACAAAACCCACCGATCCCCTCAAGATGCCAGCCGGTCGAGACTTCTCCCCCTTCTCCGAGCCTTGGCCCATGACCCGCAACCATCCCGTGGAATTCATCAACAACTGGATTCTACATCAGCTCCGCCACTCGTCTGTCCAGATCGCCCGCTTCAAATCCCTCCCGGAGCTGTGCGAGCTCAACCGCGCCGGCTGCCACAATGCCGATATCAGTCGCAAGGCGCTGACGGAATGGTTTCTCGACGACACGATCATCTCGACGCACCCTTCGCCGCCGTCTTCAATAGTCGCTGGCGATGATGAGGGTAGATTGACGGATAACACTGAAGACGGTGGTAGCTTGTTGGATAACGTTCATGATGGCCGTGGTGTGTTGTACAGCCTACGAAAGGAAAAGAAGAGAGTCACCAGGGAAAGGAAGAGGGCTACAATAACGGGACTAATGAGCGGAGCTCCTGCACCTACTTCTGGGCCTGATTGCCTACGTGATAGGTGGCCTCGCTCCGCTCATTCGGTATAAAAGGTGATCTGGGGGGGGGGGTTTTCTTTTCATTCTGCAGTTGCCGAAATCTACACCCGGTTTCCCTATACTCATGGCATTTTCGGATATCTTTTTTTTTGTTTTCTCTGTTGCCACCTTTCCTTTGTTGTCTTCTTCTGGCTTTGGGGGGGGGGTTTCTAGTTTTTTTTCTCGCTCTCTCCTCTCTTCTCCAGTTCCTCTTCTCGGGACTTATCTGCATGGCGTCGCCCCACTCTTACTTGGAATCTCACATGGCGTGTTCTGTTATTATCCACATAGACCACGGTACTCCCGGAGTCGAACAAACCGCATTGCATCATTCGCTGGCCACTACTTTCTCACTCACTCACACTACCTTGCAGGTCCAGCTTCTAGATCCCCCGGGTACAACACCGAACGCGATGTAGCGAAGTCATCAAGAACCCAAACCAAGTCACTGACTGTCGGATTTCCCAACGCAACTATCTCCCACACTATATAAACCGAAAATGCAACAAAAACAGTCAGTTATCCCTGTGGTGTGCTGTGTAAGACATGCAATCGTTCAAACATCTACTGACTTACAGTTCCTTTCTCCCACGTAAATTGTTGATTGACTCCTCCATACGTGTATAATTTTTGTAATTTTATGACTATTCGCAGTTCTCCATCGTCGTGGATATCATCGGTCCTCTCACCGGTTATGGGCCTGGAGCCTCCGTAACTCCCGTGGTATCCATGCTTCATCTGGACCGTCATATCTCACGCCATGCCCACTTTATCTTATCACTTCTTGCCAATATGGCTCTTTTCGACCTGTCCCACGTCTAATCTGACTACCAAGACCTCCCAGTTCTCCAAAGCAACTTACATGCCCTTATTACATCCAAATCAAATCTAGATCCATCGTTTGCCTGCGTAAAGCAGAGATCCTGCCTATATGTAACGGATTTTTCTCACATGAAGTGAAGATTGCCTCCATACAAGAAAAAGACCTCATGAAGAGAGGACACCAGCACAATGAAAAGATTACACCCCGAATACAAGCGTCGAAGTAATTCCCAACACTCAGAGAGATGGAAATAGTTTAGAAGAAATAATGGTCAGGAAGTAACAGCTACCAGAGGGTGGAACATCAGATCTTTCTGATACGTGTCATGCTTTTATATGTTCTCTTATATTGAGTAGCTTCATCTTGGCCTGATCGAGAGTGTGTTGAGTTATGAGGCATGCCAATATTAGCTACCTTATGTTGTTTCTTCACATAAAATATACTCGTCCTTGAAACCTGTTACAACCTCATCCAAAACCTCAAGATCAAGAACTTTATCGATGATATCTAAGTTTTTATTTGGTCCTGAGTTCGGCGCGCATGTACTGCATGATCACTCACACACAATTATTTACAACACAATATTTCCGATGAGATCATGGTGTCATGAATCTGTTATCATGGAGTTACACCCTACTTATCAATGACGGGTCTGGTGGGAATGCGAGTTTATTCATTTTTACTCATGCCCTATGTTTATCCAATAATTTGCATCCAGGACATCAAAGGGAGGTGCTCCAGGCTTCTTCATGGTGGGTAATATAACTTGACTATACTTTCCAGCACGAGGCTCTTGCTCCCTCTGCTTCTTTGCACTAACCTCCAATCCCCCTTCCACAGCCCCCATGATAGAAGAAACACAAAGTACGAAACAGGTGCCTCAGGGTTCTGTTATGACATAAGTGTAATCCACTATTCAAGATCGACATGACTTGTGTGAGATGCTAGCCAACCAAACCCCGCACGAGCTGACTGGCATTAGGTACTCATGAAGCAGCTTAACCTGGGCCACTAAGCACGTCTCTGGTAGGCTATGAATCTGTGCTCCCCTTTTCTTGTGTCACACTTGACTTATTCTCTGACTTCAGTACATCATCTGCCATCAACACCGTGTGATTTGCCAAATTATCGATAATCTTCGAGTATGTCGCACGGGTCTCTCTCTCATGAGGATTACACCGTGGGATGGATCTGTGCCCTTCCGGTGGAGCTAGCTGCAGCGAAAGTGATGCTAGATCAGGTGCATCCTCCCCTACCCAACGCCCCCACCGATCGCAACACTTA